GGTCGGCCGTGTGCAAGGCAAATGCCCTACCCACTGTGCTATCTCTCCAGCCCCATGTTTTGTGGTTAAAAAAAAACAGGCGAGCAAAAGCAAAGTGCAGGGGAAAGCTGCCTGAAGCAGTGTGAATGCAGCATTTCATGGGGCACGAGAGGGTGGCTGGCTTGCCACAGCTCACGTGTGTGTGTGTGTGTGTGTGTGTGTGTGTGTGTGCAAACATGTGTACATGCCCGCTCACGCACCTATGAATGTGTGTGTGGAGAGTGTTTAACTCACAGAAGAAACTCCCGGATTCCAAAATTGGATTCTGGGCAAACCTGTCATGTTAGGACCTTTCCTCTCTCATAAACCTGTCAGGGCTCACTCTTGCTTCCTCTCCACTTCCTCATCCCTCTCCACCTGACCCCAACCTCTTTCCTTCAATCTCTCACAATTTAACCTCAGTGTCACCCTAAATCACTTTGACTTCCTTGGCATTGTGTCTCTTTACTTAACCTCTAGGAGCTGAGTTAAAGCAGTCCTTCCCTGCCCATCCTACCTGAATTCAAAGCTTTCTTGCCACGCTTATCACCCTCTATTGCAGATGTAGGGCTCTCTGGCTTTAAAAGTCACACTCCAGGGGACAAAGAGGGTTTTTCATTTCAGCATCCTCTCTGACTAGAATAGTGCCAGCAACCAAATAGGTTTTTGATAAATGTTGGTAGAAGGAATGAAATTTGATTTCTTTTGCTTGCCATTCAATCTTCCCTTTGCCCTGGCCTCCTTTCCTCTATGGAGATCCTCAATCTGCTTAACTGTCTGCTTTTCAAATTCACTCCTGCTCATAAATATCAATGTCCCTAGCCTCAATGCCATCAGAAACACAGTCACAGTTGACTTTTTTGGCATATTGCTCATTGCAAGAAATTGTACTTGGGGACTGGGGCATATCTTTGTAAGGTGTTGGGAAGGAACTTGCCGAGTTTGAGTTTTATTGGATGATGTTACTAAGGGTTCAAGGCAGTGGGGCTATACTCTGGATGGAAGACTGTCAGGAAATAGGAGTCATTTTCTAATCTAAAATGTATACATCTATAAGGTAGGGGGGAAAAACCTTAAGTTATGATTGATCTAAAAGTGGCAACCCTTCATAGTGGCTCAAATCATACTAGGATATTTAGTCATTTCTGTGGTTTGGACAATGTTCTTTTTTTTATTTTTGCCTGAGTTCAGAGAAGAGGGATTATATTTTTGTCTTGATTTATCTTAGTGACAGAGTGGCCTTGTCTACTACCGATGCTTTGTAAATTGTTTATTTCAACAGCATGCCAAAAAAGTCAACTGTGACTTTGCTGATAGTGTAGGCTAGCTGCCACAGCAAGGGCTGCTTTTTTTTGGCTTTTATTTTTTTTTGGGGGGGGGTCATCACACCCAGTGATGCTCAGGGGTTACTCCTGGCTCTGCACTTAGGAATCACTCCTGGCGGTGCTCGGGGGACATTATGGGATGCCGGGGATCAAACCTGGATTGGCCATGTGCAAGGCAAACGCCCTACCCACTGTACTACCACTCTAGTCCCCACAATCATTTCTAACAAGTCATTATTTCCACGATGAAGCCAATCACAAGAAAATTCCATCTTTCCCCTGACTCTGTCTTAAATGTGCCTCATTTGATTCTTTTGAGAAAGCATCTAGAAGTCTTAGTTGGCAAATAGACAATTTAGTATGTAACTGGCTGGAGCGATAGCACAGCGGTAGGGCGTTTGCCTTGCAAGGCCGCCCGACCACGGCAAAGCCTGGCAAGCTACCCATGACGTATTCGATATGCCACCCACAGTAACAACAAGTCTCACAATGGAGACGTTACTGGGCCTGCTCAAGCAAATCGATGAACAACAGGAGGACAGTGACAACTGTGTGATACCTTAAATTCTGTAATTTATTTAACATAATTTTTTTCTCAGCAAGTTGTAAACCTTTTTGTTTGTTTGTTTGTTTTTGTTTTCTTTTGGGGTCACACCTAGCAATGCTCAGGGGTTACTCCCGGCCCTGCACTCAGGAAACACTCCTGGTGGGCTCAAAGAACCATATGGGATACTGAGGATTGAACCCAGGTCAGCTGCATATAAGGTAAACACTCTATCTGCTGTACAATCACTGAAGCCAGCAAGCTGTAAATCTTTTTATTTTTTTAACCAAAGCTTTATTTTGATTTATTTACTTGGGGGCACACCCAACAGTGCTCAGGGCTTAGTCCTGGCTCTGCACTCAGAAATCATGCCTGGTAGGCTTAGAGGACCATATGGGATGCCAGGGATTGAGCCTGGGTTGGCTGCATGTAAGGCAAGTACCCTACCTGCTGCACACTTCTTTGATGCCTGTAAACATTTTTTTTCTTTTTTAATTTATTTATATGAGTTTGGGGCTACACTCAGTTGTGCTCAGAATTTACATCTGGCTCTGTGCTCAGGGATCAGTCGAGACATTACTTGGGGGACCAATGTGGTCCAACTATGGATCAAATTAGGATTAGCTGCATACAAGGCAAGCATCTTACCCTCTGCACTGTGTCCCTGGCCATTGGCTATAAACCTTTTGAGGGCATGATCCTTTCTTTTCTTTTCTTTTTTTTTCTTTTAATCCTTTTTCTTTTTTTATTTTTAGTTTTAGGGTCATAGCCGGTGATGTTCAAGGGTTACTCCTGCCTCTGCACTGAGGAATTACTCTTGGTGGTGCTCAGGGGACCATATGGGATGCCAAGGATTGAATCCAGGTCAGCTGCATGCAAGGCAAAGTGCCTCCTCACCCACTGTACTATTTTCTCAGGACCCTTTCCTTTCTTATACCTCACTCAGAACTGAGCACCCAGCTAAGGTCAAATCAGTGGCTGCTCTGATGAAAAAGGGAGCTGACCAATTTGCTCTTGTGACATAGCTCTGAACACACAGTCACAGGTCAGCAGAAGCCACTAGCCTGTCTTTTTTGGGAGTGGTCATTACTTTTTTATTTTTGGGGGGGCACATCCAGCAGTGGTCAGGTCTTATGCATTCAGGAATATCTTCTGACAATTTGGGGCTATATGGGGTGCCAAGGATCAAACCCTGCTCTGCTGTGGGCAAAGCAAATGCCCTACTATTGGTCTGGCCCCTTGTCATCATTTTTAATGCTCTGAGCTGGTATTATCAGAAACGTATTTAATTTTCAGAGTTTTTTTTGGGGGGGAATGAGGCTGTTTTCTTCCTTTTGGGTGGTTGAGGATTGAGGGTGGATATTCATTCCTTTCCCAGAGTTATTTTGAGCAACTTTTCTGTTGCTATCTGTCTGCAATCTCCTTGAGACATTATTAATGTATTTTGGGGGCCATCTCTCTCACTTGGAATCATCTGGCATTGGAATAGACTAGTGGAAAGACCCAGGCATTTGTCTGAAAAGGAAGACGCCTCAGTTTCTCCTTGACAGCTGCGCATTTTAGCTACATTTTTAATATTTCTGCAAATTCCTGGGCTCTTTCTGAGGCTGGGGAAATTTACCGTTTCCAAAGACCATAAATTCTGCACCAGACCTTGGGCTAAAAGACAAAGATGGTGGGGGCAGAGTGATACTACAAAAGGACGGTGCATGCCCTGCATATGGCAGACCAGGATTTGATCCTCGGCATCCCATATGGTACCCTGAACACTGCCAAGAGCGATTCCAGGAGAAACCCCTGAGAATAGCTGGGTGTGGCCCAAAAATATTTTTCAAAAAAAGACAAAGATGCAATACCTGAGCAAATGGTGAAAAATAGAACATAACAGGTCTTAAATAAACAGTCCCCACCAGCCTAAGTGGGAGAACAAGCTACTAATCTTATCTCTACCACAAAAATGGGCCCTAAATAGCATCTTTGGAAAACAAATGGGAATCCTCTGATGCTTTGTTTGGTAAGTAACACAAAGACCCATTTTTCCCCCATAAAACAAAATACCCCAGGGGCTGGAGGTACAGTGGGTAGGGTGTTTGCCTTGCACTCAGTAGACCTGGGTTCAATTCCCAGCATCCCATATGGTCCCCGAGCACCACCAGAAGTAATTCCTGAATGCAGAACCAGGAGTAACCTCTGAGCATTTTCGGGTGTGACCCAAAAAAGCAAAAAAACAAAACAAAAACAACAACAAAAAAAAACTACCAAAACTACCAACCCAAAATGTTAGCTATACTTAGTCCTACATTAAGTTCCTTCCCTACTGGGATGTTTCTTTCTCTTCTACCGTCCAGTAAACTTTTCTACTTTCTAACTCTGATTAGATATTGAGCAATCTTTTATTACTCAATATTTTCATTCTTGGGAGGAATGTTTAGGCTCAAGATCGACTGCTAGACCTCGGTCGCACGCGGATTGCTCCCTGGGAAGTCACTGGGCAGGTTTGGGGAAAATCGTAATTAAAAACTACAGACTTTTCACTCCCTTACATACACACATACAAACAAACAAACAAACAAACAAAAAACCCTCGAACGGTACGGAGCTGGCGATACGTTAGCCCTAGACACAGATTACACCGACGGTGGGTGACAAGCGCCGCCCGGTCGGGCGCAGGGAAGAGGCGAGTTCCTTCGGCGCCTCTCTCCGGGACTGCCCCTAGCCACCAATCACCAAGCCCGGGAAGGCAGAGCCACCAATGAGAAGGCAGAGAAGGCGGGGCCTCGCTCTTGATGGGCAGCTCGTCTCCCGTCGGCTTCGTGGGACCTGGCGGCGCCACGTCTCGAGAGGCTTCGAGTTGGGTGGCCGGGCGCGGGCGGGCGGCCATCTTTCTTCCTGGCAAGACGGCAGGCGGAGTCGAGCCGGCCGCGGGCGGAGGCGCCGTCGCCAAGTCCCGGTCCCCTCGACGGACAGAGCCGAGCCCAGACTCCGCATCCTCTCCGCGGGGGCGGAGCAGCCCCCCTACCTCCCGAGCGCTCCCCGCTCCCTTCGGCCTCCCCCCCCACGCCGAGCGCGCCCCCCGCCGTCAGGGGGGCGCGGCCTGACGGGGCGGTGCCCGCGCTCCGAGCCAATTCGCTCCGCGGGAGCCTGCTTGGCGGGAACTTGGCAGAGCGCAGCTCCCCGAGGCCCGGCGGCCGCCCGGGTGCCCGAGCCTCGTCCTCCGGCCACACGCTGCCCAACCCTCGCCCCGCCGCGATGGCTCCCCGGAAACGCCCCGAAAAGCAGAAGACCCTCGAGGTGGCCGTGCGCCCCGCGAGCAAGAGGAGCCGGAGCCCCCGGGAGCCGGAGCCCGAGGCCAAACAGCGGCGGCTGAAGAGCCCCGGTACTGCCCGCACCTGCAGCTGCAAGGACCCCACCGCCTGGGGGCGGGGGGTTGGCGGGATGGGGGTCCCAAGGCACTGTTTGATTTGGGGGTGCTTCAGCCTGTTTTGCAGGTGCTTGGAATACTGGAGAGTTTGGGCTTAATGACCACCCCATCCCACCCACCCCCACCAACCCCGGGTGGCCAGGAGCCGAGATGAATTTTCTCCGCCACTGAGAGCTTAAAGCAAGCTCACCTGAGGGTGGGTGCCCTGCCTGGGTGTCAGCTGTGAGAGCCCTCAGTGTCCTTCCTTTTTTTCCTTGGAAAACCCCATTCTCCCGCCTTTACTGGGGCTTCAATCTCAGGTGGGACTTGAAAGATGGGAGTACGGCTTGCTTGTTGGTAAAAGTAGGTTTTGTTTGTCTTTGTGTTTGGACCCAGCCGTATTCAGGGCTTCCTCTTGGCTCTATTCTCAGGGATCACTCCCAACCCCGCATTTATTTTTTTTTATTTTTATTTTTTAGCTTTTTGGGTCACACCCAGCAATACTTAGGGGTTACTCCTGGCTCTGCACTCAGGAATTACATCCAGCGGTGCTCAGGGGTTACTTCTGGTTCTGCAGTTAGGAATTACTCCTGGCAGTGCTCAGGGGACCATATGGGATGCCGGGGACTAAACCCTAGTTGGCCATGTGCAAGGCAAACACCCCTACCCTCTGTACTATCGTTCTGGCCCCTGGGATCCTTATGGGATGCTGGGGATCTAACCCAGGTCATCCACATGCAAGACAAGCTTCTTACTCTCTATGCTGTCTCTCCAGCCCTAATAAGTTTTTGTTCAGGAGAGGGATGGCTGTCAAGTGATCAGGTCTTCAGAGGCATCCTGGCAATCCACAATTGCTTTATTCTCTTTCTGTTGTAAGAGGGTTTCCTTCTCCAAAGTGGCCTATTTAAGGGAGAGCCAGTGCCAGCACACACAGATGCTGTTTCTTTCCACAAGAGCTTAGACTTGGGACCAACAACTGGTCACCTCTGTGTTACTTAACAGTTTTCATTTTATTTGGGATTCGGGGGCCTCACCTGTCTCTGTGCTCTGGAGTTATGCCCGGTGTGCTTGGGGCTATTTGTAGTGCCTGAGATGCAAGGCAGCCTCCTTAACTATCTCCGGTTATTTTACATTATTTTGATAGAGGATCTAAAGAGACTTCTATCCACCACCACCCCAAATGGTCTTGTGTACCAGGTTGTCCTAAAACAGTTTTTAATACGCATTTTAATATGCATTTACATGACTCTTAAAACATCAGCCAACCCCAATCCTATCAATCACCAGTTTTTCATGGCACACTCGGAAGGGTTAAGCAGTGTACTTTATGCCTGTGCGACTAGCCTGGGTTGATCCCTGGCACTGCATATGAGCCCTTGAGCACAGCCAGGTGTAGCCCCAGAACCAAAAAGAAAAAAACATTCTAGGGCCGGAGCGATAGTGTAAGCGGGTAGGGCATTTGCCTTGCAAGCGGCCAATCTGGGTTCTATCCCCGGTACCCCACATGGTCCCCTGAGGACTGCCAGGAGTAATTTCTGAGTGCAGAGCCAGGAGTAACCCGTGAGCATCGCTAGGTGTGACCCCAAAAAAGAAAAAAAAAATAAAAACCCATTCTATTGGGGTGAGTATTTGGGTTGAGGTGTGATTCCCTCAAAAAAAAAAAAACCTTTCTTTTTTTTGGGGGGGGGGGGGTGGAGGGGGCCACACCCGGCCGGTGCTTAGGAGTTACTCCTGGCTCTGCACTCAGGAATCATCCCGTATGGTGCTCAGGGGACCATATGGGATGCTGGGATGCCGGGAATCAAACCTGGGTTGCCGTGTGCAAGGCAAGAGACCTGCCTCCTGTTGCTGTGCTATGGCCCCAGCCCTGAGATTTTGTGTTTCTTGTGCTGGATGAGGCTGAAAGGCGAGAGCAGGGAAGCCACCCGGAGGTGAGGAGACAGCCAGGCTCTGCTCAAAGAAGCAACAAGACTTGTGGAATCTCCGCAGCAGAGCCCTGTTGAGACAGGAGAGGAAAATCTGTGTGTATGTTCTGTCGGGCAGGTTCCAGCGGGAAGTTTGACTCAGGCTGCCTTTGGGCGGGCTTGGCGAGCCTGCAGGTCCCCCCACTGCCAAGCAACAGCATCATCAAGGCCCTTCAGCACCGGAAACTGGGCCAGGCTGTGCAGCAGGTGAGCTCTTTCCTGGATGTAGGACTCAAGTCTTTGCATGCCCCCTTCTCCCCACCCTCTTTTCCTCCTGGATGTTCCAGAACGAGTTAGAAAGCAGTGGGCAGAGCGAGAGGGAGAGAGAGTTCGAGAGAGCATTGTGGAGCGAGTTAGGGAGAGAGTTGTGGAGAGAGTTTGGGAGAGATGAGACATGGAATAAAGGGCAACTGATCACCAACCAGCTTGGTCCTCATTCCTCCTTTGTCTGCCCATGGCAATGGCCGTCCCGGGTGCGGAAGCGGTTTGAGAGCACCAAACACGGGCGGAGAGACGCCCAGAGAGACTGCGAAAATCCGTTAATGTGTGATCACTCATAGCATCACCCGAGCTAAAGGTGTTTACACAGCTGGGTTGGTTCATCATGTTGTCTGAGGGGTTGGTCTCGCCACACCCCATCTCAGCGACTGGTCTTCTGGTCCCTCGGCCAGGAAGAAGGTTTATGCTGGAGAGCTTCTGCCTCCTTGACTTCCAAGATGAGTGCAGGTACTTTGTAGTTTTTCATGCCTGGAGTCAGATAATGTGTTTTCCTCTGATGGGAAGACTTGACCCTAGAGCCCTTTCCATGGAGGAAGCAGGAACTGGCAATTGTTATTTGTCCCTCGTTCTTGATGGTCCTGGGCATCAAACCCAGGCAAGTCAGGAATGTGCTTTACCGCTGAGTCTGGCCGTGGCGATAGGGTTTTAGATTTTATTTATGTATTGTTGTGTTGCTAGAGATTGATTGAACCCAGGGCCTCTAACTGCAAGTCATGTGCCTTCTTCACTTGGGTTTTAATTAAAATTGGGCTGGGTTTTTATAATTTTTGTTTTGTTTTTGTTGTTTTGGGGCCACACCCTGTGGTGCTCAGGTCTTCCTCTTAGCGCTGTATTCAGGGGTCACTCCTGGGGAGCCAGGAATTGAACCAGGCCAGCCACATGCTGGGCAAGCTCCTTACCTGCTGTACTATCTCTCCGGCCTGAGAACTGGGTTTTAATTCATCTTCATTCTCTTTGTGCTAGGCTCTCCAACAGTCCTTTTTGCACTCTCTGGCTTCTTACGAGATATTTCAAAGGGCTGCACCCTTTGACCGGAGGGCCACAGCCTTGGCATGGCACCCAGCTCACCCCAACATCCTGGCTGTGGGGTCCAAAGGAGGAGATATCTTTCTCTGGAATGTCCGACTGAAGAACAAACCCACCTTCCTTAAAGGGGTAAGCAATTCTTTGTGCTGAAGAAACGTTTGTGAAGAAATGAGAAGTTATCTCTTAATAGGGAAGTGACTAGGATCAAAAGTGATGGGCCCGAAACCATAGTACAGTAATAGGGCATTTGCCTTGCACGTGGCCAACCTGGGTTTGATTCCCGGCGTCCTATATGGTCCCCCGAACACTGCCAGAAGTAATTCCTGAGTACAGAGTCATGAGTAACCCCTGAGCATCTCTGGGTGTGACCCAAAAAGAGAAAAATAAAAAAAAGTATCCATGGGTATGTGGGTCCCGGGGCTGAGATCGCCAAGCCTGCTCGGATCAGGGCTGAGCATCCTCCACCCAGATCCTCCACCTTCCAGCCTTCCAGTAGGCAGGGGTCACACCCAATAACTGGCCACCTGGCGCTGTGTAATTCCATCAATGGCCAAGATCCAGAGACTATGAAACCCAGCACCTGGAAGCGCGCGGCCGCAAATCTCATTCTTACTTTGGACAAACCCGGCAGGTTACCGAATGTAACCTGCCCACACGGCAGAGTCTGGCAAATTCCCCGTGGCATACCCAACATGCCAAATACCAGTAACAATGATGGGTCTCATTCTCCTAATCCTGAAAGAGCCTTGAATATGGCACTTTTCAAAAAATCTCAGGGCTAGGACGAATGAGATGTTACTGGGCCCTGCTCGAGGCAATCGATGAACAACAGGATGGTCGTGATCCAGGGGTATATTTTCAAACAAGTAAATGGTGACAATTCTCAAATATTTTTTGAATGCCTCTCCAGAAGTTATGAGAAGGTGGAGCCAGAGAGATAGTTGAGGGGCTAAGGCACTTGCCTTGCAAGCTGCCAACCCCAGTCTCCTGGTGGGGGGGGGTCACACAAATGACTATGTGGTGTGGTCATGCTAGGAGTAAGCCCTGAGCATTGCTGGGTGTGGCCCTACAACAAAAACAAGGAAAACACTAATCCTCCCGTAGCCAGTCATCACGTGGGATGTACTACCTACTATCTGTTTGCATCCTGTGTTATGGGGCCCACCCAGCAGTGTTCAGGGGCTCCTGCTGACTTGTGTTCAGGGACCCAGGCCTCCTTCCTGCAGAGGAGCATGCGTCCCAGCCTGGGGAGTATCTCCTGGTCCCTAAACTGTCTCCCTCTGCTTCCATGCTTTAGCTGCCCCAGCTGTTTCTTGCCTTGCAGTTGGGTCTTTGCACTTGCTGCTTGAATTGACCAGATTGCTCTTCCCCACATTTTCCCATCTTCCACTCTTGCTCACCAGTGTCCACTAGTGACTGTCCACAGGGCTTACACCAAGGGCTCTGTCTAAAGATGCACCCATCACCCAGAGGTGCCCTGCTTCATCACCCTTGCTAAACTTTCCACCTGTATGAATATCTGAACTGGCTTACTTTTCGGTTTGGCTTTTTCATTTTTTTTTTTAAAACCCACACCTAGTGGTGCTAGGGTTCACTTGAACAGGGGTCAGCAGCCACCTGCCAGTGCTCAGGGGCAGCTCTGTGCTCAAGGAGACCCCCCCAGAGGTGCTTGGGGGACTAGTACCGGGGATTGAACCTTGAATCTGGGCCTCCTGCATGCAAAGCCTGCATTCAGACCATTGAGCTATCTCTCTGGCCCTTGGATCTGATTTCCACCCCCACCCCTCCCGCCAGAGGAAGCTTGCAATAATTTTTCCACATGAACTGATTGTTTTGGTTTTTGGTGGGGGACCATATCAGCAGTGCTCAGGGCTTACTCCTGACTATGCTCAGGAATCACTCCTGGCAGTGTTACAGAGGCCCTGTGGGATCAGCCGCATGCAAGGCAAGCATCTTACCCACTGTTCTCTGGCCCCATGAACTGATTTGTGTGCGTGGTGGGGGAATGTTCAGGGGCTGCTCCTGCTCCTCACTCTGTGTTCAGGGGTCATTCTGGGCAGTGTGCTTGGGGAAAGCCGTGTGGTGCCAAGGATGGAGCCTGGGCTACCCACAGGTAAAGTGTGCATTCTGTTCTCAGCTCCCTCTGACTCCCTGAACTGACTTTTGTTTGACATTATGATGAAATACACATACATAAAATTTGCTGTCCTTTATCATTTTTTCACTGTACAGTTCAGTGGCCTCAAGTTCGTGTGATCAGTCTTCAGAACTTCTATTGTGTGTGGGGGAACAGTGAGTCACCATTGACGATTCTCAGGGCTTGATCCTGGCTCTGTGCTCGGGGATCACTCCTGGCGTGTTTCAGGGGACCATATGAGACCCAGGGATTGAACCCAGGTCAAACGCTTGGAATCTGGCAAGTGGCCTACCCCCCTGTACTCAATCTCCAGCTCCTCTTCAGAACTTTTCCATCTTGCGAAAATAAACTCTGTTCCCTTTCCTCCCTCCTTCCCAGCTCCTGGCAACCGCTGTTCGCTTTGCTTCTCTGACTGACTACTCTGACTGCTCGTGGCATCATAAAGCATTTCTTCTGCTGCGACTGTGACAGCCTTATTTTATGCAACTGGTATCCTCAGCGCTCGTCCATATTGTAGCAAGAGTCAGAGTTTCCTTCCTTTTGAGGCTGAATAACAGTCTGTAATACATGCCATATTTATAAACTTAATATGCTTTTCATTACATTAAGTGATCTAGATTTCCTTTGGTAACATTTTCCTTCTGCCTGAAGAAATTCCTTTAACATTTTTTTTATTATGGAGGTTGGTTGGCGATGCATTTTTTCCACTTTGAAAAGGTCTTTGTTTTTCTGTTATTTATTTGGGAGATACTTTTGCAGCATATAGAATTCTGGGCTCTCAGTTTTATTTTTCTTTCACTACTTTATTTTTTTTTGCTGGAGTGATAGCACAGCGGGTAGGGCGTTCGCCTTACAAGCGGCCAACACGGCCGACCGGAGTTCGATTCCTCCGCCCCTCTCGAAGAGCCCGGCAAGCTACCGAGAGTATTCAATATGCCAGACACAGTAACAACAAAGTCTCCAATGGAGACGTTACTGGGCCCGCTCGAGCAAATCGACGATCAACGGGAGGGCCTTTACCTTTACCTTTACCTTTACTTTATTTTTTTAAAATTTTTTATTGTTTTGCTTTTTGGGTCACACCTGGCGATGCAGAGGGGTTACTCCTGGCTCATGCACTCAGGAATTACTCCTGGCGGAGCTCAGGGGACCATATGGGATGCTGGGAATTAAATGTGGGTCGGCCTTGTACAAGGCAAATGCCCTACCCGCTGTGCTATCACTCCAGCTCCTCTTTCACTACTTTAAAGCCTGGCAAGCTACCGAGAATATTCCATCCACACAGCAAAGCCTGGCAAGCTACCTGTGATGTATTCGGTATGCCAAAAACAGTAACAAGAAGTCTCACAATGGAGACGTTACTGGTGTCCGCTCAAACAAATAGATGAACAAAGGGAGGACAGTGCTACAGACAGTGCTACAGTGCTACTTTAAAGAAAAGCGCTCCAGGCCACTTTCCGGAGCATTATAAGACACTTCCTACCCATTTATGCCTCTCAGACCCCGGCAGGCTACCAAGAGTATCCCGCCCGCATGGGCAGAGCCTGGCAAGCTCCCCATGGCGTATTCGATATGCCAAATACAGTAATGACAATAGATCTCATTCCCCTGACCCTGAAAGAGCCTCCAATCATTGGGAAAAGACAAGTAAGAAGAGGCTGAGAAAGTCTCAGGCTGGGAAGAATAGAGATGTTACTGGCGCCCACTCGAGTAAGTGGAAGATCAACGGGATGACAGTGATACAATGACAGTGATACTTTATAGAAGATTTCTTGGGGCTAGACAGAGTACATCAGGTAAAGTGTTTGGCCTTGCATGTACCAACCTGGGTTTGATCTGTGGCACCACATAGGGTCCCCCACGCGTCACTAACCACTAGGAGTGATCCCTGAGCACAGAACCAAGAGTTAAGCCCTGAGGACTGCTGGGTATGAGCTCTTCTCTCAAAAAAAAAAAATTCTTCCTTTCCTTTATTTTGGAAGGTGGTGGTGCTTGGGTCACACTTAACAGTGTTCAGGGATTATTCCTGGCTTTGTTATCAAGGATCACTCCTGGCGGTGCTCAGAGGACCATGTGGGATGCCGGGGATCGAACTTGGATTGGTTGCTTACAAGGCAGGTGGCGCCTTACCCACTGTACTATTGCTCCAGATTGTTTCCACCTTTTACTATCATGAATATAACTCTTAGGCATTAGGCTTGTGGTAGTTTTTTTGTTTGTGTTTTTGTTTTTTTGCTTTTTGGGTCACACCCAGCAATGCACAGGAGTTATTCCTGACTCTGCACTCGGGAATTACTCCTGGCGGTGCTCAGGGGACCATATGGGATGCTCCAGCCTGCATGTGGTTTTTGTTTTTGGGCCACACCTAAGCATTACCTTAAGCATTACCAAGTTGACCCCAAAACAAGAAATTGTGATAAGATGGGGGGGGGGGATAGTATAGGATAGTACAGCTGGTAGGGCCTTGCATGCCCCAACAAAAAATCCTGATAAGAGCTTATGACATGAAATGTACTGCTTGAAGGGTGAGGGAGAAGGGCTGGCGCGCAGGCTTTGCACCTGAGAGCCCTGGGTTCAGGCCTCTGCCCTGCACACGACCTGGAGTGACCCTTGAGCAACACCAGATGTATCCACCAAAATATACATATAATGCATATATGTGTCCATACGGGTGTATGGGTGTTCGCCTTATATCTTTGATATTTTATCCCTTTGTCTGGTCTATGGGGAGTTGAAGATTGATTGTCATTTTGGCTCATTCTCTCCCTCATCTCCATCTTCCCCTCCTTCCTCCATGGTTCACCCAGAAAGTCACTGGTCTGCACGGTCAGTGGGTGCAAAGAAGGGGGTGATGCAGCGGCCCCAGAAGGGGTTCCAGAGGCCGGAGGGCGTGGACTGGTATCAGCAAACTGAGTCCAGGCCCCAGGAGTGGGGAGGGCAGAGAAGTGAGGGCGAGAACAGAGAAGAGGAGGAGCTTTGGGGATCATGTGGGGTAAAGCAGTTTGCCGCATGTGCAGCCAACCTGGTTCCAGTAATGCAGATGCCACCCCACCCCCCCACCCCCAAGCACAGGGACAGGAATGATCCCTGAGCACTGCAGGGTGTGACCCAAAACCCTCTCCCCCTCACACACACTGGGTGTGGTCCCCAAACCAAAACAAAACTAAAAATGAGTGTGCTATTGCTATTTTACAACCCCACCAGAAATGTAGGAGGGTTTTAATTTTCCAGCACTTGCCCAGTTTTTATTATAGTCATCCCAGTGGGTATAAATTTTATCTCATTGTGGACTAAGTATTATTTCTGTGACTGGAGAGAGAGTGCAGCAGGTAGGGCGCTTGCCACGCATTTGGCTAACCTAGGTTCAGTCTCCAAGCACCCCATGTGGTCCCCCAACCCTGCTAGGACTGATAACCTGAGTGCAGAGCCAGGAGTAAGCCTGAGCACTGCCGGGTGTGGCCCAAAAGTAAATGAACAAAACATTTTGGTGCCCAGGGGCTACTCCCAACTAGGTGCTGGGATCCTTCCAGCAGTGTTTAGGGAACTGTGCAATGTCAGAGATGATATGCCCTCCTGCGTGCAGAGTGAACTGTCCTTCCGTCCCAGTCTCCTTGTTTTGATTTTGCTTTTCCCTAATGATTTTGAGCATGCTGATATTGATCTTTTCATGTGCTCCTGATCATTTGTTTATCTTCTATGGAAAAAATGTCTATTCTAATCCTTTGTCTCACAATCACAACCATCCTGTTATTGCCTCGAGCAGGACCCAGTAACGTCTCTTCATCCTAGCCCTGAGATTTTTTTTAGAAGGTGCCATATTCAAGGCTCTTTCAGAGTTAGGAGAATGAGACCCTTCATTGTTACAGGTATTTGGCATATTGGGTACGCCACGGGGAGTTTGCCAGACTCTGCCGTGTGGGTCCTTTGTCTATTTTTATTATTTTTGTTTTGGGGACACATCCATCATGCTCAGGGCTTACTCCTGGTTTTATGCCCAAGGGTCACATCTAGTGGGGCCAGGAGTAAGCCCTAAGCATTGCTGGGTGTGCCCCAGAGACAAAAACAAGAGTAAAATAAATCAGTAAATACTCTCTTCTGCTATTTTTGGTCCACTTCCAGCTGTGCTCAGGGCTTACTCTTGGCTCTACACTCAGGGATCACACTTGGTGATGCTCAGGGGACCATATGGGGTTCTGGGAATTGAACCCAAGTTGGCAGCGTGCAAGGCAAATGTCCTACGTGCTATACTGTCTTGCTAGGACCAGCCTTGGGAGAACAGTCCTGAAGCTGGGACACCGTGAAGATTAAGGAAAGAAACAGAAATAAGAAGGGAAAAGCATGGAATCAGGGGCTCACAGCCTTCGGGACTGCGAGCTCCGACTCTCCTCCTTGAACACTGTGTATTGCTTAGAACCAATAATCATTAAAAGGAGAAGAACAATGTTGTTTGGTCAGGCGCCTAACAGTCTCCATCTTATCTGGGTTAGACTAATTTTATATCCGAGGGCCTTAGTTTATCGGGGTAAACATAAATGTAATGGGCGTTCTTAAGGGGAAATTCTTCCAGGAGGGGGAACAGAGATAGAGTAGACAGGACCCTCCTGCTGGGATTAGCATTCCAGGGCAGCATTCCATTATCTGGACTCCAGCATTCTGGATTCTGTTTCCCAACACTGTCTCTCCAGTAAATATATTCATATTAATTTGGAGGGGGTGAGGCGTGGGCCACACAGGCAGTACTCAGGGTCTGCTCCTTGCTCTGTGCTCAGGGATCATTCTTGGCAGTGCTTGGGAGACCATATGTGGTGCTGGGGATTTAACCCAGGATCACCATATGCAAGGCAAGTGTCTCCAGTTCATACATAAATACTTTAAATTAAATCAAGACCTTAAGAGATAAAGTACTGGGGCTGAAGCCATAGCACAGCAGGTAAGGTGTTTGCCTTGCACGCAGTTGACCCGGGTTTGATTCCCAGCATCCCATATAGTTCCCCGAGCATTGCCAGGAGTAATTCATGAGTGCATGAGCCAGAAGTAACCCCTGTGCATTGCTGTGTGTGACCCAAAAAGCAAAAAAATAAATAAAAAGAGAGAGAGAGAGAGAGAGAGAGAGAGATAAAGTGCTGTGGAATGCATTCTGGATTTTAGACCCTCAGCTGCCCTGGCCCCAGCTGGCCGGCCTTCCTCTCTAGGGTTTGTGTTGGTATCCAGCTTCATCTCTTCTTTGGGTCACACACGGCGGTGCTCAATGGTCACTACTGGCTCTGCACTCAGAAATTATTCCTGGCAGTGCTCGGGGGACGATTTGGGATGCTGAGAATCGAACCTGGGTCAGCTGCGTGCAAGGCAAATGCCCTGTCGGCTGTGCTATCACTCCATGCCCCCAGCTTCATCTCTTGATGGCAGCCCCTCAACTCTCACTGGCTTCTTCCTCCTGTTAGATTGGCGCTGGAGGGAGTATCACTGGGATGAAGTTTAACCCTCTCAACCACAACCAGCTGTTCACCTCCTCCATGGAGGGAACAACCAGGCTGCAAGACTTTAAAGGCAACACGATCCGCGTTTTTACCAGCTCCAGCTCCTGCAAGTGAGTAGTTTGGGAGCAGAATGGACTTCAGGGCCTTAGGGTCATTCTGGTAAGAGAGTACAGATCTCATTTTTTTCCTCCCTCCCCTCCCTCCTTCCCTCCCTCCCTCCCTCCCTCCCTCCTTCTTCCCTTTCCTCCACACGTCATCTGGCAGTAACCCACGGCCTATTCCTGGCTCTGTGCTATGGGGTGGCACCTGGCATAGCCCAGAGGACCATGTGGTTGAAACTGGGGCGCCCGTGTGCAAAGCAGGCACTCAGCCCATTCAGCCCAGGCGTCATTTCTTTTACCCACACCTGGCACAGGGAAGCTACAGAAGCTGTCACTTTCTACACTTCCCTTTTTGGGGGGGATGGAGAAAGTTTAGGCCACACTGTGGTACTCAGTGCACAGTGCTCCCTGTTTGCCCCTGGGGGCAGTGCTTGGGGGACCATGTAGCACCAGATTAAACCAGTCTGCAGTATGCAAGGCAGGCTCCTTAATCACGGACCTGTCTTTCCACCACACAGTTCCTGTTCTTTCTTACCCAGTTCTTATTATGGTCCAAATGGGTTATGGCCTCAGGGGGTGTTTTAGAACCTCAGCTGTTCAGACTGAAGGAAGGGTTTCTGCTCTTTGGCGACCGCTTTCTTCAGCAGACCAGATCCCCAATCTCAGTGGACAGGCTAGCATGGCGTCCGCATGCGGGGAAGGTAGGAAGTTGCAATCTTGTTGCCTGCATTCACTGGGGTGTGACCAGTCCTGTGATGAAAGCCAAAAGGGATAAAATCAGACCCATAATGCACTTCAGATGCCCTAAGAGCAAGTGACTGGAGAAAGCATGAAAAGCTTGTGCCTCTGATTTCTCACCTGGGCGCCTCGAGGAACGGGTGGGGAGGCCCAACCATCCCCTGGTGTGATCTGGGCTGCCTGATGGGTGAGAAGCGCGTGAGCAGCAGTCCAGGTGACTGGGCGGACTTGGCTCCCGCTGCCTCAAGGAACCTGCCCACCCTCCCTCCTGTGCTGGTCACAGAGACCTCGTGTGCCAGGGACCTGCACGATCCTGTCTGGGGAGCAGGGGGAAGCCCCCAGATAATAGCTTTGATTCCTCTGACCTCAAGTAACCTGGAGCCTGGGCAGGGGGAGGGGCGTCAAGCTTACCATTACCCAGGCGCTCAGAAGAAGGCAGAAGCTTCTTCCTGACAGGCGCTGGGCCATGGGCTTCCCCTGTGTTCTGGCTTGGCCAAAGTGTAGCAAAACTACAAGGGAAGATGCTGTATCAGTTCAGTGACCCAGGAGAGCTATAAAGGAGCCTCCCACAGAACCCCCGGCCTCCGTGCTGCGCTCCCCCGTGGAACTGCCTTGTGCGTTTCTGGGCTTGGCCATTGCGGGGACTGTCAGAGCTGAGGATCCTAGACCACCAGCAACTGGGGAAACTTAGGGCCCCGTCACTCCTGTCCTCTGTCCACATGGCACACTAATCTGCACCTCGCTGCGGGTCTGCAGCAGGGCACAGAGCTCACGCATCATGACTGGGCCTCAGGCCCTGGGGCTGTGGCCCAAAAGGGGGTATCCCCAGTCCTGGAGACTCTTCCCACAGCTCACTCTGTTCCTCCAGCGTCTGGTTTTGCAGCCTGGACGTATCCGCCCGAAGCCACGTGGTGGTCACAGGGGACAACATGGGGAACGTGAGCCTGCTGACTACGGATGGCAAGGAGGTACGTCCCCCCGAGCCCATGCCTCCGACTGTCCCTCCCTGCTCCCCGACTCTGTGGCCAGCCAGAATCACGCTCTTCTCTGCAGCTCTGGAATCTGAAAATGCATAAAAAGAAAGTGTCCCACGTGGCCCTGAACCCCTGCTGTGACTGGGTCCTGGCCACGGCCTCCGTCGACCAGACTGTGAAAATCTGGGACCTGCGCCAGGTGAAAGGGAAGTCCAGCTTCCTCTGCTCCCTGCCCCATTGCCAGGGTGTCAACTCAGGTGGGCATCCACTTCCACAGCCCCTGCCCACCCCACTTCTGCAGGGCTCTTACCCCACTCAAACCTTCACCCCAACAACATTGCCAGCCCACTTCTTAGACCTTTTTATTTTTTTATTAGTATTTGGGGGTGGTGGCACACCTGGTGATGTTCAGGGGTTACCCTTCCCTCTGCACTCAGGAATCACTTCTGGCAGTGCTCAGGGAAGCCATATGGGGTGCTGGGGATCAAACCTGGGTCAGCTATGTGCAAGGCAAGCGCCTTACCCACTCTTACTATCGCTCCAGCCTTCTTAGACCTTTTTAACCAAGGGCCCCCGGCAGCTGCTGGTCTCTAGGATGTAGTTCTGCTCCATCTAAGACTCCCCTTGACCCTTTCAACCCAGTGTGGAGAAGCTGGAGGCCAGGGCGCCCCTGCAGGGCTGGGAAGGCCAGATGGCAGGGTCGCCGCTACCTTCAGCTCAAGGCTCTTCCCTCACGTTCCCAGCTGCTTTCAGCCCCGATGGCGCCCGGCTCCTGACCACGGATCAGAAGAGTGAGCTCCGGGTCTACTCAGCCTCCCGGTGGGACTGCCCCCCTAACCTGATCCCACACCCTCACCGCCGGTTCCAGCACCTCACGCCCATCAAGGTAAGGGTCCTGGGGTGGGTGGAGTTGGCCAGGGTAGGCAGCGGGCAGGAACGGAAGTTGAAAACCCTCCTCTTGTCCTGCCCTAGCACAGCAGTTTTTGGTTTTGTTTTGGTTTTTGCACCACACCTGGCATGCTCAGGGATCACTGCTGGTGGGGCTCAGGGGACCGTGGGTGCTGCTGGGGAGAAAGCCCTACTCACTGTACTAGCTCTCCAGTCGAGCACAGCACGGTCTTATCCCCCAGCGTGCTCTGCCCCTTGGTGTCACTTCCACAGTCCCTTTCTTGCTGGGTTTTCTTTGCTTTTATTTTGTGGGGGCAGGGCACATCATGCTTAGAGCACACATGCTCAGTGGCTATTCCTGGCCCACTGTTAAGGGAACCACATACTGTGGGGGGTAGAATCTGGGTCTCCCGGGTGCTAAGCCTGCACCCTCCCCAGCCCCCTAATCCAAGCTCTCAGTAAAACCAAGGATTGGTCTGGAGCCGTAGTCCGGCAGGTAAGGCACTTGCTTTGCACGTGGCCAACCCAGGTTGAATCCACCAGCACCATGTATGGTCCTCCAAGCCCTGCCCAGGAGTGATCCTTGGGTGCAGAGCCAGGAGTAAGCTCTGAGCACTGCCTGGCATAACCAAAAATAAAAACGTGTATCAGTTGGTATGATCTCAGGAAGTACAAGAGAGAAAACACGAAGGTGTCCTGAGGGCTAAGGAGGCCTGCCAGGAATCGAAAACAAGTAAGCTTCAGGTGGCAGAGCACTCACCTGGGGTGTATGAGACCTTGGGTTCGATCCCTGGTGGGGTAGGGCGGGGGGTGGGGGGGTGGGGTTGCAGGGGACAAAGAGCAATTAAAAATAATTTTAAACATCCGTAGTGGTAGATGCTGCCTGCCTGGAAACCATCCTCAGTTTCATAGTTCTAGCTCTAGCTCCATCATTAAGTTGTTGGCGATTACATTAACAGTTGTCAGTGGCAAAGAAAACGCCTGCGTTCCTCTCAAGAGTGATCCGCGTCTCCTCCCGTGACCAGCCTCTCAATCTCCTAGGCCACTTGGCATCCCCGGCACGACCTCATCATCGTGGGCCGATACCCCGACCCTCATTTCACAAGCTGTGCCCCCTCCGAATTACGGACCATCGACGTGTTTGATGGAAGCTCAGGGAAGATGCTGTATCAGTTCAGTGACCCAGGATCTTTGGGTATCATCTCGGTGAGTTGTGGGCTCATGAATAAATGGTGGAAGCAGGGGTTCAAGCTTAGGGGCTCAGAATGACCCAAAACTAATCCTGGCATGCACCCCTCTCTGCCAACACCTTCACCCCCTTCTCAGATGCATCTTATCCCCTTTGTCTCTGCAGCTCAATGAATTCAATCCCATGGGGGACACACTGGCCTCTCTGATGGGTGAGTGAAGCGGGTTGGATTGTACATGGGCCAAGTCTGCTGCCCAGGTGTCCCTTGCAGCTGACCTTGGCTTAGCCGCAAACATTTGCCCGAGAGATGCAGGGCGTGGTGGTCTCTCTGGCCTGGGCCTCCCCGTCCTGTTACATTGTCCTATCCATGGGAGGGTCTGGCTGCGGCCCCGTTTCCTGGTATGTCCTTAGCATGTCCTAGGTGCCCTGGAGCTCTCCACTGGTAGTGGGAAATGGAAGTCAGACCGGTTCTCATTCCTCCTAGGTTATAACATTCTCGTCTGGAGCCAGAAGGAAGTTGGGACACAGGAATGAGAGACATTGATGGAGTGGGCCAGAAACGGGCTTGGCACCCCGCAAGAACCAGTCCTGCCTGAAGAACACAACTGTTTGTGGGTGCTGGGATGCATTTTGAGGGGGTGTGTCTCCCGGGCAGTGCTCAGGCGGCACTGGGGTTCTTGGCCAAGCAGTTCGGCCATTCAGTGTGAGGATTCGAGGACACAGTGCTGCTTGGGCCCCATCGTGCAAGGGATCCCCCTGGACGGACTTGGGGGCCTCCATGGCCATATCAGGTGATGTTTGGGGGAATCATATGTGGGGCCAGGGGTCAAATGGGGGTCAGCGGCATGGAAGGCAAGCACCTTAAGCCTGTTACTATTTCTCTGGCCCCAAGACAGCAACTTGTTCAATGGCCAAAGGTGTCCGCATCTAAGGTTGCAACGGGTATGGTGGCACATGACAGCATGGGACTGGGGGACAGGGGCTATGTTCCTGCACTAGACTTTGCTCCAGGAACTTCTCTGGAGTTGGCCACCTGCAGCCCTCTGGCCCCTGCTCTGTCTGGCCTGGAGGTGGTGAGCTTTTCCTGGGGCTTCTCTCCTGTGAACGCACGTCGGGGCGGTGGGTTGTGGTGTGGGCTTACGCTGGATAAAGCCAATAAAACCATCCCCAGCCAGGCTGCTTCTGAGTGGTCTCCAGCACGGACCCCACCTGAAGGCTCCTTTGGGCCCCCAAAGGAAGAAATACGCAGAAATAGCAGGAAGAAGTTCAAAATTTTGATGATCTGGACGCTGCCCCAGCCTTCTGTCCAGAGCTGTCCAGCTCACAGCCTGCGTCCACCAGAAACCCCAGCCCAGCTGAGACCAAGGGCACTTCCATGATGCTGTGCCACTTCCCCTCCCGCCCTCCATCCCCTACCCCCCAGATACCCTCCCCACCCACCGAGCCAGGAGCTTCCAGGCCGACTTGATACAGGGGCTCCAATCAGCAGAGAACTCAGCCTGCTGGTGGCTGGGTAATCCAGTTCCTTGGTGGCCATGTTTGTGGCCCCACCAACATGCGACTTTCCCCACTAACATCAGTCCTAAGAGGTACGTGTCCTTGGAGCCGTTTGCCAGACCCAGGGCTGGAATTGAAGGGAACAGGGCTCGGTGGAGAGGCGAGACAGAGGATGCTCCAGTTCCTTCTGCATCTGATCCCAGGTCAAGGGAGAAATGTGAGAACATGTCTAACTTCCCAGTCTTTAGGGAGCTTGGAGGCAGCAAAGCCTGTCCGGGGAAAGCCCAGGTGCCACACAGTACTTGGTGCATAGCCAGCACGTGGGAGCGGTGTGACAGGCGCCGTGAGCTCAGCCGAGTCCCACAAGTTGTGAAGGTGGTCAGAGGGAGGCCCTCTCGGGGGTCTCCTGTCCATGGGCCGGGAAGCAGCCCACCTCCCCTAGGAGGCCGAGGGAAGAGGGCTGAGCGGTTGTCAGGCGTGGTCCTCCCCATCTGCCACGTAGCGGTAGCCAGGAGGCTGGGCCTGCATCCGGAAGAGGACGGTGAGCAGCAGCACGATGAGGAGGAAGAGGATGGAGCCACACACAGCCAAGGCCACAATCACCTCTGGGCCGGGGGAGAGAAAGACAGGTTAGATTTCGTTAATTCATCCGGGTTCTTCCAATGGGGACAGTGACAGGTGACTGAGACTGGTCTCCGCCTGGCGGATCTGGCACTGTGAAAGAGGCAACGCCGCAGACAAGCCCGGGACGGGGACAAGAGGTCGGTGACCAGTGTGACAAAGTGAAAGCCAGCAAGGAAAGGCGGAAATGATGGTGAGGCGGGCCAGCCAGGGGTGGTGGCGGTGAGGAAGTGACAGTAGGAACAGAACCTGGCGGTGTCACGTGGGACAAAGATTAATGTGTCCTAGGGGGTGCGGGGGAACAGGAAACAAAGGAAAGACCCCAGGAGATCAGCTTGGCTTGTTCTAGGAGAGCAAAGTGAGGGGCCCACAGGCAGGGGCCAGAACTTGGGTTTGATTCCAGACAGAGTGGGAAACTGCCCGAAGACTTGGAAGGCTGGGGCTGGAGCAATAGCACAGCTCGTAGGGCATTTGCCTTGCACGTGGCCAACCTGGGTTCGATTCCCAGCATCCCATATGGTCCCCTGATCACCATCAAGGGTAATTCCTGAGTGCAGAGCCAGGAGTAACCCTTGTGCATCGCCAGGTGTGACCCCCCAAAATAAATAAATCACCTCTAAACAAAAAATAAATAAGACTTGGAGGGCTAATGGCAAAATCTGACTCGTGCTTTTTACCTTGATCTCTTTTCAATGAAGTAAAATAATTTTACTTGAAGAAATTTACTTAGAGAAATGTGAAGGGAGAAGAGATAAGTATTCTCAAGAGAACATGAGGAGGAGTGGGGAAAGCTTGATTTATGCTTTTTAAAAAAATTAACTCTTAGGGGCTGGAGAGATAGCACAGCAGGTAGGGCGTTTGCCTTGCACGCGGCCAACCCAGGTTCAATTCCCAGCATCCCATATGGTCCCCTGAGCCAGGAGACCAGGAGTAACTCCTGTGCATTGCCAGGTGTGACCCAAAAAGAAAAAAAAAAAATTAACTCTAGAGGCCAGAGGCAGTACAATAGTAAGGCACTTCCATGCACATAGCCAACCCTGATTTGATCCCTGATGCCCCCGTGGTCCCTAAGCACTGCTGAGGTGTGCCCCAAAAGTCAAAATAAAAACAAATCAATAAAAAGTACAAAATTAGGGGGCAGAGCAATAGTACAGTGGGTGGGGTACTTGCCATGCACACAGCTGAGCCGGATTCAATCCCTGGCACCCTGTATGGTCCCCTGATCCCCACCAGGAGTGATCCTTGCGTGCAGAGCTAGGAGTAAGCCCTGAGCAAGTAAGTATTCAAAGTACCTCCTAGTGAAAGAGCAGAGTGATGGGGAAGAGGGTTGGCATTAGATGGAGCAACTACAGTTGGGTTTGGCCACACCCAGCTGTGCTCAGGGATCACTCCCGGTGAGGCTCAGGGGACCATATAGGGTTTGAACCCTGGGGGACTGAACCTGGGTTGCCTGCATGCTAGGCAAGTGCCCTGCCTGCTGTCCTAGTGGTCCCAGCAACTTGTTTTCACTTTTTTGCTGTATGGTGGTGGCCTAGACCCAGGGCCTTGCACCTGCCCTGAAGTCTGCAGCTAGACTAGCACACACAGCTCAGAGACGAGCTCATGAGTTACCCACCGAGCTGGAGGGTTCTGAAAGCCACGAGGGCGGACAAACCCCTCAGGGGGCAGACATGGAGCAGGGAAAGGGCAGGAGAAGCCTGGGGCTGTCCATGTTCAGTGGACAGAGCAGCTGGTACAGAGGGCCTGTACCTGCTGGAGAAAAGCTGAGAAGCCAAGCAAGTACTGAAGGAGGAGGAGGTGACGGCAGTGCGGCACGGACCTGGTCACTGCCTTTGGCAGGAAGAGGCCACTGTCCCAGACAGGCCACCAGCCCATCTAGGATGAGTCTGAGACCAATGGCTGGTGACGTTGCAATATGAGAGGCTGGGCAGTTCTTTTCTGTGCTGTTGTCTGCTTTTTTTTCCCTTTGTTTTTGTGCCACACCTGGCAGTGCTCGGGGATCTCTTCTGGTGGTGCTCAGGGGATTGTCTGGGATGCTGGGGATCAAACCCAGGTTGGCCACATGCTTACTATCGTGCTGTACTATTGCTCCGGCCCAGGGCCAGTTCTTTGAAGGGAGCAAAGCCAGAGTGGGAGTTGGAGAAAGAGGGGGAGAGGGGAGTGCCGAGAGATTTCTATTGGGTTTGGGGACGAGCACCAGAGCCTCAGTGGTGCAGTGGGGGCATGGAGAGAGGGGTCCAGACCGAGTGAAGGGCCGACATTGCAGAGGTTCTGTCTCCAGGTGCTTTTATTTAGGTGTGCAGCGGGCAGAGTCAGGAAAGCGTGTGCCGGTGTTCACGCGGGAGGTGGCCCGTCCCAGGGCCGCTCTCCTGAGAGGGAAGGACGAGCGTGGCCCGGGCAGGGGGAGGCTCACCTGTGTCTGTCGGCCCGCTCGCCAGCTGGCACTCACGCCGCCAGTCCTTGGGCACTACAGGCTCGGTGAGGCGCAGGAAGTCCTGCAGTGGGCAGCGGTGAGGACAGCCGGGCAGCAGCAGCGGCCACGGGGCCTTGGCACTTTCATTCCGGAAGTACATTTCCACGGAGAAGTTCCTGAAGGCCACAAGACGGATGGGGGCGGGGGCAGAGGAGGGGGCGGCTCACTGGGCCACCCACCACAAGAGCACCCGCCCCCATCAGTGGGCCGCCCGGGGTCCCCACTCACCCATCATCCTCCTGGTACAGCTCGAATATGTGACAGGAGGCGTAGGGGGCCTGTCGGCCGTTGTAGACGTCCAAGGCCATGTGCAAGGCGACCAGGGTGGTGTCGTGCTGGGAGGGGAGGGAAGGGGGTCTGCTGTCAGCATGGCTCACCCCTCCACCCCCTCGTCCTGGTGCTGAACACAGACAAGAAACCGATGTGAGCAGGTGGGGGCGGGGGCTGTGAGCACTTACTGCGGAGTAAACCAGCAGCTTCGGGAGCTGGGAGGAGCTGGCCATCAGCGTCAGGTTCTTGCGGATCTGAGCCAGGAGGACTCCTGCAGCGGCCCCAGCGTCACTGTTGCTGCCGATCCCCAGCACAGACAACGCTTGCGGGGCCCAGGGACCAGATACGACCTCACGAGTACCCCCCCAAACCCCCATCCTGGTTCTCTCAGAACATGGAGATGTGTGGACGGAAGCAAGACACCGCCAGACACCACCCTCGCAGGGCACTCTGTCTTTTCTTCCCTGTGTCCAGTGTTCGGGATCAAATCAACATAAACCTTGCATGCTGCATCTGAGCTCCGTGCTCTGGCCCCAGGGCCCCCTCCATTTCCACACGGAGGTGGTGGAAACCTGGCTGCGGCCTCACGCGTGACCCTGCACCTCTGTGGGGTGCTCGGACCGGGGCTGGCTCGAGACACCTGTCATCCTTCCCAAAGGGGCCCCTGGAAGTGGGTGTGTCCCCTCCAGAGGGTCTATCAAGGTGAGTGAAACTCGGCTGCATGCAAACCTGACTGTGGTGACGACCGTCAGTGTGCAAGGAACTAGGGAGACTCTGCTGCCTAAGTAGGATGGCAGGGATCTGGTCTGAAGAGCGCAGAGAGCGTTTCCCCAGAGCTGGGGGGTGGAGGGGATGTGTGAGCAGCCCCCCAAGACGTATCACTCACCGCCCTGAAGCCGAGCCTTCTCTGCCTGCTCGTAGATGCCAAAGAGGAATCGGAAGCTGAAATCCTTGAGCTGGCTCAGACGTTGCATGGTTTGCGGCGTGGCCCAGGGTGGCAGGACCAGCTTGTGTGTTTGCTGTGTGTGGCGGCAGGCAGGTTAGGTCGGGGCCTTGGCCCCCTGCAAGTGTGTGTATGGGGCGGGGGGGATGCGGGCAGGCAAAGCTCTTCTCAGTGTGTGATAGAAGGGAGCAAATGGGGAGGCCGAGGGGCCAGGCGGAGGAGAGGAGGCTCAGAAGCACCACTCAGGCCTGGAAAGGCTCAAAGGGCCAGTGTGCAAGCTCAGGGCCCCAAGTCCAACCCCTGACCACCACTGCATGGTCCCCAAAACATCACCCAGTGCCTGAGCGTTGAACCGTCAGTCTGAATATCACTTGAAGCAGCCCCCATGTCCCCCCACCCCACACCCCACCAAAGAACAAAGCATGACTCAGCACCATGGAGCCCAGCCCACGATGCAGCCAGTGCTGACTGTGCAGAAACCGGTTCCCACTTGGGGCTGCTCCTTCCCCCAGGGAAGTTCCCGAGTTTTACAAGCAGCTGCATCCTGGACCGTCCCGACAGGCCTGTCTCCTCCACTTCACCGCCCCTCTTCCCCCAATGTTCCTGCATCGTCCCCCCCACCCCTCCCCAAGCGACTCACCTCACAGAACAGCGTGTCGTAAACATTCCAGATGGTCTCCAGGGTCAGGTCCGCGAGGCCGGTCTCATTGGCCACCATCTCCAGGAATTGCTACGGGAGAGGGATTAGGGGATGGGCCCCGGCCCAGGGCAGCCAAAAGACCCCAATGCCCCCCCACCCCGTGCCCCTCCTCCACCTCCGCCCTACCCACCGCATTCTGCAGACTCAGGTTCTGGTACTCAGGCGTCTGACGGGTCTCGTTCTGCAGCTGCTCGTAGCGGGGACAGGGCCCCAGGGGGAACTTCAGCAGCTGCACACAGGAAGGGGGGAACACAGAGGCCCAAGAAGGCGCTCGGGTGAGCGGGCAGGCCCGCGGGCAAACTGTCCCTCCCGCCACTGCCGCAGGGCCTGGCCAGCCAGGCTCACCCTGTCCTCGGCGATGGGCACGGTGTGCACAGGGATGGGCTGCCAGGAGATGTTGGGGTTGAAGCGCTGCATCCCGTGGGGAGGGAAGAGCCCGGCCAGGTTGGCCTCCGCGCTCATGAGCGTGCGGTCAAAGTCGGTGCTGCGCACATATACCTGCAACGGGGGGAAGGCGAGTCTCATCTGGGGTCAGAGGACCCCCACCGCAGGGTCCTGAGGGAGAACCGGGCCTTCGGGGTTACCTGGCTTTTGGCCCTCTCTGGTCTGTCCCCGCCGCGGCCCAAGTACTCAGCTGGGAAGGGTGGAAAAGGCGCTCTAGAGGCCAAAGGAACCCGAGCCCCATTGGATTCCCCCAAAGCACTACCAGGAGAGAAGCTGAGCACTGAACTGGGAGGAGCCCCTGCGCTCAGCTGGGTGTGGCCCCAAAGCAAACAAGGGAGGTGGCCTCAGCTCCAGCAGGTACCCTCGGGGCACAAGAGAAGCCCTGGAGGCTTCTGAGAGAGCAGAGGCTGACAGTAACCAAAGCTACTCTCCCAGGCTGCCAGGAGGGCCTTGGGGGGGGGGGGGGGGGTGTCCAACTTCCCCGACAGGCTTTCCACCTCCCTGCTCCCTTTCTTTGCTGCTTTGCCCTGGGGCCTCCTTCAACAGTCTAAGGTCCAGAGAACTATTGGTTCATGGTCAGAAAAAAAAATTCTGCCAGAACTTTCTACAGAGCTGCTGGCTCATTTTTGCCACGTCACAACCTAGCTGGGTGTACGGGGTCGGGGTGCGATTGGGCCTCCCTTGAGGCCTTGCTCCAGACCTCTCCCAGACACCCTGTCCCGTGGTCGCAGAAGCAGGTGGGAGGTCAGCATGCTCCTCCCCACTGCCCACCCTCAGCCCCCAAGCCTGGTGCCCCTGCCTCCTGAGCGCCCACCTTACCTCCTGCCGTTGGTAAGAGGCGTTGAGAAAGCCCTGGTAGCGCTGCCTCAGAGCCTGGCCCAGCTCCCAGTGCTGGAGCATCCCTTCCTGTGGGCAAAATCAAGGGTTAAGAAGGTCTAGGGGAAAGTGACAGCCTCCAGGGCCCCCAGGGGCCAGGCACCACTGCTGCTCAAGTTTGTTCCCAATGGGAAATCCGGGCAAAGTCTCTGATCTCAGAATTCATTTAGTAAGCAGCGGATTGTATACGTGGCATAAGCCGGGACCCAGAGAAAAGGAAGATTAAGAAAACCTGTCAGGGACTAGAGAGTAGCTCAACAGGCTGGAGCGCACACTTTGTACACAGAAAGCCCAGGTTCCAGGCCCAGCACCTGGCTGCTGGTGCAGAAAAAGCACTAGAAAACTGGTCCAAATCAGCGGCCACATTCGAAAATGCACTTTAGGGGTGGGCCTGAGAAGAGGGAGCCGTTCTGTAGCGGGTTCAGCTGCTCAGACAAGTTGGCCCCTGGGAAGGGCTGGCTACTGACCCACCTTGGTTAGCTGACCAAACCCCTGGGGCCATTTGTCCTCCTGATAGGGGTCCTTAGGGTAAGTCTTCACTGGAGAACGGTCTCCATGTCTGTACAGCTGAAAAAGGAAAAAGAGTTACTTAGAGTGAGCTGGGGTGTTTCTCCTGGAATGGTCACTGCAATGATCACAGAACTCAGAATTCCTACAATCTTTCCTCCCAGCTTCCAGACAGTCCAACTGGGCTAAGCAATGGGGACCATAGACGAAGTCAAAGGTCAGTGGGGAAGGAAAAAAGAAGAAAAGGCAGCGCAGATGGGGAGTGAGAGGTGGCCGGGATAAAAGAGGCACGGAAGACTACGTCAAGGCCAATCTCTTAACCGGGTCCACCACATCGTTGCCCCAGAGCTGACTCCCCGGAGTGCTGCTCCTTCACCCTTTACACCTCCGGTACATCATCCCCACCCCCAAAGTAGCTCAAGCCTGCACATCAGTTACGAGCCCGGGACCTCCAACTCCCTCAAGCAGGCCTGTCGTCTCCCCAGCCCGCTGCCTAAATCAGCTGCTCCTCCGCTCGGACCCCCGCCCGCCCCGACCCCAGCTTACAAGCCCGTCCCTCCCTTTCACCAGCAGGCCGGTGCAGATTTCCAGCTCGAGCGCACCCCTTTGCAAGCCCGATCGCTCCTTACCAGGGTAACAAAGCGCAGGCTCCGGGCCTGGGTGTGCGGCAGCACCAGCAGGTTCATGCCAAAGAGCAGCTGGAGAAGAGCCACTCGGCTCCAGCCAGGCTGCTTGCCCGCCATCACCGCTGTAGTCTTTGCAGCAAGGAGGCCGGAACTCGCGGGGCGGCACCTGCTGCAGCCGCCCGGACGCGCCCCGCGGGACACACGCCGGAAGTACGCTCGCGGCCATCTTGCTAAAGGAGCTGCGCAGTCGGGGCGGGGGCAGCGGGAGGCGCCTGGCGTGGGGGTCGCGGTGCAGTGGTGGCGACGTCGCGCGGCAGAGAGGGCTTGAAGACCTCGTCCAAATTAAAAAGGATGCGAGCTTGGGCCTGCCTCGGCCGCGGGGGACCCGCTCGTCTGACCCCAGAGCCAGGGTGGGGTGCAAAACTGGGAGGATGGGTCTGAGCCCGCTGCCTGGGGATGGAAATTGGGAGGAGGGGTCCCGACCCGGCTGCCTTGGGATGGAATTTGGGAGGAGGATGTTCCGACCCGGCTGCCTTCGGATGGAATTTGAGCCGCAGCCCTGGCCCGGTCCTTGCCGGGAAGAGGTCTTGTTTAGGGAGCAGCACGGCGTGTCAACAGCCCTTTGGACTCCCTGTGTCCCTGAGGTCCATCCCAGCCTAGCCTGCCGCCCGTGCCCCGCACAGAACCCTCTTCCCGCCCTGTACCTGCTCTCGCCACCTTTGAGATAGAGGGAGCTTTTATGAGGATCGAGACCTCCCTGCGTCTTCCCATCGGAAGTTGGGTTGCACGGATTGATGGGACTTTGCAAAACCACACTAGGGCTAGTCACTCCCTAGGCGAGGGGATTGGGACCAGGAGGGGGAAGAGAGGGTTAAGGAAAAGCTGAGTATTGCCTAACATGAGAATCGGCAGGCAGTCTGTCCCCAGGACCAGAGGACCACATAGCCTTGGCCAATAGGGCCCAGGTGCAGCCAGTTTGACCTGGGGACTTTGCAAGAGTCTGAGCTTCAAATGACTTCAGAGCTCCAGGAGGTCGGATCACTGGTCCTTAGGATGCTTTTCATCTGCCCCTTTGAAGCAGAGGGCCTGAGAGCTTCACGGAAATAAAACCAGATTAGGACTCTGGGAGAGAGAGGGATCATTATCTTATCTCAGCAGTCGCGATTCAATTGTTGGCAGGTTTCTCAGGATTTAAACTTTGCTTCCAGAATTGTGAATGTCGGATATGAAAACCCGAAATCCAGTAATCAAATAGTTCAGAGCCCTTCTGTTCAGTTAAAAGACTCTTTGTGAGTCAATGGATGGGAAGTTGGTGCTTTCTCCCCCAGGTTGCCCACATGTGCAACTAGTTTTGCATATACCAGTGCTTCTGAAGACTGTCCGTAGGTTTCATAAATACTTCTGAGTGCCAGGTATGACTTAGTCCCATTACTTCATAGATAAAAGTGGAAGTGATGGGACTGGAGCCAATGCGGTGTGCTTCCCTTGCACATGGCCAACCTGGCTGCCATCCCTGGCACAACTATATGGTTCTCCAGCCTGCCAGTAATGATCCCTGTGTGTAGAGCCAGGAGTAAACCCAAGCACTGCTGGGTGTGACCCAAAAACAAATATGTAATATATGGCTTTCTCAAAGATTGCACTAACTACATTGCTAAATTATTCAATGACTGTTAACAACAGCAACAAAACCCCAAAACCCTCCAGTAAGAGATTTCCAACAGGGCCAGAGCTATAGTAGAGCAAGTAGGGCGTTTGCCTTGCGCGAGGTCGACACAGGTTTGTTCCCCAGCATTCCATATGGTCCCCCAAGCACCGCCAGGAGTGATCTTGAGTGCAGAGCCAGGAGTAACACCTGAGCATCGCTGGGTGTGACTCAAAAAGCAAAAAAAAAAAAAAGATTTCCAACAAAGGTGACTTTTCCCCCCCACATTAGTGGTGCTAGACAGGGCATGATTAATTGGTCAACTAAGAGCGTTTCATGGGAGTTTTGGAGTATGGTTGTTTGTTTTTTTAAATACTATTACTTTTTTAATTCTTTTTTTTTTTTTTGGCTTTTTGGGTCACAGTCTGCAATGCTCAGGGGTTGCTCCTGTCTCTGCACACAGGAATCACTGCTGGCTGTGCTCAGAGGACCATATGGAATGCTGGGGATTGAACTCCGGTCAGCCACCTGCAGAGAAACACCCTCCCTGCTGTATTGTCGCTCTGGCCCCTCTGTTTTATATATATATCACGGTCACGGTCCTCCCGTTGTTCATCGATTTCCTCGAATGGGCCCAGTAACGTCTCCATCGTGAGACTTCTTGTTACTGTGTTTGGCATATTCAATACGGTCACGGGGAGCTTGCCAGGCTTTGCCGTGCGGGCGAGATACTCTCGGTAGCTTGGCCAACCTGGCTGCCATCCCTGGCTTGCCAGGCTCTCCGAGAGGGGCAGAGGTATCGAACTCGGGTCGGCCATGTTGGCTGCGTGCAAGGCAAACGCCCTACCTGCTGTGCTATCGCTCCAGCCCATATATATATATATATATATATATTTTTTCTTTTTGGGTCACACCCAGCGATGCACAGGAGTTACTCCTGGCTCTGCACTCAAGAGTTACTCCTGGTGGTGCTCAGGGGACCATATGGGATTCTGGGAATCGAACCCGGGTCGGTCGCGTGCAAGGCAAACGCCCTACCCGTTGTGCTATCTCTCCAGCCCCGTTTTATTTTTTTGTTTGTGTTTTCTGTCACACCTAACAGTGGTTGCAGGGTTGGGAATCACTCCCGGCACAGTGCTCAGGGGACCAGTGGTGCTGGGGATTTCACATGGGGCTCCAGTATGCATAGAATGTGCTCCCTCCAGCCTTTTGGGCTATCTCCTCAGACCTATCTCATTGAACCATAAAAACCTTTTGTTTTCTTGTTTCCCTGACCTTGAAACCAAACCATTGTGATTCCAGAGTGTAAAATCTTAATTTCACTAAATTTTGGCGCGTAGAATTGAAAAAAAAAATCCCTCATTTATCTTTTGCTTTTCTTTCCGCTTGTATGTATGTATCCTTGATGCCCACATGCATCCTAGGTAGAAGGGATCAATGAAGCAGATATGATTTCTCTCTCTCTCTCTCTCTCTGGTGGGGGTACCATATGCACTACTGGGGATTAAACCAGGTTGGCAGTGTGCAAGGCAAACACCTTACCCTCTCTACTACTCTCTGCCCCAGCAATATGATTTCTGTATTTCTGGTGAAAATAACAGAGGGTCTGGAGAGACAGAATACAGAGGTTAAGGTGTTGCCTTGCGTGCCGCCAGCCCCAACTTGATTCCTCATCCCATATGCAGTGTCAGAAGTGACTCCTGAGAACATATGGGCCAACACCACCGAGTGTGGCCCAAACTTCTCTCCTCCAAATTTAGATGGATGAAGGGCTTCACCCAGAATAGGGATAACTTAGACTCTCCGAAGTTGATGCCAGATTTGCAAGCCCCCTGCTCCATCCCAAGTTGGCAGAAGTGAGCCTGAATTTAGGAGAGTTTATTTTCTCCCTCCACCTGGGGAGGTGGTTTGGTCTCCTGGAGTGAGGTAAGGATTTTTGTTGCTATTATTCCTTTGAGTTTTTGAATCAGCTATAGCTGTATTCAAACTTAATATCTGGGGCTGGAATAACAGTATAGTGGGTAGGGAGTGTGCCTTGAACTTGTCACCCATTATGTTCCCCTGTGCCCACCAGGAATGATGCCTGAGAGCAGAGCCAGGAGTCAATCCTGAGCACCACTGGGCTTGGCCCAGAAAACAACAAAAAATTAGTATCTGCCTCTTGCCAGTACCTTTAGGTCTTCTGGGATTCTATAAAGGGACAAATAATGGGAAAATTCTGTATTAGGCCTATGTGAGTGTTGCTTTTCCACCTTTTGTGTCTTTGAGCTCATAAGTTTGGGAAGTCAATATTCCCGGCTTCTCTTTATTGTGATTGAAAGGGTTAGTACAAGTTATTTGAGTGGCCTACAGATGACCTGCCACATATTTTGAACCTTTCTGGAATTGTCAAGGGGGAGTAGCTGCCCCGACCCATTCCTGCAAATCCTACCTCGCAGCCTGAATCCTGGGAATTTGCATGCTTTCTGGAGCATTCCCAGTAGTCCAGTTGGTCATAGGCTGGGGCATGATCCTGGAGTGGCCTCAAGGTGGCCCTTGTAGTGAGAAGCTTCCAGAAATCTGCACATCAGAAAGGTGCTTTGGAAGATCCCTGGAGCTGTCTCAAGGCCTGGTGCCTCCCTCAGAGCCAAGGGGTGTAGGAAAGACTAAAAGTTGGATGTCTTTGCATCTGACAACCGCCCGTCAACCCCCTCCCCCTAGCTAGGGGGGTGGCACACGTAGCTGCTGACCACCTGCTCTGTCCCTGTGCTCCAGCTCTACACACGGGAACTGTTGCCCCCAGTGTGGGTCCCCCCATTTCCCCTCCTCACCCATCTTTGTGAGGGGCTGCTGAACCCCTGAAACCTGGGAGAATTGCTCTGGTAGTGGGCACCGGTAATGCTGCATCCGCTGCCGAAAGTGAGGCTGGCTCATCCCCAAGAAGGGTCGGGGAGAGGGTGCCCTGACCTACTTTCTCACTGGGGGACTCTTCTGGGACCTAGGGTTGCAGGCGGAAATCATGGGGGTGGGTCCTGAGTCCTGGGAAGTCTCCCCTGGGGAGAGGAGGGAGTCAGGGTCAGGATGGATGAGGGGCTTGCCCCAGTTCTCAGAAAAGCAATTGGTCACGGATCATTGGGCCCCAAGCCGGGGTCACATCCCTCCTCTATTGTCAGTGGGGTCTTCAGTGACCTGAGAATAGAGCTGGGGTCCTGAGCGGGCGGGGACAGAGCAGGGTGGGGTCCCAGGGCCCATCGTGTTCCCTGCTTCAACTTTCCCAGGACAGCAGGGTCCCTGTGAAAGTCAGAGGAGGAACACACACAGGGTGGACGGCGGACCATGTGTGCGGTGACTCAGCGGTCCGGGCGGGCTGGGGGCCACGCGAGCAGATGACCTTGTGATGCGACGGAACAAGAGCAGAAGCTGGAGGCAGAACTTTGAGATGGGGGTGGGGTGGGTGGTGGGGCTGGAAGGGGCTTTTCTGAAATGTGCCAAAGGCGCCAGGGCGATTTTGCAATCCCACCCGCCCCCCAGCCTGCCGCCTCAGCCTCACTTCCCATCCCCGCCTGTTCCCCTGCCCTGCCCTGCCCTTCCTCCCATCTTTCACGAGATCCTTCTCTGTTTCTGTTCTCCCATCCTCTTCCCCGCACCACGCCCCCCCACCCCACCCCTTCCCTGTTCCATTCCCTCCCTTCTCCTCTTCCCTGGTGCCCTGGTCATCTCCATGTCCGTCCTTCTGGCGGCCTGCCCTGGGCCCCTGTCCCTCATCGCTTTCATGTGTGTCCCATGGGAACTGGAGTTCACAGCAAAACAGGAAGAGCCGGGGAGCAGGAAGCTGGGAGTGGGGCAGGCGGGGGATAACCAGCAGTAACCTCAGTGCCCCGCCGCCCACATCTGTACCCGAGCGTTCCCCACGGGGGTCGCTGCCTGTCCTTTACAGCCCACCATCCCAGGGCTCTGGGCTCAGCACAGGAGGAGAGGAAGAGGAGGCTCACTGGACATTCCAATCCCAGCTTGGCCCCGGCTGTGTGTGGTCTTGGAAGCGGACCCCCATGAGCTCCGTCTTCTTGCCCCGTCTGATGGTGCTGGTGTTCCCTACCCTCCGTCCCGGGGGTTCTCTGAAAGGGCACAAAGCGACAGCGAGGAGTGTGTGTATGGAAAATGAGCCCTGCTTTGTAACTTTTCCCACAGCGATTCAATAAAAAAAAAAAAAAATGAGCCCCACAGGAGAAAAAGTAAGAAAGAGAAAAAAACATTCACCTTCAAAACAAAACAAAACAAAATAAAATCCTTACTTGCTGCTTTAGGCCTACAATATGTAAAGAGAAAAAAATCTAATCCCAAACAGTTGAATATCTGCTATTCAAACCAGACCTATATAATTGGTTAGTAGAGATATATATATATGTGTATATATAGCACAGCGGGTAGGGCGTTCGCCTTACACACGGCCAACATGGCCGACCCGAGTTCGATTTCTCCGCCCCTCTCGGAGAGCCCGGCAAGCTACCGAGAGTATTCGATATGCCAGACACAGTAACAATAAAGTCTCCAATGGAGACGTTACTGGGCCCGCTCGAGCAAATCGACGATCAACGGGAGGGCCTTTACCTTTACCATATATATATATATATATATATATATATATATATATATATTTGGAGAGCCTGGCAAGCTACCGAGAGTATTCAATATGCCAAACACAGTAACAAGAAGCCTCACAATGGAGACGTTACTGGGCCCGCTCGAGCAAATCGATGAACAACGGGAGGACAGACAGACAGACTTTTATATGTATATGTATATATCATGATCACGATCATCCTGTTGTTCGTCGATTTCCTCGAGCAGGCACCAGTAACGTCTCCTTCTTCCTAGTCCTGAGATTTTAAAAGAGCCATATTCAATGCTCTTTCAGGGTTAGGAGAATGAGACCCATCATTGTTACTGGTATTTGGCATATTGAGTACGACACGGGAAGTTTGCCAGACTCTGCCGTGTGGGCAGGATACTTTTGGTAGCCTGCCAGGTTCTCCAAAGGAAAAAATAAGATAATACGATGTAATACATATGTAATATGTAATACATAATACATATATATATACGCACAAAATACATAATGCGTATGTATTTTCTTCCAGGAAGTATATAAATTGTGATTCTAAAATTTCTAAAACTTCAGTGACTCCAAGCCAGATGTTTGATTCTAGTTTCCTCAAACTTAAAAGTGCAAACAGATGAGTATCACAAGAATTGAAAGTGATTGTTTCTCTCTTTTTTTCAAGATTTTATATTGCTCCTGGCATATCTGACTCATAAAAATGCACAAAGTGATTCCAGTAAATGTCATTGTCTTAGATGATATCAATTTTGAGGAGAAATATCTGCCTTTCAAAACTTACTTTGAAGCCTTCTAGCCAATATGATGTTATTCCAAAATATGACACTTTGGCGTATTGATTACTTGAGGCTGTTCCAGGACAGATTTAGAGAGAAGCTTCCTCTTAAGACAAGGGGCTATTTTGGAGGGTTTGTCTCCTGGAAAATAAAGAGACTTAAGTCCCTTCCTCAAAGGGCCTTGAGGATTACTTACTTGCATATTTAGTGTTTCCCTATGCTTTGGCCCTCTTTACCTTAAGTTCTTGCAGAAGTTTTTGGTTTCTACTTTGTAGACTGCAGAGAAACTAGACATTTTTTCTGGCAACATAAACCAAGCTCTTTAGAAGTTGTTTATTTCTGCTTCTCAGTTTTTCTTTTCCTTTTCACCTTCATCTGGATTGTCCCATCATCTGTTGTCACCACAGTGTCTCTTCTAGAATAATTCTTCAGATTGGCTCTAGGGACTTTCTCCATCATATCTTACATTTGAATATCTAAGAAGGAATCAAAGGTGATTGTTTCAGAATAAGTATCAGGCACCCAGGCAAAATTCACTGACATTAATATATCTGAATGCAGGGCCAAAGACAGAGATACCAGCCCAGCAGACATTTACCTTGTCCACGGCTAACGTGGGTTCAATTCCCCATGTGGTCTTCTGAGCACAGTGCCACAGTAAGCCCTGAGTTCTGCCAGGTGTGAATAATAATAATATCTTTGCAAGAAATGAGATAAAGAAGAAAATTCATAGGAGGCAGAGAATGATAGGGACGTTAAATTATATCTATTTTTCATTTCATAATAAAAGACTGGTTTCAAGTTTGAGTCTACAGATGGAAGTTGGACACTTTGCTGCATAAGTAATGGTAAAAGTATGGGATAAAAAGCAACAAACCTATTATATTACATGGGGTGTCCCTTGGCAGTTAAAAAACCTTATTTTTGGGGGCTGGAGTGATAGCACAGAGGGTAGGGCGTTTGCCTTGCACGCAGTCAACATGGCCGACCCAGGTTCGATCCCCAGCATCCCATATGGTCCCCGAGCAGCGCCAGGAGTAATTCCTGAGTGCATGAGCCAGGAGTAACCCCTGAGCATCGCCGGGTGTGACCCAAAAAGCAAAAAAAAAAAAAAAACAACTTTATTTTTTTAGAGTTGGGGGCTCTAGCATCAGTTGTTGTTGTTGTTGTTGTTTTAGGATCTGAAAGCATCAGTGTGAGATTTGTTGGGCTGAGAATGCACAATTCTTACTCGAGAGGAAGTAGTGATTCTGAAGGACAGGCTACAGCAGAGACAATGGAGGTTGTGGTGTTGAACACTGTGTTCTTGAAACCCTGTCATAACAGTATTGTAAATCAAGGAGAAAAGAGAGGTCCTCAGTGTCAAGTGAATTAGCAAAGGCAGAGCAGTAGTGACTAAAATCCAGAATTTGTTAACTACAGATTATTTTTCTATTTACTTGAGAATAGCATTTTTGAAATCTGACCAATTTGGGTTTAAATTCTAGCACTAATTTTTATTGGGTATGTGATAATCAGCAATAAACTATGCTTCAATTGTCTTACCAGTAAATATGATAAAGTACCATATTTACTAAACTCCTACTATACGTTGTACTTTTTTTTTTTTTTTGCGTTTTGGGTTATACCTGGCAGTGCACAGGGCTTACTCCTGGCTCATGCACTCAGGAATTACTCCTGGCGGTGTTCGGGGGACCATATGGGATGCTGGGAATCGAACCCGGGTCAACGGTGTGCAAGGCTAACACCCTACCCACTATCACTCCAGCCCCTGCATTGTACTTTGTACTTGTAAAATGTCTGATATTCTGTATCTATTTTGTGATCTTTATGTTATTGTATGTTGCGAAAATTATTTTTTAAATGCACACAATATGTTCTGAATAAATTTGATTTTGCTAGTTAAAAGGAAAGGAAAGAAAGAAAGAGAGAAAGAAAGAAAGAAGAAACTAACTGAGCCCCAAAGGGCTAATGGGGCTCCCCTCTAGGTTCCAGATAATGTGAAGATCCCCAGCTGGGAGGCTGGAGGACACAGTAAATCCTGTTCCTGGAACACCTAGGGCACTGAGGTGTTTTGTTCTTCCATCAGGAGCCTTGATGATGTTTCCTATTTCTAAAATAGAGAAGCAGAGGTTTAGAGACTTCTTAAGTAACTTGCTTAATCACCATCACAGCAGGTAAGTGGCGAGGCCAGGATTGGAACTGACAATCCCAGCCCTAAACCAATTGCCCAATCTGTGGGCCAAGCTGAATCTGATGGGCGGGACCAGCAGAGACAAAACTCACAGCACGTGGCTTGTTTTCCCACCTCTCTGAGCTGGGAACACAGCACCTGCCCAGACCCCGGAGCTAGCAGGCCCCGCTCCAGGGATTCTGGGGGAGAAAAACCAAGAAAACAGCTCTCTGGCAGGCTGGAAAGACAGGACACATGAGCACTCGCTTTGCAAGTCACTGACCTGGGTTCAACCCCCAGCACGGCAAAGGGTCCCCTGAGCACTGCCAGGAGTAAGCCCTGAGCCTAGCCAGGTGTGACCCAAAAAGGAAAAGAAAGCAGGTCTCTGCCTTCAGGGGTGAAGCTCATGTTCCTGGAAATGGGGAGCAGTTGAGAAAGGTGCAGTGCAAGCCAGCTAGACCATGCCTGGCTGTGGCTCCAGAGGAGGGGACCTGCTGACCGCCCCGGGTCCACCTTGAGCTGGCACCTGGGTGCCACCCCCACCCCCACCCGAGGCCTGTCCCGCTCCCACACACCGTGTTCAGAAATGCCGGCTGGCCCAGCACCTGCCTCTCCTCCCCAGGGACTCCTCTGGGGCGAGCTAGCGGGGAGAGTGCTTGGCCCCGGCCCAGAGGAGGAGGAGGAGGAGGAGGAGGAGGAGGAGGAGGAGGAGGAGGAGGAGGAGGAGGAGGAGGAGGAGGAGGCAGGCTGGGAAGGAGGCTGAGACCAATGTCGCAATCCTGGGCTGTGCCGGGACCTTTGCTCCGCGAGGTGTCTATGGACGGGGAGGGCCCCGCCTCTGGAGGCTGCCGGGATCGGGGTGGGGGTGTCCTGGAGGCCGTCCTTCTGGAAGAGCAGCTAAGAGTCGCAGGGGTGAGGAGAGGAAGGGGAGAGAGAGGGGAAACGTGACTGCTGAGGTGGGGGGGGCTCCTCCCGGGTGGCGCCAGGCTGAGGGGGTCCAGCGAGGGAGGAGCCAGCGCTGGGGAAGCTGCTTGGGGGCGGGGGCCCAGAGGCCAGGGCTCGTCCATCTGCAGGACCGGCAGGAAGAGGCGGTGGCCCGACCCCTGGGCAGTCCCTCCCCTCATCCCTTCCCCACCTTCCTTCCCAGGCCCCCTCTGCTGCTCGACTTCTCACTGGCCCCGGCTCTGCATCCTCCTCCTCTCCCAGCCAGGGGGCTCCTGAGACTGCCCGGCCCAGCCAGGGAGCCTGGCGGTCTGGGGAGAGCGGTGGGTCCATCCTCAGCACCAGCAAGGGCAGGAAGCGGGGTGCTTGGGAGGGGGGGTGTTCCCTGGGGACTGGGGAGAAGGGAGGGAGGATGACAGGGAAGGCAGTGATGGGGAGGGTCAGGCCCTGTGGGATCCGGGGCAGTGGGGGCAGGAAGCGTGTGCCCTGGAGTCACTGGACTTGGGAGGTTTGTGCTGGGACCTGGGACATGGCGGCAGCGTGACTGTTTCTCGGGGTGGGGTGTCCTGGGGCCCGTGTCCCAGTCCTGCCCAGCTGTGGCTGCCTCCAGGACCCAAGCAAGGGGGAAGGGTCGCTGACAGGAGCGGGGGAAGGTATGCCCAAATGCTCCCTGATATGCCTGGGCAGAAAAGGGGGGGGGTGGGGGGGGGTGGGGGCGCAGGGGAGACCCTCAAGTCACAGAGACCCGTGTCAGTGGCCCGACTGGACACGGCCAAATTGTGTGGTTGGAGGCAACAGACACGCACTCTGAGCCTCAGTTTCCCCAGCCCATGGGGCAACGGTGAGAGAGGCATGCAAAGCCTTGGCAGAGAGGTCACTCAGCAGGCAGGCATTAGTGGGTACTGGGGTGCCGGTGCCGAGGAAGGCAGGGTAAGGAGAAAGGAGCGGAGGCCGGGGAAGGGGTCTGTTCTGGGAGTGGGTGACGTGGGTTGTCACTGCAGGACAGTCCCTGGGTAATGTCCAGGGCGCCAGGAAGAGATGTCCTTGTGGCTGCAGGCCCCTGTGCCCGCCGTTTCTCCTGGTAAGCTTCCCACCGGCACCCCCGACCCCCTCCCCAGCATAGGCCCCTGCCCCTCTCCTCCCTCCCGCCGCCCCGTCTCTATCCGCCTCTGCCCTGCCCTGCCCTGGAGAGTGGCTGTCCAGAGCCGGCCATGTGGCCCTGTGCCCAGCCCACCTCAGTCCCGGCTCCTGGCTGCTGGGGGAGTGGACAGGTCCAAGCCGCCTGGAGCAGTTCGATCCGGGCTCTGAAATGGAGGCACTGTACCCGCACCCCACCCCTGGGGGTCAAAGGTTAAGATCCCATTCAAGGTGTCCAGGTGCAAGGGGCTAACCAGCCCACGCCAGCTCGGGGGCCCAGGTCTGTGCCGGGGCTCTGCTGCCCTCTGCGGGCGGAGAGGAGTTTGCAGTTTCCCGGGAGGCGCCCTGAGCCGCCCTGAGCTGCCCTGGGATCTCTCTCTGGGGGTCCAGACTCAGCAGCTGCACTGTGGGAGTCGGAGGCTCCAGATGCAAGCGGGCCCGCGCCAGGAGGCGGCAGCTGTGTGCTCAGGGAGACCAGCTCACCCCTATCCATGGGACGCCCCCTGCGGGGGTGCCTGGGGGCCCCAGGGCCCACGGCCCCACTCCCCAGGGTGGAAACCCCCCCAGATTCCACAGGTAAGGAGCTCCTGGATGTGAGATGTGTGTATGTGTGTGTGTGTGTGTGTGGCCGGGGGGGGGGGGTCCCTGGACCCAGAATGCCTTGGCATGCTTCATCGTAAAGGCTATAGAGCCCGGGAGCCCACATTTTTTTGTCTATAGACTGGGAGAGCAGGCCCGCTCTCTCGAGCCTGGGGTGAGGCATGCCACGGACACAGTGACAATCCCTGGGACACCCAGGGGCCACCAGATGGGCCAGCCTGCATGTCATCGAGGCCCCTCGGGAGAAGTGGGGCTAGGGCAGGGGCCGGCAGGACACCATGCTTCTTCCTTAGAGAGGAACGTGATGGTCCTTCCCTTTATCCAGAGTTCCGTCCACAGAAACGGAAGAAGGGGCCAGCCCCCAAGATGCTGGGCAACGAGCTGTGCAGTGTATGCGGGGACAAGGCCTCCGGCTTCCACTACAACGTGCTGAGCTGTGAGGGCTGCAAGGGCTTCTTCCGGCGCAGCGTCATCAAGGGGGCCCGTTACCTGTGCCACAGCGGGGGCCACTGCCCCATGGACACCTACATGCGGCGCAAGTGTCAGGAGTGTCGCCTGCGCAAATGCCGCCAGGCCGGCATGCGGGAAGAGTGTGAGTATTGGGCAACAGAGTCTGGGGGTAGGTTATGGGAGTCTGTGAACGGGATGGGGTGCCGACAGCCGAGCCCACGGGCCCTCCTGGTCAGCCCAAGGATGCACTGTAGCACTGTCCTCCCATCGTTCGTCGATTTGTTCGAGCAGGCATCAGTCACATCTCCATTGTGAGACTTGTTACTGTTTTTGGCATATCAAATATGTCACAGGGAGCTTGCCAGGCTTTGCCGTGTGGGTGGGATACTCTCGGTAGCTTGCCAGGCTCTCTGAGAGGGATGGAGGAATCGAACCCGGTTGGCAGCGTGCAAGGCAAGCCCCTACCCGCTGTGCTATCACTCCAGCCCATGCATGCAGGTTAAAATCTCCATCTGAAATTGGGGTCTTTTAGGGGAAGTAATGTTCAAGGCTGGAGTTGGCACTTCACATTGCAGGAGCCCCAAGCTTGATCCCAGCACTGCATGGTCCTATGTAACACCAAGAGTGACTCTTGTGCATCATGGGGCATCATGGGTCGTAAGCACCGCTGTGTGACCCCCCCACAAACAAATAATGGCAGAGTCTGAAGTGATAGTACAGGGGTTAAGATGCTTACCTTGCACCTGCAGCCAACCCGAGTTCGAGCTCTAGCATCCCATATGGTTCTCCCGTGTCCCTCCAGGAATGATCCCTGCATGCAGTTAGGAGTAAGCCCTGAGCACAATTGGATGTTCCTCCCTCCCCCCAAAAAAATCAACAATAATTACAAGAACACCAAAAAAATCTCTGCTGGGGGCAAGGGAGGGCGAGGAAATGGCTTAAAGAGCTCACTCAGGTGCTTTGTATGTGATAGCTCTGGGTTCAATCCCTGCCCCCCACATCATCCCCGAGCAACGCCAAATGTCACCCCCAAATCAAGAAAATTCTGGGGCTGGAGCGATAGCACAGCGGGTAAGACGTTTACCTTGCACGCGGCAGACCCGGGTTCTATTCCCAGCATCCCATAGGGTCCCCCGAGCACTGCCAGGAGTAATTCCTGAGTGCAGAGCCAGGAGTAACCCCTGTGCATTGCTGGGTGTGACCCAAAAAGCAAAAAAAAAAAAAAAAAAAAAAAGAAAGAAAAAGAAAAAGAAAATTCCTAAATCTTCCTAAATCAGTCAGGTCAGTTCTCTGCCTTCCCTTCCCTTGCATGCTTTGCTCTGCGGGGGCCCCCCAGCCTCCCCACCTCACTTTGGGCCTGAACACAGGTGTCCTGTCGGAAGAACAGATCCGCCTGAAGAAACTGAAGCGCCAAGAGGAGGAGCAGTCTCAGGGCACCTCCGCACCCCCTCGAACTTCCTCCCCACCCCCAGCGCTGCCCCAGCTCAGCCCGGAGCAGCTGGGCATGATCGAGAAGCTGGTGGCTGCCCAGCAACTGTGCAACCGCCGCTCCTTCTCTGACCAGCTTCGCGTCACGGTAGCTGCGGGACCCGGGGGACCGGAGGCTGTGCCCAGAGTGCCCCGCTCCGGGTCTGACTCAGACTCATCTGGTTTCCCTGCTCTTCACGGTAGCCTTGGCCCATGGCACCCGACCCCCAGAGCCGGGAGGTCCGACAGCAGCGTTTTGCCCACTTCACCGAACTGGCCATCGTCTCGGTGCAGGAGATTGTGGATTTCGCCAAACAGCTGCCTGGCTTCCTGCAGCTGAGCCGGGAGGACCAGATCGCCCTGCTGAAGACCTCGGCGATCGAGGTGGCTGGCAGAGGCCACGGGGGAAGGGAGACTCGGGGGGGGGGGGGGGAGGTGTGTGTGTGTGTGGGAGGCGGTGGTCTCAGCCCACTCGCTGGGGGACTCAAGGCCCGAGGAAGTAGGGCTGAGGGGCTGGAGTTTTTCTCTGCCCTGCCCTGTGCCAAAACCGATCCCCAAGTCCCTGACCTAGGGCTGCTGCTGGTGCGCAGGTGATGCTCCTGGAGACGTCTCGGCGCTACAACCCTGGCAGCGAGAGCATCACGTTCCTCAAGGACTTCAGCTACAACCGGGAAGATTTTGCCAAAGCAGGTGAGAACTGGCCTCCCAAAGGGATGGGGCTGACACTTCTCACGGGGCCACGGTGGTTCCAAAGTGGCAGGGACAAGGTTTACTGTGGCAAGAAGGGAGGGATCGAGGCTGGAGAGATAGTACAGTGGGTAGGGCATTTGTCTTGCACACGGCTGACTCGGGTTTGATCCCCAACATCCCGTCTAGTCCCTCAGCACCGCCAGGAGTAATTCCTGAGTGCAGAACCAGGAGTAACCCCTGATCTCCCCTGGGCTCCTTGTCCTCGGTTGCATTGGAACAGTGGTCTGCAAACCGCATTCCAAGGAACCAGAAGGAATTCCAGTGATGTGTTACCTTTGAGGACAGTAGGTTACAGTTTCTGCATTAGAGAGGATGCTGAGGCTGAAGGAAACCATTTTTATTTTATCATTTTGTTTTGTGGAGCAAGGGATCAAAACCAGGACCTCACCAGGACCTCACCATGTGCAGAGCAAGCTGTTTACTGCTGAGTTTCACCCCCCAGTGCTGTAGGAAAAGATTTTATAGCTAGGAAATAAAATTTGACAACCACCACACTGAACCTTCCAGTGGTGGATGGTGAACAAATCACATGTGCTCTTTAGGATCACAAGAACTGGTCCCCCGCCCCCTTTGTTTGTTTTTGTGCCATGCACCCCCCCCACCCCCATGATGCTCTGGGGCTACACCCAGCTCACTGATCAGAGGTCACTCTAGCTGGTGCTCAGGGGACCATGCAGTGCCAGGGAGGGAATCTGGACCGCCTATGTACAAGGCACGTGCTCCAACCTTTTGGCTCATTTCCTTGACTCTCCCCTGTACTTCTTCAGTTGTGTTTTATGATGAGCCCGGGAAGCCATTGCTGAAATATGGCAAACATGTCCTCTTAGGCTCTTAGGATGACGCTTATGGGTTTCTTAACAGGTAGCTGCTGTTCAGGTTTGTTATGAGTGGGGTTGGGAGGTTAAGGCGGGTGTAGAAGGAGGTAAACGGAGGATTGAGAGGAGACCAAGGAGTTTATCACCTTCAGAGGCAGGTCTGTGAAATGGGTTGGATGCTCCGACTTCTTTCTCAGTGCTGGTTTCCATGTCAGGGTCAAGGAAATCTTTGATTTCTGGTAACTTGGTTCAACTCACAGGCTCTTTACTGTTCCAACTCAGGGCACCCTGTGAGTTCTCTAGGAGAGAGGACTTTTTTCTGATGGGGAGAGAGGGCTCCCAAACAGTGCTCAGGGTGACTGGGGGCCACTCCCAGTGGTGCTTGAGGAACTCCAGGGCTAAACGTGGTGCTCGGGACCATGTGGTACCAGGGATTGAATTTGGGACTTCAGGCCTGCATCCGAGCCTTTTGAACTCTCTTTCTGGACCCTCAGGGAAGTTTTGGGGTGTTTTATCTTTTTGAGGGGGTGGGGGAGTCAGGTACATACCTGGCAGTGCTTAGGACTTATTCCTGGCTCTGTGCTTAGGGATCACTCCTGGCAGGACTCAGGGAACCATTTGGGTTGCCGGAGATCAAACTTGTACACCCAGTGTGAGGCAAGCACCCTACTCACTGTACTATCTCTCTGGCCTCGAGAAAGCTTTTTCTTTTTTCTTTGTTAAAGATTTATTTATTTATTCTTTTTGGGTCACATCCGGTGATGCACAGGGGTTCCTTCTGGCTCTGCACTCAGGAATTACTCCTAGTGGTGCTTAGGGGACTATAAGGGATGCTGGGAATTGAACCTGGGTCAGCTGTGTGCAAGGCAAATGCCCTACCAGCTGTGCTATCGCTCTAGTCCTTCTAGAAAGCTTTTTCAATTTTATTTTTGGCTTCTTGGTTTCTGAGCAGCCCAGCTGTTGCGCAGGTATTAAAGCTCAATGTTTGGGAGTTTCTCCGGGGGGTGCTCAGGGCCCCAGCCACATTCATTTGCCCTTCAAGCCAGCTTTCAGGCCCCTTTATTTTACTCCTAGAGGCGTTTTCTAGTTTGTTTTTTTTTGAGGTACTATAATTTACATTTATTCATAGCTCCCAACTTTACAATCAGCCATAATCAAATTCCATGTGTATAGTTTTCCTGACTTCAGATCTCAACCCCATCACATCAGTATCAGAGATCACTCCCGCCTGGACTCTGGGGCCATATGGGTTGCCAGGGACCGAACCCCGCTCAGCTGCATAGCAAGGCAAATGCCATAACCACTGTCCTATCACTCTGGCTCCACACCTAGAGTTTTATTTAGGAGAAAGAGAAAGAAGGAACAGAGACGGAGAGATAGGGAAAAAGGCGGGGCGGGGGAATGGGAGGATCCATAAATTATGCACCAGCAGGTTAACATCTGGTTGACTCCAGAGTGGGACACTCCAGGAAAGCTTTTATTGTTTGTTTTGGGGCCACACCTGGCAGTACTTAGGACTTACTCCTGGCTCTGCGCTCAGGGGTCACTCCTGGCGGACTTTGGGGGTGCGAACCCAGGTCTGCCATGTTCAAGGCAAGAGCCCCACCCGCAGTACGATGGCTCCAGCCCTAGAAAGCTTTGTTAAAACTGAAGGGCCTGACAGGACCGTGATGGCCACTCTCGCCTTCTATGGCTCTTGGACACTGCCTGAATCCAGAGGTTCTTCAATGGGTCAACTTCAGAACTTTTTTTTTTTTTTTTGCTTTTTGGATTATACCTGGCAATGCACAGGGGTCTCTCCTGGCTCTGCACTCAGGAGTTACTCCTGGCGGTTCTCAGGGAACCATATGGGATGCTGGGAATCGAACCTGGGTCGGCCACGTGCAAGGCAAATGCCCTACCCGCTGTGCTATCGCTCCAGCCCCAACTTCAGGACTTTTTCCCCCCAGTTTTAAAAGCCCAGCTTTGGGGGCCAGGGTGGTAACTCAAAGGGCTGGAGCATATGACTTGCATGTGGAGGCTCCAAGTTCAATCCTGGCACCACAGGGTGCCCAAAGCACCTTTAGGATGACACTGGTGGCCCCCAGCATCGCTGGCCTGAACAGCGCTGAATTTTGAGACAGCTCCAAACCTTCAGGCCCACACAGGCAGAGTACCACTGGGAGGAGTCCTCTGGGGACCCCTGTGCAACACTTGGGAAACTCCCCCCAAAATAAAAAAAAAAAAGGGCCATCACTGCCCCCTTTGTCTGCCAGCTTACCTTCCCTGGCAGCATGACCCCTGTTCCTCTTCATTTTGGCTCTCTTCCCATTCCATCTTCCTGCCCACGCAGTCACCCCAACATGCCCCCCCCCCATCCCCGCCTCCCAGCTGCCCTATATCTTGTCTGCCTGCTCCTGCAGCTCAGGCAGGCCTGGCCCTTGAGTCTGCCCTTCTATGGGCTCGTTTCTAGAAGCACTTTGACATCACCATATTTGCCTTTCATCTCTCATGTCGTCAGTGAGGAGAAAAGGGACTTGCTTTTGTGGGGTGCACTTCCTTCATGCCAGCTCCTGCCACCCACTGTGCCTAGGCGTGACCGATGACACGAAAGTGGCTGGAGAGGCATCCATTCAGGGGACAAAAGCTGAACTCCCAGGCAGGGGCAGATGCCAACTCTGAAACCAGCTTGTCCCATATATGAAGGGGCTCTTCAGCACCATCCCAAGGATCACCGAGAAATGCCCTCTTAAGCGAGGCCTGGACATCGATAAACACGCTTGATAAACATCAGGGTGAAAGTACAGGAAGTGACTAATGAAGAAACCTCGAATGGAAAAGTTAGCAGATGGTTGCTAAAAAGAAATCGAGAAAGCCTAGGGGACAGTGTGGGCTGGGAGGCTTGGCCAGCATTCTTTAGAAGCGTGCTTTCGGCGTCCCCGCTCCAGGCCTGCAGCTGCTCCGCAAGAAGGCGGGTTCTTGTTTTGATTCTAATTCATGCATTTCACAAATGCTTCTTTAGCAGGTACCATTTGTGCTCTTTGTTATTTTAGAGACGCTTTCTGAGGTAGCTCCTATTCTCATCTCCATTTTACAGAGGGGGAAACCGAGGCCCAGAGAGCTAAAATAACTTACCCCGGACCACACAAACTAGTGAAAGGTAGAGCTAAGACTCAGGCTGTCTGGCACCAGAGTCCACCCCCTCAACCACCCTGGGAAGTGAAACTTGCATCCTCTCTCTGGTATTCGAATCTGTAAAGGGACTTGCTCGAGAAAGGCATCTTTATCAACAAAACCAGGTTGACTCTATTTCTAGTAATGCGGGGCACCAGAACGCTGAGAAGAAAAACAGAATTGAGGACCAGGGAAAGAGCTCAAATGGTAGAACACATGCCTGGCATGTGTGAGGCCCCGAGTTTGAGACCATATGGCATCACAAGGAATAGCCCCTAGTTAAAAGGACTGAGTTATTATGATTTTATTCAGAACCTCCTGTGTGCTGAACACAGTGCTGAGGATTCTATGTGATCCATCACTTAAACATCACAGGTCTTTTTTTGTGGTATTTGGATTTTATTGGGGGGGGGTTGAGTGATTTGGGGTTACTCCTGGCAGTGCTTAGGGGACTATACGCAGTGCTTAAACTGGGGTCAGTGCATGCATTTTACCCCAGTACACTCTCTCTCTCTCTCTCTCTCTCTCTCCCTCTTTCTCTCTCCAGTCCTTCTGATGGCATTTGGGATCAAATCCCTGCCTGCCATGATTGTGCTTTGCTACTGAGCTACATGTCTGGCCTCTCAATAAACTTACACGATTAGGGGCTGGAGAGATAGCACAGCGGGTAGGGCATTTGCCTTGCACGTGGCTGACCCAGGTTCGATTCTCAGCATCCCATATGGTCCCCTGAGCATCGCCAGGCGTAATTCCTGAATGCAGAGCCAGGAGTGATCCCTGTGCATTGCTGGGTGTGACCCCAAAAGAAAAAAAAATCTTACACATTTAGAAACTTACATCTCACAGCTGAGATTAAAAAATCTGTCCAGGGGCTGGAGCAATAGCACAGCGGGTAGGGCCTTTGCCTTGCACGCGGCCAACCCGGGTTCAATTCCCAGTATCCCATATGGTCCCCTGAGCACCGCCAGGGGTAATTCTGAGCGCAGAGCCAGGAGTAACCCCTGTGCATTGCCGGGTGTGACCCAAAAAGCAAAAAAATAAAATAAAATAAAATAAAATAAAGTATACTTTGTTGATTATACATGACTTTAAAAAAAATCTTTCCAAGGGGGACCAAGGAGATGACTCACAGGGCTAGAGTGCATGCTTTGCTTGTGGGAGCCCTGGGTTTGATCCCTGGCACCACACGGCCCCCCAAGCAACAAGCTGGGTGTAGCTCCTGACCACGACCGGGTGTGGTCCCAATAAAAAGCAAAAAAAAAAAAAGCCAAGAGAAAAGAAAATAAACTTGCCTAAGGTTACACTAAAAAGCCTCTAGATGCTTTTAGAGTTTCTCATATTTTCCTGAGTTGAGGGCTAGAGAAGGCAATTCCTCCCACTCAGGCCACATGTTCCAGCCTCCCTTCTGCCTCCCCAGGGCTGCAGGTGGAGTTCATCAACCCCATCTTCGAGTTTTCCAGAGCCATGAATGAACTGCAGCTCAATGATGCCGAGTTTGCTTTGCTCATTGCCATCAGCATCTTTTCTGCAGGTGCGGAGGAGGGGGTCTGAGGGAAACGGAACAGGAGATTTGCAACGAGGCAGTCGGAAGGCTGTCTGGGGCAGGAATCACAATGGGGTCCTGTGCAAGCTCTCTGGGGCTGGAAGAGGTTGGGTGGGACTTGGTGGTTGTGATCTGGGGCATGGAACGGAGTGAGACTTTGGCCAGACCTGCTACACCTCAACTCTCTTGGTGACCTGTAGATCGGCCCAACGTGCAGGACCAGCTCCAGGTAGAGAGACTGCAACACACATATGTGGAGGCTCTGCATGCCTATGTCTCCATCCACCACCCCCATGTGAGTCTCCTTCCCTCCTCTCCATAGGATGCTTCCCTGATCCACCAATCCCTCCAAGAACCCTTCTTTTTTTTGGGGGGGAGGGGTTGGGCCACAACCAGCTATGCCCAGAAATCACTCCTGGCTCTGTGCTCAGGAGACCTTATGGGGTGCTGGCGATTGAACCAGGGTTGGCTGCCTGCAAGGCAAATGCCTTACCCACTGTACTATGGCTCTGGCCCAAGAACCCTCCTTCTGACCACAGCATGCACTGACAATGCGCTTCCTTGGGGGAGACAAAGACTGGACGTGCTCCTCTCCTTCTCCAGGATCGACTGATGTTCCCACGGATGCTAATGAAACTGGTGAGCCTCCGGACCCTGAGCAGCGTCCACTCTGAGCAAGTATTTGCACTGCGCCTGCAAGACAAAAAGCTGCCCCCGCTGCTCTCCGAGATCTGGGATGTGCACGAATGACTCTTCTCCCTGCTGCAGAGAATAGGCTTAGCTGCCTCCTGGAGGTGGTGCCCACAGAGAAGGGCAGACATTGCTGGCAAAAGGCAAAGGAGATGATCACGTGACATTAAAGGAGCGTCGAAAGGCTGGGAGCTCCGTGGCTGCTGGGTACTGGAAATCCTGCTAAAGCCCGTTCGACGAACTATACTGACCCCACCAAAAAGCTGAACCCAGGCTTTGCACAAGTTTCTTCTGGGTCCCGCCCATCCCACCCCCACCACTTCCTGTTTCCTCCCCCCACCCCGGCGAGACCCATGAGAACTTCACTGTCACGCTGCGGCTTGGCCATAAATGTCTCGGGTTGCTTTGCTGACAGGTCTGGCACTGTTTGTACAGCAAGAACAAGATGAGTAACAGAAGAGGGGTGGGGGCTGGACCACGGAGGAGGGCAGCGGGTGTCATTTACAGTTTGCCTCCAGATTCAAAGGAAGGCTGCAGGCAATAGCCTTGGCTTGGGGAGGTTGTGGGGGTGCGTCATTTACAGACCCTGGGCGCCATAAGGGTCAACTGAAAACAGAGGTTTTAGAAGCCCCGTCGTTCCCCTTTAAAGATCCAGGTAGGATCCCTTAGTCTCGGGGGAGGGGCGCATTGGATTTTCACAGCGCCCCAGCCATTCTCTTACGCTTACGTTCCTGTATATGTGAGACCTTCATTTTCCTATTGGTATTGGGCGGGGAGGCTGCTCCGCTCCGGGTTGGGCCACTCGGTAGGATGGGACTCCACCTCCCAGCGGGCCCCGTGCTCTTTCCTGGGCCCGCGCCCCGCGTAGGTGAGGCCGCGGCCTTCAGGCGCAGGAGGCCCCGCCTCCTATATAAATAACCCCGCCCCTAGATCAGAAGGCCACGCCCCGAATTGGGAGGCCACGCCCCCGGCGCAGGGGACCTGCCCTCCGGCACAGAGACCCCACCTTCTGGCTCTGGAGACTCGTCTTCCGACGCAGGAGGCCCCGCCTTCCGATGGAGGAGGCTCCGCCTCCCACCCGGGCGGCCCCGCCCCCGGGCTCTGGAGGCCCGCCTTCCGGCTCAGGAGGCTCCGCCCTCCAACCGGGCGGCCCCGCCTTCCGGCTCGACCCACCCCCGCCCCGGCGTTGGTAGGCTCCACTGCCAGGGCGCCGGCTGCCAGCCCAGGTGGCCGGGCGCTTCCAAATGACCGAGCGAGGGGGGGGAGGCCAGGTGTCAGTGTGCAGGTCTGGGAGACACCCCGAAGGTCTCAGGGGCCGTTTCTCTGGAGCAGTCGCTTCCCGAGGACTCTCCAGTGCGTGGAAACGGGCCCGGCTTCCACGCCGAATTACCGTCTCTGCTGAGGCCGAAGCCGCAGCCGGGCCGCGGGGCCTCCCCCGGGCGCGCGCAGTGGCGCCTTCCCGCTCCCGCACGGCTGAGGTGTGCGCGTCGGCGCCCAGCCGGCTCCCTCCTCACGTCGGCTCCACCCTGCGGCGCGCGGCGAGGGCCGGCCCCGGCGCCCCCATCCCGAGGGTGAATGGTACGGCCCCCCCTCCCGTCCCCCCTCAGCCGCGCTCCCTCAGCCTGTCAGCCCGGGTGGTACGAGCACCCCGCCGGTGTAGACGCGGAACTGACGCGCGCCCTGCGCGGCGCCCGCGCTCGGGAGCCCCGGTCACTCGACAGCGGCTGCCGGGGCGGGGTGGGGGGGGGCCGTTGGGCGACGCCTGGCCGGTCCCGCGAGGCTGGCGAGGTAGGGAGACTGGGGTCCCCAGGGGGTGGGGTAGGGGGAGGACCCCGGAGGGCCCTAGCCGGGAGCAGGGGCTCGGCGGAAGGGCTGGCCAGGAGGCCGGAAAGGAGTGTGAGGGTGCATGGGGTCTCGCGGGGAAGGGGGCGGGCCTGGAAAGAGGGGGCGCCCCGAGCCGCCGCGGTGGGGGGGGGGTGCGGGCTGCGCGTCTGGGCTCCGCTCGCTGCCGCTGGGCTGGATTCTGGCCGGGCCGCGCCGGTTCCGGGGCGCAGGGGCGGGGGGAGCTGTCCAGCAGGTGGAGGGGGGGGGGCGGGCAGAGCCGGACCAGCCGGCGGGCCGCGCCAGGTAAGCGTCTGCCTGTGCCTGTGCCTGCCGCGGATTTGCTTGCCCCCCCCCCCCAGAAAACGTCTGGGGGCGCCTGAGACTACAAGCGTTTGCTGTTGGTTTTAAAATTCGGGGTTTCACAATTGGCTTGCTGGGGAGAGCGGAGACACCATGTCATCGTCCGTGCCACCGGCGCTTCCCGCATTTCCCCCCGCCCCCCTCCTCCTCCTCTTCCTCCTCCTCCTCCTCCTCCTCCTCCTCCTCGCCAGCCCTAGCGCGGGGCCTGCCCCTATGCCCTGCATCTCCCCCACGCTGGACCAGTCTGGGCCGTGGCGCCTGCAAGGTCACTGCCTGGGGAGAGGGAGGAGGGCAGGAGAGCACACGCGCACGTCAGCAGAGATGTCACATCGCTGTGGGGTTCCGGTGGCTTTACGCTGACATCCTGCCCCCCAGCGAGGGACCAACCCCTAGGGCTGGTTAGTGTGGCCGCGGTAAGGCTGGAAAAGATGTATCGCACTGGGAGGCCTGTCGCTGCTAAGCCTGCAGCTGGGTGGAGTGGCTGGTGAGGTCGGACTTGAGCAGTTGGGGATGCTTGGGGAGCCGAGTGGGCCTTTGGGATACTGGAAACTGGGCACCAGGGCTGGGGTGGGGGTGTCTCTGCTTAGTGAAACAGTTGAGTCTGCATCTGGGGGTGTAGCAAGGCAGAGTGTGTGTTAGAGGAGCACTGAGGGCAGGGAGAGAAGAAGAGAGAAAACGGTGCCTAGCTTTGCTGCATGACTAACCAAAGGCAGATCTTTCTTTATCCCTAGTAGCTCGAACAGACCTGCAGTCTGGATCCCTCAGGGACACGGGTACTGTCCAGCATGCCAATGACATGAGATCTAGCAAATGATTCTCAGTGGAGGGGGACTGGGGTCCCACCCCGGTGAGAGGCCTGCTGATTGAAATAGGGTACTAGAAGACGCCTCCGGTGTGAGTTTTGAGATCTGGGGGAGATAGGTCTCCTGGTTTGTGTGTGAACTGATATTTGGAGCTTGCATCTGGAGCCAGGGGTCTGTACATTGTTTGGAGGCACAGTGGTGTTTAGCCCTGGGCATTTTCCATAGGACTCTTTTGATGGAGTGAATGATGCTTTCGTCATGTCTGTTTTCCCTCCCCGTGTCATTGTGCTTGGGAGAAGCTCCTTCCTCTCAGGTCCCTGCTTTCTGCAGTTGGCTGCTGGCTCTGAGACAGAGGGGTGAACCAAAACACTTTTTGCAAGGGCTGTGATGCCAAGAAATAAGTATATGGCTCGTTGGGGGAACTTTGTTTTGATTCTCTTCTACTGAGATATTTCTGTCATAATCTAGCATGAGGACAGAGTGCCAGCTAGAGACAGATGGGGTGGGGGGAGATAACCTGATAGTAGGTGCTAACTCTGGGCGCATGGCCTCTAGCTTCAAGACCAGTGAATTGTTCTGGTCCTGGCCGACTGGAGTAGCAGCTGCGAGCACTGTTCGGTCACCAGGCAGGGGAGGGACTGTGGTTCTGCTATAAATAGTGCTGGGAGCCAGAGTCGCTATGGAGACAAAACCGAATCCGATTACCTGCAGGTCCTCCATTGGGAGCAAGGGAAGACGGGACCATATTTTGAGGAGTTGAGAGGTGCTGCAAATAGGTCTTTTAAAATTACTAGTGGAGGAAAAAAAGCTTGTACTAGTGGCCTGAGTCCAGTAGGGCCTTCAGCGTGCAGGGAGGGTGTCTGAGTACGGGAGTTTACGCGGCAGCAAAGAAGAGAGTGGCGTGAGACTGCGTGCAGTGTCATGGGATTCTGTGTGTGCATCATGAATAATGTCGTCGTAGGGCCATAGCTGGAATCCTGTAAATGCTGGAAATAGCCCGGGAGGGGTGGGAAGAGGCATTTTGTTGAGGAGAAGTGTACGAAGACCCAGTAGAAAGTAAATGATTGTGGCATGTCAGCTTCTCCTGATTCGGGGCTTTGGGTTATGGATTCCTCTCCCTGCCCATATAGAATTGTTTTGTTTCTGCATTATTGCTGATCTCTGTGAGGTAGAGAAGGATAAGGCCTCCTGTGGGTGTACTGTTTCAACTGATTCCAGCCCGGCACCCCGGCAGAGGAGGAAAGACCATGATTCAGCACCAAGGGCAGAGCCCGTGGCGGGCGCCGCTGGGGTCCCTTCTCTTGTTTGAAGAGGGGAGAGAAATGGCTCAGAGGAAGCACTTGGGGCCCAGATGTTCTCCATTTGCAATCACATGGGGCAGAGTAGCCAGCTGCTGTTACTGTCTGAGTGCAATTAAACTATACAGTCTATATGCTAGAATTCATGTGGCACCAAAGTGAAATGCAGGAACAGCAAGTAATTAGGTTGCCGTCTTGGAGCTTGGAATATGGGTGAGTGCTGTTTAGAGAGCCTGGCTTGATTCAAGCCGTCCCGACATGGCCTGGTACAGTCCTGCCAGTGACTTTGGTGTTTGTTAGATTAGCCCCGTCTCTGTCAGAAACAGCCTCGGGGGCCAGGTTGGGAAAGTAGCCTGGTGTCTGGGTGGGGAGGGGACCCATGGAGACATTTGACTCTAAGCCTGGGCAGAAGTGGGGGCTGGGAAAGGTGTCGGGTTCCCTCCAATCTGCAGCCCTGAACTGGAGGGCTTGTGACCTCCACCTGCCCCAGAACCAGAACGAGTGCCTTAGGCTCAGCAGGCACTTATCCGGCGCTTATCTGGAATTTTCCTTTGGACTTGCAGAATTCTTCCCTCCAACACTTGCTGCTTCCCTGTGTCTCTGAGATGAATGGATGAGTCGGAACCATGGTGCAGAAGAAGAAGTTCTGTCCTCGGCTGCTGGACTATCTAGTGATCGTGGGGGCTAGGTAACCAAGGATTACTTCTTTGGTCTTGTCATCGCATCATGTGCTTCCCTCTCCCCTTCCCATCGTCTCCTCCTTCCCCTAGCGCGGTACCTGAGAGGGACCCTGATACTTAGGTGAGAGAAGCCCAGAGAAGCAGAGTGAGGGTTGGAGCCTGAACGAAGAAGACCAGGAAGCTCCCTCACAGAGCGCTCTGCTCTGCGCTGGCTCAGCCCAGGGCCTTCCTTTGGTAAACAGGAAAAACAGAAGGGCCTCTTTGATAATTGACCAACAGATAAGGCCTGGAAGGTGCTAATTATCTTAAGGTGTTGGTGATTTTACGTCTCCGGGTGTTGTCCCTTGGCCTCAGAGGCTTCAGTCCCACAGGCTGAAGGTGGCCAGCAGTGCTCCTGTTTCCCAGCGCCCCACAGTTTGTCTATGCTAATAGCGTGGCTCTTTGCCAGCCATGGTTAACAGTAGGAAGAGCAGCCTCTCTTCACGGGGTGGGGTGTGTGTGGGGGGTAGTGGGGAGCGGGGTCACATCCAGCTTCCTGCTCCCCAGGCACCCGAGCAGTGACAGTGTGGCTCAGACCCCGGAGCTGCTGCGACGGTACCCACTGGAGGATCATGCGGAATTTCCCCTGCCCCCCGATGTCGTGTTCTTCTGCCAGCCAGAGGGCTGCCTGAGCGTGCGGCAGCGGCGCCTGAGCCTACGGGATGACACCTCCTTTGTCTTCACCCTCACGGACAAGGACACTGGCGTCACGCGTTATGGCATCTGTGTCAACTTCTACCGCTCCTTCCAGAAACGCCTGCCTAAGGAGAAGGGGGATGGTGGGATGGGGCATCGAGGGAAGGAAGGCCCCCGGGCCCCCGGGGCCTCGGAAGAGACTGGCACTGGGGGCAATGAGAGCTCAGAGAGCGGCTCGTCCCTGCAGCCGCCCAGTGCTGACTCCACCCCAGATGTCAACCAGTCTCCTCGGGCCAAACGCCGGGCCAAGGGTGGCAGCCGGTCCCGGAACAGCACCCTGACGTCGCTGTGCGTGCTCAGCCACTACCCCTTCTTCTCCACCTTCCGGGAGTGTCTCTACACCCTCAAGCGTCTGGTGGACTGTTGCAGTGAGCGGTTGCTGGCCAAAAAGCCGGGCATCCCTCGAGGCATACAGAGGTAGGGTGGCCGTGGCCATTGTGGGGGTGCAGGGGAGGCACGTGGAGAGCCAAGGGCTCTTTGGTCGGTGAGGGGAGGGCACGTTTCCTGAGGCCCGAGCCTTAAAAAGTCTGATCCCTTCCAAAACTGACTGTGTGCGTGCTCTCGAAGTGCCAGGGCAGCAGGCTGCCAAGTCACGGCTTCCCTGGGGGCAGGTCAGGGAGCTCTTTCTTCAGCACCTGCCTGTGCTCACCTCCCCGCACTCCCCAGAGGGCACTGGTAGGTCCTCACTGATCCCAGAGAGCGCTCATAGGCCTGCCCCCTACTGTCCACCCTTCAGGGACACTATGTGGCGCATCTTCACTGGGTCACTGCTTGTGGAGGAGAAGCCGAGTGCCCTGCTGCACGACCTCCGCGAGATTGAGGCCTGGATCTACCGGCTGCTGCGCTCCCCTGTCCCCGTCTCCGGGCAGAAGCGAGTAGACATTGAAGTTCTACCCCAGGACCTCCAGCAGGCCCTGACCTTCGCCCTCCCAGACCCCTCTCGGTTCTCCCTCGTGGATTTCCCGCTGCACCTTCCCTTGGAACTCCTCGGTGTGGAGGCCTGCCTTCAGGTGCTCACTTGCATCCTGTTAGAGCACAAGGTGAGAGGCCTGGCTTTCTAGACCTTTCTTGGGTGAGGACCACGAAGTAAGGCAGAGGTTGGACTAAGAGCTTTTTGAGCACAGCCTCATTTTGGCCGTCTTTGTATCTGCAGGAGTTAGCACAGTTAGCTTGGTATACAGCAGGAGCCCAATAGGTGTGGGTCGATCATGGTCCTGCACTGTAGGGGCTGCACTCAGGGTCCTGGCCAGTCAGTGGGCTTTTCCTGAGCTATACCAACCCAATGCACTGGGAGTACCGGCAGTTTCACTCCGGGGTGTGGGTTTGGCTTGGGGCACAAGAACTAGGCAGGGAAGGAGTGGCTGGAGGGAGGATCGCTAAAGTGCAGGCAAAGGGGGTCTTGGGGGAGCATCAAGAAACGTGGGGGTGGGGGTGAGTCCTCAGGGGCCATAGGCATGGTGAAACAGACGCGTTTCTCTCTCCTAACCGCTCTTGCTGCTGCCCGTTCTGGAATGGCCATCGCAGGTGGTGCTTCAGTCCCGTGACTACAATGCACTCTCCATGTCCGTGATGGCCTTCGTGGCCATGATTTACCCGCTGGAGTACATGTTTCCTGTCATCCCCCTGCTGCCCACGTGCATGGCGTCCGCTGAGCAGGTGAGGTGCCACGTGGCTTCCTGCACTGCTAGTCCTGAGGGAGAAGGCTCAGTGTCACAAGTCCCTTGGTGCTCACCTTCCGAGGTCTGCCCCTGTATGTTTGGGCCACATCTGTTCATACTCAGAGCTTACTTCTGGCTCTGCTCAGGGCTTGGGGAACCATATGGGATGCCAAGGGTCAAACCCCCAGGTCAGTCATCTTACCTGCTGTACTATCTTTCTGGCCCCTCTGATTTTTACCTGTTTGTCTGTACAGTTTGATTTGACTTAAACTGACCTGTGCTGGAGATGGTTCTTATTTCTTGTAGCCCGTGAATCTCAGCTTTTGGCAGTTCCCTCATGGGTGTCACCTAACCACGGCATCTCTCCTTTCTAAAGCCTGAAAAGCCTCAGCGTTGAAACACATCTCCCTTTACAAGTTTGGGGATGTGAACCTGTGTTTCCGTAGCCAGACTGTGTTGCCTCAGTCAGTGACTGTGATTGGTGTTGTTTTTCTGTTTCTTATCCTCTTTGCCTTCCGCAGCTGTTGTTGGCTCCAACCCCCTACATCATTGGAGTCCCTGCCAGCTTCTTCCTCTACAAGCTGGACTTCAAAATGCCAGATGATGTGTGGCTCGTGGATCTGGACAGCAATAGGGTAAGTCTCTTTGCTGAAGCCTGCAGAGTTCTAGAAGAAAATTGGGTTCTCTTTTGTTGGGGGGGAGGGTGGAGAGGATTGGGGTTCATCATTGGGGTGATGCTCAGCAGTAACTCCTGACTTTGCAACTCATGAATCAATCCTGGTAGTACTTGGGGGATCATATGGGATGCTGGGGATCAAACCTGGGTCAGCTGCATACAAGGCAGCTGTACTACCTCTCCAGCCTCTCTCTTCAATATGTATATATGTGTATATATATATATATATATATATATTTTTTTTTTTTTTGCTTTTTGGGTCACACCCTGCAATGTACAGGGGTTACTCCTGGCTCATGCAATCAGGAATTGCTCCTGGCAGTGCTCAGGGGACCATATGGAATGCTGGGAATCAAACCCAGAACTGCCGTGTGCAAGGCAAACACTCTACCCGCTGTGCTATTGCTCCAGCCCCTCTTCAATTTTTGTCTTGCATTTTTTTTGTTTTTGTTTTGATGATGCTGAGGGGTGGAAGGAACCATGCACTTCTAACTATTGAGCCCAGGGCTGCCACAAACAGAACCTGTGCTCTAGTCCTTTGAACTACCATTCTATTTTTTTTACATTAACATTCTGCAGTGTGAATACACTCAAACTTCAGTAGGAATTCTTTCTGTTTATTCATTGTGAAATAAAAAAAATATATAGTGATAGGGGCCAGAGCGATAATACAGTGGATAGGTCACTTCTCTTTTTGTTTATTTTGTTTTTTGGATCACACCTGGCAATGCTCAGGGGTTACTCCTGGCTCTGTACTCAGTAATAACTCCTGGCGGTTCTTGGGGGGGCCACATGGGATGCTGGGGATCAAATCCGGGTCAGTTGTGTGCAAGGCAAATGCCCTACCTCCTGCACTATCGCTCCAGCCCAGGATAGGTCACTTCTTTACACACGGCTGACATGGGTTTGGTCCCTGATATCCTATATGGTTCCCTGAGGACTGCCAGGAATAAGCTCTGAGTACTTCCAGGTATGGTTGAAACAAAACAAAACACATACCAAAAAAATGATAGAGAAATCTCACTGCATTATCTAGAGATAGTCGCAGATAACAGGTAGGTATCCTTTCAGGGGTGTATACATACCATGCTTATATGTGCAAACATCTCATATACATGTGTGTAGAACTTATTCACATATGTATTATTTGGCTGTTGGTGCAACTTCCCAGTCTTGCTACTCACCCTTCTGCGGAAGAGACTCACAGCAGAGCCTGCTGCAGCCCTGCCTTTGGTGTTTCTCTGCTGTAGGTGATTGCGCCCACCAATGCTGACGTACTTCCTGTCCTGCCAGAGCCAGAGTCATTGGAGCTGAAGAAACATCTAAAGCAGGTAGGTGCAGAGGGAGAAAACCAGGGGGCGTGAATGCCACAGGACTGCTGAAGGCCCGCAGACAGACAAGACAGACATTCCCAACAATTATGGAACAGCGATGGGAGGAGCCAGCTTCTTGTCCCATGCAGTTCCAGGGGAGAAATCATGGCCGCAGACCTGGTACATCTCAAAAGGGGTCCTTCAGTTTCCTGCAGATGTCTCTGTGCCCCCCATCCCCACCCCACCACCCGCAGTGCTTATGCCTTTTTTTTTTCCCTTTTTGGGTCACATCCAGCAATGCACAGAGGTTACTCCTGGCTTTGCACTCAGGAATTACTCCTATCGGTGCTCAGGGGACCATATGGAATGCTGGGAATCGAACCCGGGTCAGCTGCGTGCAAGGCAACACCCTTCCCACTGTGCTATTGCTCCAGCCCGGTGCTTACTCCTTTACTTTGTTTCTTGTCCCCGCCAGTTTCTTGTCACATCTACCATTCTTTCTGGCCTTGCAGCCCTCTTTCTGTGTCTAAGGTGGGAGTTGTAGTTTGGGCAGTATGGCTCCTTTTTAATTTTCTTTTTGGCATATAACCATATAGAATCCTACTAAAATCCCTAGAAAATCCTTCCTTTCAAATCCCTTTCAGTAATCCTTTAAATGCATTTTCATTGATGAATTTTCTTCTTCTTCTGCATGCTGAACACAGTACTTGAAGGTAAAACAAGGCAGCTACTCCATGCCTTCCTCTGTGCTGCTCTCTGTGTTTTGTGGGTCTCCCAGTAGCTAGCTCTCTAGTTATTAGCAATACCTGCTCTCCTTTGACTGGTCTTCAGGACTCTCTTTGTGTTGTCTGGGTTACTTAGAAGTGCCTGTATGTTATGTTTTTATATTTATCTGGGTCTTTTTGTATCATCTCTTTCTGCTTCACTACTGATATAATAGAGTATCTTGTTCCCGCAGATCACAAGTTCAATCAGTTCTCTAGATTTGCTGTGAAAACAGAAGATATTACTTTGCTGTGTTTTCATTTTTGGTTATTGCCTTCCTAGGACCAGTGAGATGGAATGGTTGTAATACTCCATTATGGAATCATACTTTATCATCAACATTTTTTTGCTCTCCCCTGGGTTTATTATACAAGATCAATTTCAGGATTAAAGCTTCATACACTTCCAATGTTCCTGGGAATTAAGATTCTTAGCTCCTTGATTCTGTATTTGTTTTTTTGTTTGTTTGTTTGTTGGGGGCCACACTTCACAGTGCTCAGGGGTTACTTCTGGCTCTGTACTCAAGGATTACTCTGGAGGTGCTCAGAGGACCATATATGGGGCACTGGGGATAGAACCTGGGCATGATACATGCCAGGCAAGCACCCTACCTGCTGTATTATCGCTTCAGCCCCCCAATTAGGCATCTTTTATTTTATTAATTAATTAGAGAAAGAGGAAGCTAACCACCCACTCTGTTTATTTATTTATTTTTTTTTCTTTTTTGTCACACCTGGGGATGCTCAAGGGTTGCTCCTGGCTCTATAGTCAGGAATTACTCCTCGCAGTGCACGGGGCGGGGGGGGGGGGGGGGGGGACATATGAGATTCTGGGGATCAAACTTGGGTATGGCTACATGCAAAGTAAATGCCTTACCCACTGGACCATCTTTTATTAAGTTTTCTCAGTAAGTTGGTCAAAAACATTGCTGCTATATTTTAGCAGTTGCAATCCAAATAATATGAGGCACAATTAAAATACTAATTTTTTATTCTTTTTTTGGGGGGAGGGGACTCACACTGGCATTGCTCAGGGGTAATCCTGGTTTAGTGCTGGGGTCATATGTAGTGCTGCTGGGGATTCAACTTGGGTCGCCTTCATGCAAAGCATATGCTCAGCCTGTTCCTGTATTTCTATGACCCCTGATTCTGTATTCTTAGTCTTTTGTTTGTTTTTGTTTGGGGGCCACACCTGGTTATGTTAAGGGTTTAGTCCTGGCTCTGTACTCAAAAATCACTCCTCCAGAGACTATATAGGGTACCGGGGATTGAACTTGAGTCAGCCATGTGCAAGGCAGGCTATACTATCTCTCTACAGACCTTGATTATTAATTATTAATAAAATTATGATCAGCAACAATAGCATCTCCTGACTTTATATAAAATGTAGAATCAGAGGCCGGAGCAATAGTACAGTGGGTAGGGTACTTGCCTTGCATGCGACTGACCTGGGTTCAATACTCTGCCTCTCTTATGGTACCCTGAGCACCACCAGGAGCAGTTCCTGAGTGCAGAGCCAGGAGTAACACCTGAGCATCGTTAGGTGTGACCCAAAAAAGCAAAAAATAAAATGTGGTATCCCTCCAGGCATATTGAATCAAAATCCTCCTTTTGACGGCATCCCTTGTGATCCCTGTGCTTGTTAAAGCAGCACTGCTGGGGGCCAGAGCAGTAATATGGTGGCACATGGCAGATCTAGGTTTGATCCCCATACAGTCCCCCGAGCCCTGCCAGGAGTAATCCCTGAATGCAGAGCCAAGGATAGGCTCTGAGCACTGACAGGTATGGCCCAAAAACAAAATGGAAAATAAAAGGTAGCTCTGTTAGTCCAGAGGAGGGGCCGCACCTCCCCTGGTACGTGCTACGGGGTCACATTAGGTCAGAAGCACTGAGCATATGAGGCTCGGGGTTCCTTAGGCCCCTTAGAGACTCTGTACTTGCACCGTTTCAGTGGACTGTTTCCACATAGAGTTCCCCTGAGAAACCAGATTTCTTGGCTGACCTGGACTTCAGATCTGATTGAGTTGCTTTAAGCCAAGGGGACTTGGGCAGCAGATCTCCGTAACACCTACTGTTTTCTGGATAACAGAGTTATCTCCCAGATGAAGGCTCTTTCCTAGAAGCTGTGGTTGGCTGGCAGCCCAGGAATCGCCTCCCATGTGGGCTCTCTTCTTGTTGCATAGGCCCTTGCCAGCATGAGTCTCAACACCCAGCCCATCCTCAACCTGGAGAAATTCCACGAGGGCCAGGAGATCCCCCTTCTCTTGGGGAGGCCTTCGAGCGACTTGCAGTCCACACCTTCCACTGAGTTCAACCCCCTCATCTATGGCAACGATGTCGACTCCGTGGATGTGGCGACCAGGTGTGTCCCAGCAGGGTGTGCACCCTCAGCTCACACAGCCCGCCTGCCCACTCGGCAGCCTGGTATGGGGCATGGCACTTTCCTGAGCGCCCTTGTCCGCTGAGATCAAAGAAGTAGTACCCCTTCCCGGGCCTCTCAGAGAGAACTGAGGAGTCTTGGAGGCAGCTCTCCCCTTGTTATTGGGAGCCTGTGAGCAGAGGGCTTCAGCAGGGGGGTCTGCACCTTGGGGGTGGGCATGGGAAGGGCAGGAACCCTTGCCCTGCGGGGTGTGGGATTTGGATGATCTCATCGTCCCCTTCTTTCCCAGAGTGGCCATGGTCCGTTTCTTCAACTCCCCCAACGTGCTGCAGGGCTTTCAGATGCACACACGTACCCTGCGCCTCTTCCCTCGGCCTGTGGTCGCTTTCCAAGCCGGCTCCTTTCTAGCGTCCCGCCCCCGGCAGACGCCTTTCGCTGAGAAGCTGGCGAGGACGCAGGCTGTGGAGTACTTTGGAGAGTGGATCCTTAACCCCACCAACTACGCCTTTCAGCGAATTCACAACAGTGAGTCTCCCCTGCCTGAATCCCCCCGTGGGCCCCTCTCCCTTTCTCATCTTCCACCTGCCCTCAGCCATTACAGTTTTTTAATTTATTTATTAATTTTTAAAAAATTTTTCTGTTTGGGTCACACCCAGCTATGCTCAGGGGTTACTCCTGGCTCTGCATTAAGGAGTTATTACTAGTGGTGTTTGGGAGACCATATGGGATGTCGGGGATTGAACCCGGGTCAGCCACATGCAAGGCACATGCCCTACCCTTTTACTATTGCGCTGGCCTCTATTTTATTATTATTTTTTTTAATTTTTGGGTCACACCGGATGATGCTCAGGGGCTATTCCTGGCTCTGCATTCAGGAATTACTCCTGATGGTGCTCCGGGAGCCATATGGGATGTCGGGGATCGAACCCGGGTTGGCCTCATGCAAAGCAGAAGCCCTCCCCACTATGACTCAGGCCCCTTGCCATTCCTGTTTGACTCTAGAATGCACTCCTGCCTGACCTTCACATTTGGCTGGCCTTTCTCCCTGAGTGTTGCTCACTCACAATTCCTTTCCCCCCTGTGGGCAGACATGTTTGACCCGGCCCAGATTGGGGACAAGCCAAAGTGGTACGCTCACCAGCTGCAGCCCATCCACTACCGGGTGTATGACGGCAACTCCCAGCTGGCCGAGGCGCTGAGTGTGCCGCCAGAGCGTGACTCGGACTCAGAGCCACCGACGGATGACAGGTGAGAGGCCGCTCCCCTCCCCCTACCCTCCTACCAGGACAGCCCCTTGGGGGCTCTCCCAGGACAAAGACTTCAGTCCTGGAGACGTTGGCTTGTGTGTTGGGCGGTGGCTTTCAGTGGTCGGGCTCCTTTTGTCCTGCTCCCTAGCCGTGGCCTCAGAGTGCCCCTTTCTTCGCATTGCCTCATGCCAATTCTTTCCCCTGTCTCTTCCCATGGCCTTGGTTTCTCTCTCCCACTTGGCCCTCTGCAGTGGCAGTGACAGCATGGACTACGACGACTCGAGCTCGTCCTATTCCTCTCTGGGTGACTTCGTCAGTGAAATGATGAAGTGTGATATCAGCGGGGATACTCCAAGTAAGTGCCATTTGGGAAGGTGGCTGCCTCGGGGCGGGGCCCGGGGCTCAGGGCCGGAGGTCAACTGGGCTGTGGTCTCTGGCAGATGTGGATCCTCTGACGCATGCAGCGCTGGGGGATGCCAGCGAGGTGGCAATTGATGAGCTGCAGAGTCAGAAGGAGGAAGCGGAGGAGCCAGGCCCGGAGAGCGAGACATCTCAGGAAGGCCCCGTGCCGCACCCCAGCTCCAGCACCACCGCCAGCAGGAGCCCCGGCACTGTGGTCCACGGAACCAGCTCTGTACGTGAGCATGTGGGAGCTCTTTCTGGGGAGCAGGACCTCCTCTCTGGCATCAAAACGAGGATAAAGCTTGTCGCCATTTTCTGTTCAGGACAGCCTCAAGCCTTGAGCCTCCAAGATGGACTTTTGGTCTTAGGGGGTCTTTGGGCTTTCTTCTGGGGAGCCTGGGATCCCACCCTGGTGTCAGTTTATGGCAACAGAGAACAGAGGTGTCCACAGTTCATTCCTTACATGTGTGAGAATAGGAATCTGAGCGACCTGGTGTGACCCCAACAATCAGAATATGAAACATAATCTCCAAACCTCAGGTGACCAGGCTTTCCTTCCTGTGGCCTCTAGGAATCTGCGGACTCCACAGAAACTGAGGACAAGGCATCTATAAGTGCCTCCAGACCACTGTCTGCTATGGGCCCCGGCATCGGGAAAGCGAGTGTGGAGAGACGTCAGCCGGAAATTGGAGAGGGGTCAGTGAGCCGGGGACCCTGCGACAATCTGTTTTTGGACCCCCAATGTGGTCTTCCCCCTGAGGAGGGGGATACTGACTGGGGAGAGTTACTCTCCCCAGTTTAGCCTGCATGTCAGTGGCCTTCAGTGAGAGCCCAGGAGCCCTTCCAGCTGGCGGCCAGTGGACTCCCCACATCAACCTGGGCCAAGAATTGACCCCTCTGCCAAGCCTGAATTCTCTCCAGGTCCTGCCATTCCTAGAGGGTGGTGCTTTGAGCCAGGCCTGACATGGCCAAACATGTTTGACCCCCCCCCCCCCCCCGCCTCCTTTTTCAGGAAAAATTTTAAAAAATCACTCCGTGTCCTTCTGGAAATCTACTGGAAATCTACCTTTTTTTTTTTTCTTCTTGGGTCATGCCCAGCGATGCACAGGGGTTACTCCTGGCTCATGCACTCAGGAAATACTCCTGGCGGTGCTCACGGGACTATGTGGGATGCTGGGACTCGAACCCCGGTCAGCTGCATGCAAGGCAAACGCCTTGCCTGCTATGCTACCACTCTGGTCCCCAAATCTATCTTCTTTATTTATTTATTTATTTATTTTTGCTTTTTGGGTCATACCCGGCGATGCTCAGGGGTTACTCCTGGCTCATGCACTCAGGAATTGCTCCTGGCGGTGCTCGGGGGACCATATGGGATGCTGGGAATCGAACCTTTGTTGGCCATGTTGACTGCGTGCAAGGCAAATCCCCTACCCGCTGTGCTATCACTCCAGCCCCAAATCTATCTTCTTTAAATGAAAAAAGCAAAGCACACTGAGATTTCCTTCCCTCCCCCTCCCCCATTGTTCCAGTGTCTTCACCCCAGGGTGGGGGTGGTATTACTCAAAGCCCACTCAACTGGGCTTTGAGAAATGGTGGGAAGGGAGCACCCCCCCAGGTAGTCTAGACCCCCACTACCTGGGACTCATCAGGGCCACTGTGCATTCCAGGGCGCAGAAGCTGCTGCGGCCCAGCAGCCTCAGGTTGGCCAGTGACTCTGAGGCAGAGTCTGACTCCCGGGCCAGCTCGCCCACCTCCACCGTCTCCAATAACAGCACAGAGGGCTTCGGCGGCATCATGTCTTTTGCTAGTAAGTGCCTTCCTTTCACACTGTTGGCCCTTGTCCCCTTTCCCCACCGGCTGGACTTGGCCATGGCAGGCTCCACTTAGGGCTGCAGAGGGAGGGCTGAGTCTGCAGGGCCCAACCCTAGTCAGCTGGTGAAGGCAATGGGGAATGCAGTATTTTCAGGTCAGATCAATAAAGAAAGGGCTGGGTCTCATGTTGCACGGAAATAATTTGATCCTGTTTGATTTGGCTATATTTTTGATACCTTTTGCCTGCTGTGAGCAACTTTTTCATGGCCGTTTTTATGTACTTTGTTCCAAAAATAGATTGTTTTGAATCTGTATGCGGTTGGCTTTTGTTTGTGCTTAGAGATTATTTTCAGAAATGAGGTGTAGCATTAAAGAATGAAGACAGGGCTGGAGATAGATAGAACAGACTGGAACGTGCCTTGCATGTTGCTGACTTGGATTTGATTCCTGGCGTTGCAAATGGTTCCCTGAGCACCTCTATGAGTGATCCCGGAGTCAGAGCCAGGATTAATCCCTGAGCACCACCAGGTTTATCCCCAAAGCAAAAAATAACAGAAGAGGAATGCAGACAGGCTGGGAACCAACAGAGCTGTCCTAGGGAAGAGCTGTTTGTGTGTGATTGTGGAGTTTCTCAGAAGCTGGGGAGAGGTAGCAGCCAGTTCAGATCAGAAGCACATTAAATGCCGACTTTCGGGCCAGGTTAGCTTGAGGCTGATTTGTTATCCTGGGAAGGAGTCAGAGGAAGTTGCTACTAAGTTCTGAGCAGTCCTGGCAGTAAATTTATTTGTTCTCCCTCTCAGCTCTCTCTCTGTCTCTCTCTCTGTCTCGCTCTTCTTCCTGCTCTTTCTCCCTCCTTTTTTCTCTCCTTTTCTCTCTTTCATTTTGACCATGCCTATCAGTGCATAGGTATCTCTGACTCAGGTAGAGTCAGATCCCTGACTCTGTACTCAGGGATCACTCCTAGTAGTGTGTGCCAGGGATTGAACCCAGTCATATACATTCAAGGCAAGCATTTTACTGCCTGTACTCCCTTTCTGGCCCTAGACTCATTCACCCACTCTCTCTCTCTCTTTCTCTCTCACTCTCACTCTCTCTCTGTGGGGATGGGGGGCACACGCATTTGCACTTACTCCTGGCACTGTGCCCAGGGATCACTCCTGCCGAAGCTTGGGGGACCATAAGAGTTGCAAGGCAAGCACCTCGCCCGCTGTACTATCTCTCCGGCCCCAGATTCTGCTCTAAGATCTATTAAAGACTCTGGGAATTTGCCTGAAAATGGACAGGTAAAGAGGATGCGTTTGTTGGCGTCCACTTTTCTGGTGGTTCCCCTCAAGTGTTGTTGCCGTTTTCCCCTTCCAGGCAGCCTGTATCGGAACCACAGCACAAGCTTCAGCCTTTCAAACCTCGCGCTGCCCACCAAAGGGGCCCGAGAAAAGACCACACCCTTCCCCAGTCTGAAAGGTACCAGTTTGCCCACCCTTTGCCAGACCAGGATTCACTGGGAAATGCTTCTGGCCTGGGGGTGCTTGTCAGGATCCTGCACATGACAATGATGCATCCACCTGGCTGCTGCCCCTTGGGTCGCTTCCCCTGCCTTTCCCTGCACACCACTGGCTCTCGTGTTTTCACATGGAGATTTTCTGTGCGCTAAGGGGTAGGCCCTTTGGATTATTTGGGGTGGGGCAGTTTTGGCTGACCGCTGCCCCGTGAGGGCTTCGGTCGAGGCCTGCTGCTGGACATGGGCATCATTACCGCTGCTTTCACTACTGCCCTCCTCATCCCTCCCGCAGGACGGTGGGTGGAGTGTCTGCATTACCTCCAGGACCAGGCCATTCCTTAGGCTTTGTGTCCCTTTCGGGCCCGTGTGTGGGCGAGGCAGTACTGGTTGCCATCTGGGACCAGTTAGGAGTATATTTGCTTTTCTTTTGTCATTCTGACATTGCGAGAGCAGCATCTCCTAATGCTACCCAGGCATTCATCTGTTTTCTCTGAGTCTCGTACTGAGCAAACGGGGGTGGAAAGTGCAGTGAGGAACAGATTTTTATTTTTATTTTTATTTTTTTCCTAACTGCCATTCCTTCCTACTGATTGAAACTGTCAGGGACCTCAGGGACATTCTTATGTTCTTGCAGGCTGGTGGGGGGATTGCAGTAAGCTGGGCCTAAGGACTCCCAAGCTCCAGTTGTCACAACTCTCCGCCCTTGTGGTGGGGACCTATACAGGCCCCGAGTAGGGTGGGGAGGAGTTAGGGCCCCAGATTGGCACTGACTCAGGTGAAGAGGAGAGCACTTGGACCGCTTTCACTGCATGCTGATGCTTCCATTCATTTGCCGCGCTTGTCCCTCCCATTCTCTTCCCTCCCTCACCTCCCTGCTTCACTGCCCATGACAGCATCTGCAAGAGGGGTCGCCCCCACCCACCCACCTGGCACCCCCACCGGCCCTCCATGCTGGATGTTTCCTGAAAACCAGCGCTCCCCCTCTCGTGCATGTGCCTGTCCAGTCCCCGAAGGCTCCTTGTGTCACTGGCCCCTGGCTCTGAGAGTCCATAGTCTCAAGGATGATCTCCCCCAGCACCCTGGTCTCCCGGTCACCTGGCTCTCAGCTGCCAGGTTGTGTGCACTGAGCTGGGGGAGCATGCTTGGATTATCTGACTTCAGCTCCATTAAGGGGTCTCGGGGTGGCAATATTGTGGTGCACCTACTAATTGTGTATTTTGTGTCCCAGTATTTGGGCTAAATACTCTAATGGAGATTGTTACTGAAGCCGGCCCCGGGAGTGGTGAAGGTGGGTCTTGCCCGTGAGCTGTGCATGATCTTCTTTTCTCTCTAGCATCTTCTGTGCCTGCCTGCGGGCCGTCCTCCTCCTCCTGGAGCAAGAGGCATCACGCGCGTGACGTGTCCTGCCCCGGCCCCCCCATGACGCCCGTGTCTGCCCATGGGGCGTGCTGCTGGTGCATGTGGTGTGGCCTGAGTCTCCATCCCCCACTCCCTCCACCCCTGTGTGTGGGCGCAGGGCCTCCCTCCCCCAGACCTCCTGGGGGCTGGGTGCGGAGTGTGGCTGCCTAACTCGAAGAGTGACTTCTCTCCTTCCTCCCCTCCTGGCCTTAGGAAACAGGAGGGCCTTAGTGGACCAGAAGTCATCTGTCATTAAGCATAGCCCAACAGTGAAACGAGAACCCCCGTCACCCCAGGGTCGGTCCAGCAACTCTAGGTAATAAATAACAAGGCTGTTTGAAGAGGTTTCAGGATGGAAAGTAGCTGGTTCCCCCCCCGCCCCCGCGCCCCCGCTTTAGGGATGCTCAGCTGTGGGGTGAGATGGGCAGATGGGCTCTCTGTGGGCAGAAGGAACCTGTGCTTGCCAGCACCTCCGAGAACTGGCAGAGAATGCCTTGGGCACGGGGGCCCTGCCCCTTGGCTTTGAGTTTGGGCTCCTCCCGCCACCCCCCTGGGGTAGACATCTGGTCTGGTGAGAGGGGACATGGCTCCGTGGAGGCTGATGAGCACAGCTGAGGTGTGTGCCCCCCCGCAGCGAGAACCAGCAGTTCCTGAAGGAGGTGGTGCACAGCGTGCTGGACGGCCAGGGTGTCGGCTGGCTCAACATGAAGAAGGTGCGGCGGCTGCTGGAGAGCGAGCAGCTGCGAGTCTTCGTCCTGAGCAAGCTGAGCCGCACGGTGCCGCCTGATGACGGGGGCCGGCAGGACGTCATCCCAGATGTGGTCGGTGTCTCGGAGGGGGCAGGCCGGGGCTGAGGGCTGGAATCCGTGAGCCAAAGGGAGGACACGGGTGCAAGGGGCAGTTTTTGCAAACTCCGGCCCCCGTATTCTGGCCGCAGGAGATCAGCCGGAAGGTGTACAAGGGGATGCTGGACCTGCTCAAGTGCACGGTGCTCAGTCTGGAGCAGTCCTACGCCCACGCAGGGCTAGGGGGCATGGCCAGCATCTTCGGGCTCCTGGAGATTGCCCAGACCCACTACTACAGCAAAGGTAGGCTTGTACCCACTGGCCACCCGCCTCCCCCTGTGTCTTCACAAGAAAGAGTGACCTTGGCCCCTGGACAGGTTTCCCAGGGCCCCACCACCTCCTCCCAGGCTCGGGGGTCTCACCCTCTAGTGCACGTTTCCGTGTCACGGGCAGCAGCAGCGTGTCCTTCCCCACATGCTCCAGTAGCCTGGCTCCACCTGCCACGTTGCCCTCCCTGGATTCCTTCTCACTCTCTCGACGGCTCCCCACGTTTAATCTTTCCTCAGAGCCAGACAAGCGGAAGCGAAGCCCAACGGAAAGTGCACACACGCCCGTTGGCAAGGATCCTGGCCTGGCCGGGCGGGGGGACCCAAAGGCAATGGCGCAGTTGAGAGTTCCCCAGCTGGGACCTCGGGCACCAAGTGCTACAGGACGGGGTCCCAAGGACCTGGACACCAGAAGCTTAAAAGAAGAGAATTTTGTAGCCTCCATCGGTATGTCTCACCGTGTTCGGGATGACGGAGGGGTTCCGGCTTCCCACGTAACCCTCCTTCCTTCCAGTTCATCCAGAATCCCGCCTGTCTCTCGCCCATGCTTTGCTTTCTAGAGAAGGAGGGAGAGGTCTGTGTGTGTCTCTAGGAGCATTATCTTTCTTCTTCTCGCTGCTGTCAGCCTCATTTATGGCTTCCCTCACCCACATCTTAGAGGTAGAGGGTCTCACATCTGGCTTCAAGGGCCTGTGAGGCCTCCCATGGGCCCCCCTTTATTCCACCTAGATTATCTTCCCCTGGTAAAGATGACTTCCTGAAACCACAGAGAAGTGTCTAGATGCATCTTTGGGCAAAAGAGAACAGTCTGGTCCCTAACGTCGGTCTCCAAACCATGGCGCTGCTCTCCAGTTGGCTACTCTGGGGCATGCCTGGCATTCCACCTCCCCAGCTTCTGACCCTCAGTGTGCAATTCCTGAGGCAGCATTTCTTGAAACCTTTGCTTACTGGACTTAAGAGCTTGCTTTTACTTCTCCGTTCCCACTGAGGCAGAGCTTCAGTGAGTGCCGGGGTCCCCTCGTTCATCATTCTTCCTACTGGACATGGCGTCATCGAGGTTGTGTCTTCCTTCTTTTTGCTCCAGGCCCCTGGACTTCTAACTGCTGCCTCTTGCGTGGTGATTAGCCTCCCAGAGGCCAGCCTCGGGGGTGCTGATTTTCTCTAGTCAGCATCATGTTGTAGAGGCAGCCACCCACTTGTCTCTGTCTCTAGAAAAAGTCACTGTCTCTAGAAAAAGTGCTGACCTTTAAGTCTGAAGGCCCAGGGTGTTAGTCTTGTGTCTGCCCCCAGCGGACTCTGGGCAAATGTCTCCTCTGCTCAGGTGCCGTCTCCTCCTCAGGAAACTGAAGCAATAGGATCAGGCTGACTCTAAAGCTTCTTTCAGGGACAGAAAGGCTGTGTTTGGTATTCTCTCTCTGAGTATCTGCCAGGATTCTGTTCTTGACCCCTTCATGTTCTCTCTCGCCTCTGCCGGAAGCAGTTGTGCAGACGACTGCCCAAGAAGGTTCTCCTGTCAGGACAGTTGCTGGTTCCAAGGGGGTGGAGGATTTCTGTGGGCAGCAGCAAGGAGAGCAGCTGATTGCCTGCAGGAGAGGCCTCTGGCCCATCCAAGGGATTGTCTTTGTAGTCATGCTTCTGGAACCCTTTGAGGTTGTTTGAGGTGATCGTAGGTCTTCCCTGGCGCCTGTAACGGTGGTGGCCACTTCCCTCTTGTGGCAGAGAGCAGGGGGTGGGTGAAGCTGATTGTTGGGTTCGCGATCCTACTATTAAGGCCTCTTTGGACTCCAGTTCCAGAGACCAACCTGCAGGTAGCAAATGCGCTGCCCACTCTGTCACGAAGTGTGCACACCAGCAGGATATCCCCAACCACAGTCAGGGGCAGCAGCGGGGACTTGGCGCCTGCCTTCAGGAGTTGGGGCTAAAGAATTCGATCTCTTGATTTTCACCAACCCCCCCCCCCAACACACACACACACACACACACACACACACACACACACACATGGAGATGGATTTTTTTTTAATCTCTTGATTTGTAATCATCTGCCCCAGACTTGGGTGGGTGGGCGTCCATTCCGTCCGTCTGACCAGCCTCTGACTCTCTCTGTCTTTCTCTCCTGCTTACATTGCCTCTGGGGTAGAATTGTGGAACAAGCACCAGGAGGTGAAAAGGCAAAAAGCTTTGGAAAAACCGAGTAAGGAACAAATAAACGCCCCTTCCTGTTCCCAAGTCTTCCATACCTGCCAACTCCCCGGGCCCATTGGGGGCAGGCTCTGTTTGTCAGCCCCACCCCAAATTTGCTCCTGAGGGGGGGTGGTTTCTGGAATGGAAGCAGGTAGGTGGTGTGTGACCATGGGTATGTGACTCGTCGGCTGCTTCTTGCCCCCCTCCCCTTAGAGCAATCGGACTGTAAACCAGGGCATTTCCTGAGTCAAATTCCTTTGAGCGTGTTTCTCTATTGCCTCAGACTTGGTGGGGAGAACGTCTGTCTATTTCAGCGCCCCTCATTGGCTGATGGCTCCCTCACCCATTGGAGGCCTGTGGGCACAGTTGGCAGAGATGGTTGCTGTCCCTCCGTGTTGAGTCTGTAGCTGCCCGACTCTCTGGTGGCTTGCCTAGGCACGCTTTCTCGCTTTCTGTCATTCTGTCCTTCCACCATATCATTGTGGGTGTGTGGGGAGGGGGAATGGGGTGGTTTTTAGTCTCGAGTGGAGAGATGTCGGGTGGGGCTCGGCAGTGTTCTCTGGGCCTGTGAGTTTCTTTTATCACCTTGGGTCTGTCTTTTTCTTTCCCCTTTGGAAATGTGTTTGGGTAGCAGAGAGTGACCTGGGGTGGGGTGGGATGGGGGAGCCTGGGGGAATCCCTAAATGGTGTCAGGCCCCCACGAAGCTCTATGAGAACAATAAAGTGCGTTTTAGATGTTGGTTTGGAGAGCTTTTATGAAACGTGATGGGGAGAAGTTTCTCAGATGGAGAAGATGCCTGCAAGCATCCCTGGGGACCAGGCCTTATTTGTCCGACTTGGTTCTTACGATATCTGAGGACTTCTTCCTGGGGGAGGAGAAGCATTCCCCGGAAGGTGACTGGGATGTCTGTGCTGGACTGGCCTGGGCCAGGCTGGGATCTGCTGCTGCACTCCCTACACTAGCCTGCCCCAGCCTCTGTTGTCCAGTGACAGAGTCTTCCCCTCCTCAGGGCCTGAGGGCATCAAGCCTGCCTTTGACCTTGGTGAGACAGAAGAGAAAAAGTCCCAGGTCAGCGCCGACAGCGGTGTGAGCCTGGCATCTGGCTCCCAGGTTTGTGACTGCCTCTTGAGAATTGAGAGCTTTATTTATTTATTTATTCATTGCTTTTTGGGTCACACCCGGCGATGCATAGAAGTTACTGCTGGCTCTGCACTCAGGAATTACTCCTGGCGGTGCTGGGGGGACCGTATGGGATGCTGGGAATCGAACCCGAGTCAGCTGTGTGCAAGGCAAATGCCCTCCCCGCTGTGCTATCGCTCCAGCCCCGAGAATTGAGAGCTTTTGATGGGCTCTCCCAGAATCCTCCTACAAGTGAACCACTCAGAGTGGGAAACAGCAGAATTGTCCCATGAAAGTAGAACGACAAATTAAGTCATATCTACGTATATATATGACATATCATATATCCTCATATATCTGTGATCTGTAACATTAAAGGCCATTCACAATTGAGTTCACAGGACCAGAGAGATAGTACAGTGGGTAGGGCTCTTACCTTGCATTCAGCTGACCACAGGTTCGATTCCCACCACCCCATAAGGTCCCCAGAGCTTGCCAGAAGTGATCCCTGAGCCAGGAGTAAGCCCTGAGAACCATAGGGTGTGGCTTAAAAAAAAAAAAGATTAAGTGTTCAAAGAGGTAGTACAGCTGGGAAGGCACTTGCCTAGCTTGTGGCTGACCTAGTTTGATCCATGGCACCCCATAACATCCCCTGAAAGAAAGAGTTGAATTCTCAAAAATGAGCCATAATGACAGGGAGGTGTTTACCTGTGGTACTATTCTAGTTTTATGCCAAAATGCAGAGAAGGGTCAGGGATATAGCTAGCAGTAGTGTGCTCACTTTGCGTTTGTGAGGTCCTGAGTTCAATCCCATGCACTGTAAAGAAAAAATACATATAGAAAAGGCTGGAAGGAAATATATTAATATATATAATATATTTATATATAATACAGTGGTTTATAGGCTGTAGGGTTATGGCTTCTTCATATTTCCTAATTTTGTCATGTATTTTCTATTTTGGGCATGTATTTCTTGAATATTGATTATTATTATGTAAGCCATGTCTTTTTATCCAGGGGTACATTTTATTTACTTATTTATTTTTTGCTTTTTGGGTCACACCCAGCAATGCTCTGGGGTTACTCCTGACTCTGCACTCAGAAATTATTCCTGGCGGTGCTTGGGGGACCATATGGGATGCCAGGGATTGAACTCCGGTCAGCCGTGTGCAAGGCAAATGGCCCTACCCACTGTACTATTGCTTCCACCCCTCAGGGGTGCATTTAAAACGTTTTTGTGTGTGTTTGGGGGTTTGGTGCTCAGAGGCTATTCCTATCACTGTGCTTTTGGGGTCACTCCTCACCATGCTGAGGGACCTTATGGTGTCAGAGAACTTGGGGCCTTATGCCTTTGAGCCATCTCCCTAGCACATGAGGGGGTTACTTTTCTCATGGCATATCCTGGGATGGTAAGGAGGTGGGGGAGGGGAAAGTGCCAGCATTTCCAAGGAGATTGAGAGGAGATGGGCATCCCTGACGTCAGCTTCCATGTCTGAGTCCCGCTCTCTGCTTTCAGAGGACTTACCCCGACTCCATCATCGGCGTGAGTCCAGCTGTGATGATCCGAAGCTCCAGCCAGGATTCTGAAGTTAGCACCGTGGTAGGGGAACACCACACTGGCGTCTGGGTGGGCAGGGTCTTTGGGGCCGGGGACTGCTTTCTTCAGGAGGCTCTTCTGAGTCTCAGGTGAGCTCGGCTCTTCCGGCTTGTCCAGAAGGTACTTCCAAGGCTCTCTGACTGGCATGCCTTTCAAATTCCATTATTCGTGCACAGCAGCAGTGCTTTTAACCAGGTTGGCATTTCTGGGGCCTTCCCTGTAGAATATCCCTCACAGCCGTTTTTTTTCTTTCCCTCTTCGCAGGTGAGTAACAGTTCTGGAGAAACCCTGGGAGCGGACAGTGACCTGAGCAGTAATGCAGGGGACGGCCCAGGTGGTGAGGGCAGCGCCTACTTAGCAAGCTCTCGGGGCACTCTGTCTGACAGCGAGATTGAGACCAACTCTGCCACCAGTGCCATCTTTGTAAGCATTGTTTGCCCACCAGAGAGGGAGGCCAGATCTCCTGGGAGGTGTGGGTTAGAACAGAGTGAAAAGTTAGGAGGGAGTTACAAGAGAAAGAAAAAGTAAGGAGCACTGTCCTCGTGTAATCAGCGTTCAAAGAAATTTTTTTTTTAATTTTGGTTTGGTTTTATTGTGAAGCCAGAAAGTCTTATTGGAACTTCTTTAGAAAGATGTGAGGGGGAGAGAGAAGAACATGTTTATGTTTGGGGGGGGGGGGGGAGAGAGAGAGAGAGAGAGAGAGAGAGAGAATGCGCACAGTCTTCTCTAAAGTGGAAATAGTCAGGCATTGAGACAAGCAAGTGAGACACGTGTTCAAGGGAGAACATGGTCTTGAAGAACAAGCCTAGCAGAAATATTTCTTATGGCTACATTTAGTCACATGATTCCATGATTTCAGGCTTCTACAACTCTGTGTAATGAGTAAAGCTTTACTCAGTGATAAGTTAAACTCCCAACCTATTTAGATTAGAACTTCAGACCCTATGTAGCCCTAGCCCCCGTCTTTATTTTGCTTGCTTTATTTTTGGGGTGCTGGGGATGGAACTTGGCTCACTCCTGCAAGGCCAGTGCTCTGTCTCTGAGAACCAGCCCAGCCCACTGTGATTCACTGAGGCCAAGAGACACCTGTGCCTGCTGCAGTCCACATTTCAGTGGCATTGTGCCTCTTTTATAGACTGGTCCAATTCTGTTCTCATCTCTCCTCTATTGGGTGCCTTGAAACAGCATTCCTTTCTAGTATGTTCCCAATGTCATATGAAGTCTTCCTTCTTCAGTAAACATGTGATTTACTAAGTTCCAGATTCTGCTCTCAAATAGCAGAGGTAAATAAGTTTTCATTCCCCCTTCTCCAGAAGTTTGTAATTCAGTACATTGCTGTAATTACAGGTGTGGGGAGAAAGCCAGAGGAATGAAAGAACTTGTGGGGAGCCCCATAGTAGGCAGTGATCAGTTTTAGTCCGTGTCTTAAGCTGCATTTGACTGCAGATGTGCTTCTTTGGGCACCATCAACACTCTTAAACACTTGTACTTGTTCAAGTTGAAAATAGGTATTTGTATTGTACCTATATATTATATATCATATAATATGTGTTGTTATGGGCCTGGAGTGATAGCACAGCGGTAGGGCGTTCGCCTTACAAGCGGCCAACATGGCCGACCTGAGTTCGATTCCTCCGCCCCTCTCGGAGAGCCCGGCAAGCTACCGAGAGTATTCGATATGCCAGACACAGTAACAACAAAGTCTCCAATGGAGACGTTACTGGGCCCGCTCGAGCAAATCGACGATCAACGGGAGGGCCTTTACCTTTACCTTATGTGTTGTTATATGATACATATTTCCTTTTATTATTATTTTATTTGTTGTAGAGGACACACCCAGTATTGCTAGGATAGAACCCAGTTCCTTGCACACTTAAGCTCAACATTTCTGGACCAAGAATGAATGGGTGATGATGATGATGATAATGATGATGATGATGATGATTATTATTATTATTATTTCTGTGTGTGTGTGTGTGCTTTAGACTATATTGGGCAGTGCTCAGAGCTTAGTCCTGACTCAGTGTTAGGGGCTACTGCTGGTGGTGCTTGGGGAACCATACGCAGTGCTGGGAATCCAACAATGGTAGGCCACATGCAAAACAAGTGCCATAGACCTGGGAGTGTTGAGCCACTTTCATTGGTGCTTAGGGCTTATTCCTGTTCTGTGCTCAGGATCATTCCTGGTAGACTTGGGGGACCATATGAGGTGCTGGGGATCTAACCTAGGTTGTCCACATGCAAGGCAAGTGCCTTACTTACACTTGACCACCAACAATGGATAGTCTTTGTTTTGGGAGGGCTACACTGACGATGCTTGTGGCGTTACCCTTGACTTTGCACTCAGGAATCACTCCTGGCAGTGCTCAGGGTATACTCTGGGGTGCTGGGGATCAAACCTGGGCATGCAAGGCAGGCACCTTACACGCTATTTCTCCAGCCCCTAAGAATGGATATTTTTTACAAGAGCTCTTTGAACTGTAGAAAGAATGAAGAGTGAGGTCAATTCCTTAATAGGTCATCATTCCCTGCCCAGGGCTTTCTGTTTATGTTTCTAAGTGAGCAGGTGACATCGCAGAAGGGAGGAAGGGGAGAGAATTGGAGTTTGCAAAGCCACAGAGGTGAATATGTCTCAGCTCCCCAAGTCTTAACAGGCCATTCCCTAAGCGCCTTTTTGATCTTTCCGGTTAGTGTGGTTTGGGGAGAATGAGATGCGTGCTTAAAACTTTGCCACAGGAAGTCACTCAGCTGTACACAGCCTTCCCCTTCCTGGAACATCTGACTTGTTCTCACTGGTAGTCAAAGACACTGCCCAGTTGAAACGCTGAGAGCAGTTACTCAACTTCTTGGCTCAAAAAAGGTCTGTTAGGAAATAAATCACATTAAGTTAGTGTGCATCACTCAACAAAGGATTGGGCTGTGAGCAGGAGGTTGGGCATTTTTATGCACTAATTAGGGATTTTCTGATAACCTTTGGTCAGTGACTTCTCTGTTATGCTTTTCCCATGTGTTGTCAAACTGGCTTGAAATATACCTCTCCCCTAGTTTAAAACCTTTTCTATTTTGGGGATTTGGGCCCATACCCATCGGTGCTCAGGGCTTAAATCCTGGCTTTGTGCTCAGGGGTCACTCCTGGTGGTCTTGGGCCATGTCAGGTTATAAGGACTGAACCCAGGTTATGAGGTTGTCCACATGCAAGGCAAGTGCATTTGTAAGGCAAGCTCCTTACTCACTGAAATATCTCTCCAACCCTATTATTTTAGGTTTTTTAAATTATATTTTTGTTTTTCGGACACTTCTGGCTATGCTCAGCGCTTACTCCTGGTCTGTGCTCAGGAATCACTCCTGGCAGAGCTTAGGGACCATATGGGGTATCAGAGATTTAAACCTAGGACAAGGCAAGTACCTTCCCCGCTGTAAAGTCTCTGTGGCCCCCAAAATCTTTTTGAATTTTTATTACATATATATATGTATATATGTATATGTGTGGGTGTATATATGGAGAAGATTGACCATACTTGATGTTGCTCAGGGCCTGGTGCTCAGGGATCACTCCTGGTGGTGCCCCCTGGGAGTATGACCATTTTTTTTTATTCATTTATTTTTTGACTCCAGAGTGGACTCTTTATTTTAAAGTGACCATGTAAGATGAGTGAGGCAGGGATACCTAAGTCTGTCTGTCTCCTTGGCTGGGCCCACCTCGATGTCCAGATACAGCTCACACAACCACAGGCCCCATTGCTTATTTTTGGGCCACACCAAGCAGTTCTCAGGGCTTATTCCTGGTGAGACTTGGGGGCCCATACATGGTACTGTGGATTGAACCTAGATCGGATGCATGCAAGACAAATGCCCTACCTACTGTACTATCTCTCCGGTCCCATTAGTGACATTTTCTAAGGGGCAGCTGTTTTTAAGACATGGTAGGATAGAAGAAATCAGCAGTTTTCAAATACGAATTAATGTTCAATGTTTTATATGTGTTTAATGGTGCTCTGAGGGAGGCATTGCAGCCTTCCTTTCTTTTGCAATTAGGAAATGGGACTCGAAGAAGCTATAGTTTTGTGCCTCAGATCACACAGTAAGAGGCAAGGATTGGAACCTCATCAATCCAACATCAAACCCAGTGTGCAGTCAGGGATGTGGCTCAGTGGTCAGTGCTTGCCTTGCATTTGTGAGGCCCTTAGGCAGGTGGGGGTGAGGAAGGAATGCAGAACAGAACAAAATAAACCCAGTGTCCATTCAGCTGCTCTGTGCTGCTGCGAGAATTTGCTGGATCTCTTTATTTTGAGAAGACTCTTTGTAGAAACTAAAAGAACTAAGTCAGAGAGAGAACCTGGTTACTATAACAGTAAAGCAGGATTATCACAGTGACTTTTTGCTTGTTCTTTTTTTAAGTTTTTTTTTTTGCTTTTTGAGTCACACCCGGCAATGCTCAGGGGTTACTCCTGGCTCATGCACTCAGGAATTACTCCTGGCTGTGCTCGGGAGACCATATGAGATGCTGGGAATCGAACCCAGGTCGGCCGTGTGCAAGGTAAATGCCCTCCCCAATGTCACGGTGGCTTTTTGTCAGATCCTTGGGGCAAATAGAGCCACACAGGCAGGGCTCGTGGAGCAGGACTGGGAGAGATGGTGCCTGCGAACCCTGTATGGAGCTGCTGACTGTATTTTGTCCCTGCTTGTGGCACTTCAGATAGCTTACCTGTCCCTTCTTCTCTGCAGGGTAAAGCCCATAGCTTGAAGCCGGGCGTCAGAGAGAAGCTGGGGGGCAGCCCGGTGCGCTCTTCTGAAGATGTCAGCCAGCGCGTCTACCTCTACGAGGGGCTCCTAGGTGAGAGCGGAGGGGCCAGAGCTGTGCGCAGCTAGGGAGGAGGGTGTCTTGCACCGCCACTCTCTGCGCCAGTGTCCAAGGACCAGCGGCCATCATGGGGCCAGAGAAAGCAGGGGGTGAAAGCAAGAAGAGGCTCATCTCTGGTATTAATCAACAGCTTCTATCTTTCTGTCTTTCTTTCCTTTCTTGCTACCGTGGTCCTTCCTGCTCCCAAATTGGCAGGAAGGGACAAAGGATCGATGTGGGACCAGTTAGAGGATGCTGCTATGGAGACCTTTTCTATAAGTAACCGCCTTTCTGTGTGCTGTGTTCTTCCCTCCTCCTGCGGGGGCCAGGCTAAGTCTCACTCGGAGGCAGCTGGGCTCCACAGGAATATTAGGTCTGGGTGGGATGATTGTGTTTCCATTGTCCTAGAACTTCTAATGATTCCCTTTTACTGGAGTTTAGTCTTGATTTTGGTTTGACACCTCTGTTATTATTATTGTTGTTATTATTTTTTAAATTATTATTATTATTTAATTAACTTTTAGACCTTACCTAGTGGTGCTTAGGGCTTATTCCTGACTTGGTGCTTGGGGGTCTGTGTGGTACTGGCAGTTGAACTGAGGCCTCCTGCATGCAGAGCATGTGCTCCAGCCCTGTATTTTTAATATGTTAAATCAAGCCCTAAAACAACCTCTGTTCCTCACAGGCAAAGAGCGTTCTACTCTTTGGGACCAGATGCAGTTCTGGGAAGATGCGTTCCTAGATGCTGTGATGGTGGAGAGAGAAGGGATGGGCATGGACCAAGGGCCCCAGGAAATGATTGACAGGTACGAGGCCTAGGAAACCCTTGAGGAAAAAAGGCAAATTTGGCCTCTTCCCAGTGGTTCCCCATCTGAGAGCTCACTTGTGGTGTCTAGGTACCTGTCTCTGGGAGAACATGATCGGAAGCGCCTGGAGGATGATGAGGACCGCTTGCTGGCCACACTGCTGCACAACCTCATCTCTTACATGCTGCTGATGAAGGTAGAGTCAGCTTTGCCTCCGCCTGGTTGGTGCCAGTGCTGGACAGAGAGGCTTCTTCCTGTCTCCTTTCCATACCTCACACACTTGCACGTGCTCTGTTGATCTGAAGTCACCAAGCCCTGATAACTTTTTGTTTTTGTTTTTGTTTTTTTGCATCACACCCAGCGATGCTCAGGGGTTACTCCTGGCTCTGCACTCAGGAATCACTCCTGGTGGGGCTCGGGGGACCATATGGGATACCGGGGATTGAACCTAGGTTGGCCGTGCAAGGTAAACAACCTCCCTGCTGTACTGTGCTGTACACCAGCCCTTTTGATAACTTTTTTGGTTTATTTTGTTTGTTTGTTTGTTTTTTGTTTTCTGAGCTTATGTTGACACTCAGGGCTACTCCTGGCTTAATACTCAAGGCCATTTTCAGCCCCTGTGGTGCTAGAGATTGAACTTGGGCCTCCTATATATGCAAAGTATGAGCTCCAGCCAGTGAGCTGTCCCTCCAGCCGAGCAATGCTCCAATCATCAATCAAAGATGATTGATGATTCTATACGTTTGTTTGGCAACACCCAGCAGTGCTTCTGCACTACTCCCAGTATGCTCTGCCATGCTAGGGTTTCAATCGGGTTCTTACATGCCAAGCATGCACTTCAGCCTATTGAGCTATTTCCCTGGCCTCTATACCGTTCTCTCTCTCTCTCTCTCTCTCTCTCTCTCTCTCTCTCTCTCTCTCTTTGTTTTATATACATATTTTTTGTCTTTTTGGGTGAGCGCCCAATGATGTTCAGAGGTTATTCCTGACTGTGCAGGAATAACTCCTGGCGGTGCTCACGGAATGATATGGGATGCTGGGGATCGAATCCAGGTTGCCTGTGTGCAAGGCAAATGCCCTACCCGCTGTACTGTCACTCTGGCCTCCATATTATGTTCCTTTAGATATTTACTTATTCATTTGTTTTTTTGATTTGGGTCCTTCCCTGGCAGTTCAGGGCCTATTCCTGGCTCTGTGCTTAGGAGCGACTACTGTCCATGTATGGGGGATCATATATGGTGCTGGGGCTTGGAGTTTGGCTTCCTCCAAGGCAAGTGCCTTGCTTCCTATACTATCTCTCTGGCTCTGTGCTATTGATTTTGAATTTTTGTTTGATTTTCTTTGTTGAGTAGTTTCAGGATGCCATAGGTCTCCCCTCCAAATGCAATGAAAAGAGTTTGGGGAGGGAGCCTCCCAAGTGTTCCTTAGGAGATCTGGGAGCACCTGTCTACAGTTCTCAGCCAACCAAGCTGGCAGTTCAGTGCTTGGGCCCGAGGATTTAAGGCTGCTTGGGGCCAGTGGTGCTACATCCAGCAATGCTCCAAGATCTCCAGGGTTGCACCTGGTGATCCTTCTGATGCTCTGCAGTCCTGGGATTTGAACCCAGGTCTGCTGCATGCTAGGCATGTGCCCTAATTGCTGACCCCTAAAACAGTTTTTAAATTACATTTTTAGTAGTAGGTTCTGAAATCGTCGACAGGATGTGGCAAAATCACTCTCTGCCCTCTATCACGAGTTTTACATCATGTGGAAAGAGCTGCTTATTAACCAAGTAATGGCGATGCTGGTATGACTTGGTTGCATTTGATTTTCATGGCCTGAAAGCAGCGTGCCACCAGACAGAGGAATCCTGTCCTGAGAGCGAGACTGGGCTTGGGTGGGTGGGGAGGAAAGTTGTCGAGAGGCTGAGCTGCTCCTCTTCCAGCCTCTCCAGTGTGGAGGACTCTGTTGAATCGCAGGGAGTGCACTCGTGTCCCTGTTGTGAGGTTATCAATGCACCTTTTGTACCAATTGACTCTGGCTGGAAAGGGGAACAGCCTTAATGCTGGAAAGGTGTCACATTTCCAGCCAAGTGCAGAACCTCTGAACAGTTCTGAAGGAGCCCCAGCTGTTTCCAGGCTAGGCAGAGGGAAGTCACACTCCGGTTTGCTGGAGCCGGAGCAGTGCTAAGCTGTGGAAGCTGCCCAGAGGTACAGCCAGGGCTTTGCTACCCAGCCTGTCAGCAGAACACATGGTCGAATGTCCTCCCTCACACTTGGTGCTCTCTCAGAAGTGCCCTCTCTATGCAGGAGCAGTAGCCACAAATGCCAAGCCTCATGGGACAGGGGAGGAGCCTGTCCCTCTCCTTCCCCCTGCCCCGATGGGACTCTGAGATGACGCCCACGAATTGCCCCTGACTACTTATTAAGCTCCTAAATGGCCATGATCCACAGACACACAAATGAATTTCGGAACTGAGCAGCTCACTGCAGAAATCTCTCTAGACCCTAATTGTTAAAATTTTAGAATTCCAGGAGCTCGCAGAATAATATAACATCATATGCTATTCATAACAAGCAATACAAAATGAATTGTCTAGCATTGCCTTTTCAGCAGGTTTGAGTGGTGGTGGGAAAATTCCAAATAATAATGATGGAACTGATGTTGAAATATTGAATGTAATCTAAGTAGAGAGAGAGAGAGTATTGTGGAAATTGTCTGCCACACAGGCAGGGAAAGGTTTTGGATGCAGGGCAAGGTATATACTGAGAATTTTGGTGGTGGAAAATGTGCACTGGTGTAAGGATGGTTACTTGATCATTGTATGACCGAAACTCAAACATGAAAGCTTTGTAACTGAAAGGAAAAAAAAAGAATTCCCCTCTTGTAGAGAGGAGGCAGTTTCCCAGTAAAGTCCCTCTGCCTCGGGTGGAGGAGAGCAGAGCCCTCAGCAGCCCCTCTCTGGGCTTTGCAGGTAAACAAGAACGACATCAGGAAGAAGGTGCGGCGCCTGATGGGAAAGTCACACATCGGGCTTGTGTACAGCCAGCAAATCAATGAAGTGCTCGACCAACTGGCCGACCTGGTAAGCCTCACAGCCGTCCCAGGGAGGTCAGCCTCACTACCATGGGCTTAGCGTCCGAAGGCACAGACTTCTCCCCACCGGCCATTTCTTGACAGCAGCATATTTTCAGATTCCTCAGTTTTGAGCATAAGCATTTGACTCTGAGGCTTTCGCCCTTCCGTTTGGGGATAGAGTAGGATCCACTGTGTTCAGATAGAATGATCGTGGCACGTTCATTTCCATACGGGGCCTATACTAGGGTTGACTAGGTTCTGAAATATCATGTATCCTTTTCACTGGGTTGACATTTGCACTGCTGGGACAGAGGCAGAGGAGGTGGGGGGCACCCTGGATACCTGATATGGCCCAAGGCAGTGGTTCCCGTCCACTTTGGTCCTTGGTGCCATGCCTCTTGGTTTAAATCAAGAGACCAGTTTCACCGAAGGATGTCCTGCAGGAAGCAATTAAAGTTGTATTTTTTTTTTTTTTTGCATCTCAGCAGATTATTCATCTTGGCAACATTTCTGCAGCAAAGAAAGAAATGTGTCTAAAACATTCGGGCCACATGCCAAAGCATGGTAGATTTAAAGAAGAGCGGTTGATGATATTTTGAGTGGCTGGGTGAACTAGACCTTTATTAATGGGACCTTATTTTTACCAGACAGAACAATTAACAAATTATGGGAATTCAGAGTTAGATACTTGAGAACTGTTTCTCTAAAATTAATAAAGCAAACCTATCATTTTAAGGACAACAACATGGACTGGAGCAATAGTACAACAGGGAGGGCATTTGCCTTGCATGTTGTTGACCGGGATTCAATCCCTGGCATCCCATATGGCCCCCCAAGTACTGTCAGGAGTGATTCCTGAGTGCATAGCCAGGTAACCCCTGAACATCACTGGGTGTGACCCAAAAAAACAAACAAACGAAGGACAACAACTGGTAGGATTTAAATGAAAATGAGAATTTGGGGGAAGTTTTGAGCTTGAAATATGTCAGTACTTGAAAATTTTTCTAGTACCTCGGGTATAATTCAGGGGTTAAGATATTTGCCTTGCATGCTACCCTGATTCAATCCCCAGTACCATATATGGTATCCCAGACTCCCTTAAGACATGATCTCAGATCACAGATCCAGGAGTAAATCCAGAGCAACAAAAAAACAGAAACAAGGGAAATCTTTTGAGATCCATAAGATTGATGATCACTGTCACTGTCCTCCCATTATTCATCGATTTGCTCGAGCAGGCCCAGTAACATTGTGAGACTTGTTACTGTGTTTGGCATATCGAATACATCATGAGTAGCTTGCCAGGCTTTGCCTTGCGGGCTCAATACTCTCAGTAGCTTGCCAGGCTCTCCGAGAGGGGCTGAGGAATCGAACTCGGGTCGGCCATGTTGACTGCGTGCAATGCAAACGCCCTACCCGCTGTGCTATTGCTCCAGCCCCAAGATTGATGATACTAATGAATAAGGTGTTTTTTTGTTTTTCCGGGGGACTCATTGATGATTCTTGGTCGAGCAGACTAGTGGATCAATGTCAAGACCTGTGGTGCTGAAATTACCTGGATTAATTCAGTAGTGTTTCAGGGCCTCCAGGCCTACCCCTTCTGATGCTTGAGTGACCATATGTGATACCAGGGATTGAATTAGGCACAACTACATGTGGGACATGTGATTTAACCCCTGCACTATCTCCCACCCTGACTGGGATATTTGATATTGCATAATGAAATTTATCAATATTTGAAGAGTTGCAAAACGCAGCAGACCAGCATAGTATAAGTGACTCATGTGAGATAGTAAAAAATGTATCCCAGTGTGGGTAAAAGATCCATTTGAAATGTAAGGCAGGGAACTGGGGGGGCAACGCCTTAGCAGGGTGCCTGCTCTGCAGACTTAAGGTTGTAAGTTCCTTCCTCAGTTCCACCACAGATGTCCAGCGTGACCGTGGAAGAACCATCATCAAGGTCTCTGGCACCTTAATGAAGCACGTGGTCTTTGGCACACTGCAGTCAAGTATGTGTCAGCACCACAACTTAATATACAACCCCTGGGTCAGAGAGATAGTACAGGGATAGGGCTCTTGCCTTGTATGTGGCCGACCTGGGTTCAATTCCCAGTACCATGTATGTACCCTGATCACAGTCAGGAATAATTCCTGAGCATAGGACCAGAAGTAAGCCATGAGCACCACTGGATATAGTCCAAAAACAATCAAATAAACAACAATAACAAAAAATGTACAGCCCCTAATATGTACCACAGTCAAGTCTGTGTGACATCTGGCCAGGGCAGCAATGACAAAGAAAGGGAGCAGGTGCAAGAAAGCAAATTAAAAGTGTGTGTGTCTGTGTGTGTGGTTTTTGGGCCATACCCAGCAGTGTTCAGGGATTAGTCCTGGCTCTGCACTCAGGAATCACTCCTGGAGGTGCTTGGGGGACCATGTGGGATATCACAGATTGAACCCAGGTCAACCATATACAAGGCAAGTGTACCATCTCTCTGGTCCCTAAAATTTTTTACTGTAAGGTAGAGTTCAAATTGTGACCCACTGGCAGAGTGCCTGGTTTTCAGGCACAGGGCTACGAGGTCAGTCTCTGGACTACCTCACAAGCTGAGGTCCAGCAGACACTGCCATTGTTTGAGGCCTAGTGCCACAGTAAGAGTGTGGGATCTCTGGCATATTGCAGCCAAGGGTTGGACCCTCTATCTTCAGGTAAAGGGAAGAGGGGGACTAAAAATCACAAAAGCACAGCAAAGGGTTTTAATGTAGCAACCCTTTCATGTGTTTTTGATTCCAAGTTATAACCAATCTTACTCTTACGGTGTGAAAGGAGAATAGCCATAATTCCCTGGTAGAGGCCATTGAAATGTTCCTCTCTCCCAGACAAGTATCTGGGAGACCAGATATTCACTTCATACTTCCACCAAAGCAGTAGATCACAGTGGATTGACTACAGAAGCAGATAGTGAAATCCAGCTACATTTTTTATTAAGTCAAACACTGGAGGTTTACAAAAAATTTTTAAACAATGCAACTTTTCTGCTATTCTGTATTTGGGGGGTAGGTAGGGACTTGGGGAAATTGTTATTTTACAAAATATATATATATATTTGTAATATTCCTGGCTCTGTGATACAAGAAATCAAACCCAGGTTGGTGCCAGCCAGGCATACACCCTAACCCCTAAATTATCACCCCGGTCCCACGGTTGTCAGTAAATTTATTTTTTAGCTACACCTGGCTGTGCTCAGTGGTATGTTATATACTTTTGACTCTGTGCTGAGGGATCACTCCAAGAAATGCTCAGGGGGCCATATGGAGTGCCAGGGAATTGAACCCAGGTCAACCACGTGTAGGAGCTCCCTACCTGCTGTACTGTCTCTCCGACCCCGATTAGTAATTTTTAAGAGAGCCTGTCAAGCTCCCCGTGACATATTCGATATGCCAAACACAGTAGCAACAAAGTCTCCAATGGAGATGTTACTGGGCCCGCTCGAGCAAATCGATGATCAACGGGAGGGCCTTTACTTTACTTTACAGGAATCTTCAAGGCATGGAGGGGGATGAGGATGTGACTCACGTGGTTGAACACAGGGCCTTGCATGTGCAAGGCTCTGGGTTTAGACCTGTCAACACATGGCCACCTCCTCCACCATAGCCAGGTGTGGGCGGTTGTGACCTTGGCACCTACTGAGCACTGCTCCATGTGGTCCCCAAGCAGTTTTTGAAAGTCTGAAAATACTTCCCTGGTGGCCGCTGTGAGAAGATGGTACTGCTAAGGAAACCGTTAACCAATTTGATTGCTGAATGTCGGGTTCTTAGCCCAAAGCACTCTAGGAGACAAATGTGTATGTATCCCTCAGTGACTTTTCTTTCCTCAGAATGGACGTGATCTCTCTATCCGGTCCAGTGGCAGCCGGCACATGAAGAAGCAGACATTTGTGGTCCATGCAGGCACAGACACAAATGGAGACATCTTTTTCATGGAGGTAGGTGCTGGTTCAGGCCAGGGATCTAAAAGAACATTTGAGAGCCACCAGGAACTTCTACAATTGATGCCAGAATATTTCCCCCATTTTTCTAATTAAATGTCATAATCCATTTATTTTGCAAATGGTAGAAAAGATGGTTTCCCATTATGTACATATATACATCCATATATACACCCATATACGTGTGTTATGTGTGTACACACACACACACACACACATACACACACACACACTAAGTAGTTCATATAGTTTTATTGCCCTTATGTTGGGACCACATGAAATGCTAGGTAGTGGGAAGCTGTGCACTCATTCTTTTTTTGTTGTTGGTGGTTTGTTTGTTCTTTGGGCCACAACCAGCACTACTCAGAGTTTACTCCTGGCTCTGTGCTCAGGGATCACTTCTGGCTCGGGGGACCATATGGAATGCCGGGGATCAAACCCAGGTCAGCTGTGTGCAGGGCAAGCTCCTTACCCACTGTGCTATTGCACCAGCCCCTGTGTGCTCACTCTTGTTTTGTTTGTTTTTTCTCTTTTTTGGGTCACACCTGGCAGTGCTCAAGAGTTACTCCTGGCTCTGCACTCAGGAATTACTCCTGGCAGTGCTCGGGGGACCATGTGAGATGCTGGGGATCAAACCCTGGGTCGGCCACATGCAAGGCAAATACCCTACCTGCTTGTACTATAGCTCCAGCCCGTGTGCTCATTCTTACCCACTCAGTTTTCCATCTACTTCATCCTTTCCTCCTATAGGCAACCATGTACATTAATTTTCTTTAATCTCCCTTTTTTTTATGTAGTAATTTATCTAGGAGTACTGCTATTTATTCAGCCACTGATTAGGCTGATTGAACTGTGCATGAACTCCACTGTTTTTTTTTTTTTTTAATGTCATCACATTTGAACATAAATTCTTCCTTGTTTTGTTTTTTTGGGTCACACCCAGTGATGCTCAGGTGTTACCCTGGCTCTGCGCTCAGGAATTACTCCTGGTAGTACTTGGGGAACATTATGGGATGCTGGGGATCGAACCAGAGTTCAGATATACAAGGCAAATGCCGAGCCCACTGTACTATCGTTCCGGCCCCTGAGCACATACTTTTCATGCATGAGGCCTGGCTTTGATCCCTAGACCACAGGATTTTTGATCTCCTGAGAACCGCCAAGCATGATTCCCCAGGCACCAGGCCAAGAGCTGCCCCTGAGCCCCTGAGTGTGGCCCCCATCAAAATAATGCCTAAAAATTAATAGGGCCTGGAGATACAGTACAGTAGGGAAGGTGTTTGTCTTGCATGTGGCAGACCTGGGCTCAGTTCCTGGCACCCAGCATGGTCCTGTGAATACCATCAGGAGTGATCCCTAAGTACAAAGCCAGCAGTAAACCTTGAGCACTGCTGACTATGGCCCCAAGATCAAAACAAAACAAAAATTCAATAAATAAATGTTTTCTGAAGAACCCTTGACATATAGGGCTCCCTCTACCCTGTGCAAGGGCCCCCTCATCCGAAGCCCCTGGGGTGAAGACTGGACCCCTTTCATCTCCCTGATTTTCCCTTCAAGCATTGCCATGCCAGATAAGAACAAGCCTCACTCCCTCCTCCTCCAGCAGCCATGGGAGATGAGCTGATAGCCCTCAGAGCACAGCCTGCAGTCAGCATGCTAGCAATTTGCAAAGACTTATAAAAGCCATCTTTATAGCCTTTCCTTTTCATTATAAACACGAAATAGTATATACTGTAAATATCTCCAACCACAAAACAATAAAGTAAAAGAAAGTGTCTTTCACTTCCTTCCAAATCTATCTTGGAGGTTGATATGGATCCTTTTGGATTTTTTTTTAATCACTGCATAATTGAGGGCTAGACAGAGAGTAAGGAGGTAAGGCTCTTTCTTACCTGAATGCACTGCATCTGGTCTCTCAAGCACCATTGCATGTAATTTCTGAGCACAGAGCCAAATTAATATCTAAGCACCAAAATTTAAGCCCTCTCCACAGACAGGGCACTCCCCCTCAAAAAAATAAATATATCCTTGGACCAGAGATAATACAGCGGTTAAGGTGCACGCCTTGTATGCGACCAACCATGGATCAGTCCCTGGCACCATATGGTCCCCTAAGTATCACCAGGTAAGGCCCTGGAGTCCCATGAGCATTGCCAGAGTAGCCCAGGTAATCCCTAGCACCACAAGCACCAAACAACTCCATAGCCTTGGGCCCTTGCATTGAACCACTAGCCTGTTTGGCCAAGAATTTCTGGCAAGGGCCCCTGACCCACCTGAGTACCACTTGAGCCTCAAGTGGCTCCCATCCCCTTCCACTCCCCCCACCTCCACCTGTGCGCGCGCACACACACACACACACACTAAAAGATGCATACTTGTTTTGGGGCCACACCCAGCAATGCACAGGGGTTCATTCCTAGCTCTGCATTCAGGAATTACCCCTGGCAGTGTTCAGAAGACCGTATGGGGTGCTAGAGGTCAAACCCAGATTGGCTGCATGCAAGGCGAGTGCCCTTCCCACTGTACTATCTTTCCAGCCCCCAAATGCATACTTTTTAGAACTTAATTTTATGGAATATTGTTTGTTTGTTTGTTTGTTTTTTGCTTTTTGGGTCACACCCGGCGATGCTCAGGGGTTACTCCTGGCTCTGCACTCAGGAGTTACTCCTGGCGGTGCTCAGGGGACCATATGGGATGCTGGGAATCGAACCCGGGTCGGCCGCGTGCAAGACAAATGCCCTACCCGCTGTGCTATCTCTCCAGCCCCAGAATATTGTTTTAGTGTTTATAAAAACGGTATCAGATCTAGGGATGTGGCTCTCAGCTGTATAGCTCTTGGCTTGGTATGTATGAAGTTCCAGGTTAGATCTCTAACACTTTTCCCCCAAAAAGGGTATCAAACTATAAACTCTGTTGCATAATTTGTTTTTTCTTTTGCCTAATTTTCATTTTTCCATGTCTAGTTATATAAATCTGTGCATATGTATATGAGTATGCGTGTACATGTGCACATGTGCGTGTTTGTGTGTGTGTGTGTGTGGTGGGGTGGGTATTTGTGCCATACCCAGCTGTGCTTGGGGCTTATTCCTGGCTCTGTACTCAGGGATCATGCTTGGTGGTGCTCAGGGGACCTTATATAGTGCTGGGGACCCAACCCAGGTAGTCACAGGCACAGCAACCCATAAATATATTTTTTAATGAATAGTTAGCAGTTAGCCGTTGAGTGTTGCAGTAATGTATCACATTTAACTTCCTCCCACTAGTTCTATTTTTGACAATATTTTCGATAATGCATCATTGAATATCCTAGAACCTATATCCTGGCACAGCCCCATAAGAAAGTGTGGGAGAGCTTCAGAGTGTGAGGATTCTGGATCAAGCTTATATTCACACTTACAAGATTTAGATCCACCAGGTTGCTGTTCCCCACACAGCGCCAGTATTGTCCTCCTGCCAGCTGCAGAGGCAGGGCTGCCGCCTTTCTACCAGCCTTTCTCCAGCCTCAAAACCATGTCTCCCTAAATAGCTGCCCCTTTCCTTTGCAAGATGTTCTTTCTTTCTAAAATTGAAGCAGCAACGGTTGACAGAAGGTGAATGTCTGTGTCAGGGGTACAGCATAATCGCACCACACCCACCACAAAGTGCTACTATCCCTCCACCACTGTCCCTAGGGCCCTTCCCATGTTTGTCCCCTCTCTCCACTGGGCAACATTAGTCCTATGGTCAGAGTTGAAGATCATTGACATTTTTTTTTTCTTTTGCTTTTTGGATCACGCTTGGCAATGCACAGGGGTCACTCCTGGCTCTGCACTCAGGAATCATTCCTGGCGGTGCTCAGGGAATCATATGAGATACTGGGAATCGAACCCGGGTTGTCCACATGCAAGGCAAATGCCCTACCAACTGTGCTATTGTTCCAGCCCTGAAGATCATTGACATTTGTTTTTCTCCTTCTGAGTTATCTCACTTGTTTGTTTGTTTGTTTGTTTGTTTTTGGGTCACACACTGGTGTTCTCTGGCTTTACTCATGACTGTGTGCTCAGGGATGACTCCTGGTAGGGTTCAGAGGACCAAATGGGGTTATGGGAATCAAACCTGCGTTGGCTACATACAACGCAAATACCCTATCTGTCATTCTCTTCAGCCCCTGACTTATTTCTCTCTTTTTTTTTCAAAGCTAATATATATTTTTTAATTTTTTTATTTCAAAATTTTATTTTCGTAAGGTTGTCCACTTTAATTGATTACATTCAGTAGTTCAACACCAATCCCACCAACATTGCACCTTCCCACCACCACTCAAGTTTGCCAGCCACAGGTAGATGCTAGATAATTTATTTTCTGTTGCTTATTTTGAATATCATGAGATGTCGCCCTGCTGCAAAAGCAGCCACGTGCTCCTGGAATTCTAAAATTGTAAATAATTGCAGTCAAGAGACATCTCTGTAATGAGCTAATTCATTCCGAGATTTATTTGTGAGTCTCTGGATCAAGGCCATGGACGCAATTAAATGGTGCCTAGAGGCAGTTCATGAGCGTGACAGCCAGGACCCTGAAGGGGCAGGGAGTCAGGAAGGGATGGCCGTCCCCTCCCCGCCATGTAGCCTGGAGTCTTCAGTCGCTGGTACCGCGTACCTGGGTTTTTCTTCTGGAAGTTTGTGGCCATCACAGGTTCTTTTGGAGTAGGCGGAGACAAAATACCTGTTTCATCTAAAGTGCCCCGGCGAAATCGGCTCAGCATGGGGTCCTAGAGATCTCCGGCAAGCTTCTGTCTTCCGAGATTCATTGCTGAATCTAAGTTATTTCTCTTCCATGTGGTAGCAAAAAATAAGCTTCACCTTTTGTAAAATTCCATTGTATCCATTGTCATAACCAATCTTTCTCTTTCTCTTCCTTTCCTTCTTTCTTCCCTTTCCTTCTTTCTTCCCTCCCTCCCTTCCTTCCTTTCTTTCTTTCTTTTATTCTTTTTTTAATGGATAATTAACCTTTCTTTCTTTCTTTCTTTCTTTCTTTCTTTCTTTCTTTCTTTCTTGCGCCATATCCAATGATGCTCAAGGGATCACTTCTGGCAGGGCTCAGGAGACCATATGTGATGTTGGAGATTGAACCCCTGTCACCTGCATGCAGGACAAGTGCCCTCCTGTTCTCTCTCTCTCTTTCTCTCTCTCTCGTGCGCGCACGCGCACACGCACCCTATATACCACAGTTTCTTAGTTCGCTCAGCTGTCATTGAGTGCTTGGGTTGTCTCCAGTTTCTGATCATTGTAAATAAGGCGGCAATGAATACAGGGGTGCCTTTGTCTTTTTGAATGAATAGTTTTATGCTTATGGCATAGATGAAAAGGAGTGGAATCGCTGGGTCATATGGAAATTCTAATTATACAGTCTTGTGGGGAGGGTCTTCAGACTGTTTCTCTAGGGGCAGAAGGAGTTTATAATCACACACTGCTCTGAAAGGGAAGTGGGAGGCGGAGGAGCAGCCTCCAGTTCCCACGTGGAAAGAACCGCAGATCGGCTGCTGCAGGCCTGAGTCCTGCTCAGCTCCTTGACATGCTCCTGCGTCAGTCTCTCAGGACTCCCGTGAGTGCCTCAGCCCAGGCGAACCCGAGAGTCTGACGTAGTCCTGTGTCTTCCACATGGAGATTGAACCCCAGCCGCCTGCGTGTCTGGCCCAGGTCCTGTGCTAGGCCCTGCTGGGTGTGGGGCTGAGGCAGTGAGCCAGGGAGCGGTGGTTTCTGCTGTCCTCTCCCAGTTTACAAGCCTGGGGGCAGCTCAGGTCATCAGTGTCACAGTTTGAGGCATGTCCCAAGGATGTTTCAGGAGGTAGGTGTCACCAAAACTCAGAGTGGAACATGCAGGAGTGTGGACCACCCTCCGAGGTGAGGGGACTGCAGGGGACATTGGCTGGCGTGGGGCAAGGGAAGAGAGTTCTTGTGTCTGGAGGGGAATGGCTGGAGGAGTTGAGGGAAAGGAAGGCGTCTGTTTCCTCAGCTGAGGGGGGGCCCATGTACTCGGGACTTAGGATCTGCCCCTGTGGACGTTTGGACTTTAGAGCTCAGTATGCTCAGTTTGAGGTTCTGCTTATGAGACATCAGGTAAAGGCCCTGGAAGACGGGTCTCCTTGGGGACTCAGCAGCACAGTCAGACCAGTGACCACTGTGTTCCTTCCATCCAGTGGTGCTTGATGGTCTGGATCCATCGCCAAGGGATCTCTCGACTTCTTCCTAGGTGCATTTCCTTATTATCACGACAACTCTGCGATCACTGGCATCCTCAGAGGAAAAGCTAGACTCAGGTTCACTCGCTGCAGCTGTTGCAGATAAGGGGGACAGGCAGAATTTGTACCAGGGGACTTTGATTGCAGAACCCGGGCTCCTGACCTGGACTCTCGAATGCCATCTTTTGTAATAATGAACTATAGGAACAGACACAGTTTCCTAGGAGAGAATGTTGGAGCAAGAAGAGAAAGTGACATCTTCTCATTTATGTCATCCTAAAATTTTACTTACTTTTTTTTTTTTTTTTTTTTTTTTGCAATAAGCATCATCCATCATCCTCGGGTCACTTGTGTCTTTTTAATTTTTTTAGAATTTATGTAACATGAGAGCTGGTGAGACTTAGATCTGTTCTTCTCCTTGGTTTACTCAGCTACAGTCTCCTGCCTCCGTCTTGTCACCAGAGATAATTATCCCCAGAGACCCTCCAGAAAGAGGAGAAACAAACTCTCCTCCTGAGTGTTTTAAGTAGAGCACTAAAAAAAAAAAAAAAAAAAACCACCTTGATTGAAGTGAGACGCAGAGGCCTCATTCAGTGTTGCAGTGTTGCCCTGGCCCTGCTCTCAGGTGCCTCTGCCCCGCACACCTCGGGGCCTGGGCCACTCCCTCCGAGGGGAGACCCCGAGGCAGAGCCTGAGAGCCCTGTGCGCGCCTGCAGGTGTGTGACGACTGCGTGGTGCTACGGAGCAACATCGGGACCGTGTACGAGCGCTGGTGGTATGAGAAGCTCATCAACATGACCTACTGCCCCAAGACCAAGGTGCTGTGCCTGTGGCGCAGGAACGGCTCCGAGACGCAGCTCAACAAATTCTATACCAAGAAGGTACCATGCGCGCCGTGCAACAGGGCCAGCGTAGGTCCTGCCGGGCACTTCTGTCACCTGGGATTTGTAAAGTCTCCCTCCAGGGTGCCAGCATCAGTAGCCTTTGGATTTTTTTTTTTTTTTTTTTTTTTTGCTTTTTGGGTCACACCTGAAAATGCTCAGGGGTTACTCCTGGCTCAGCACTCAGGAATTACTCCTGGCGGTGATCGAAGGGCCATATCGGATTCTGGGAATTGAGCCCCAGTTGGCTGAGAGCAAGGCAAACACCTTACCCGCTGTGCTATCACTCCAGCCCCGTGGATTAATTTTTTTATTATCTCTTACATGTTTGTTCTCGGCCCACACCAGGCAGTGCTCAGGGGCTCTGTGCTCATGGGGGTTCAGGTGTGGGTTCAGGCATTCCCGGGGATTGAACCAGAGTTGGCCATATCCAAGGCACATGCCTTAAACCCTGCACTGTCTCTTTGGCCTTACATATTTATCAGTGCTATCATATATATATATATATATATATATATATATATATATCTCATATATTGGGGGTGGGGGTGTTTGGGCCACACCCAGCGGTGCTCAGGCTTCGCTCCTGGAGGGCTCAGGGATACAGGGGGTGGAACCCGGGTTGGCTTCGAGCAAACACCTGCCTGCTGTGCTCTGGCTCCCACCCCAAGTGCTGTCATCTGTTTAAGTAACACATTGACACTGGGTGTACCCCAGCCAGTGGCATTACACATGGGTGTGACTTAATCAGCACAAATGGCCTTCTCAGCCTCAGTGTGACAGCGTGCTTGATTTGGGGATGGAGGGATGGGGCTGGGCCAGGGGTGGAAGCCAGGGGCTCAGACGGCGGAGGAATGACTAGCCGGCCTCTCCCCGCGCAGTGCCGGGAGCTGTACTACTGTGTCAAGGACAGCATGGAGCGCGCCGCAGCCCGGCAGCAGAGCATCAAGCCCGGTGAGAAACACCTCCCCCCACCCCCCACCCCGGGCAGGCCACTGGCCACCCGGTCTCCCGGCCCGCGCCACTGACCACCCCCTCCCGTACCGCAGGACCTGAGCTGGGGGGCGAGTTCCCCGTGCAGGACATGAAGACGGGCGAGGGCGGCCTGCTGCAGGTCACCCTGGAAGGGATCAACCTCAAGTTCATGCACAACCAGGTGGGTGCCATCCGCCCCGAGGAGCCGTGTCCGGGGGCCACCCCGTGAGCATGAGAGAGGCACCTCTGGGGCGTGTGGGTGTGCTGGAGCCGCCGGACCTGAGAGATAGCCGCAGGGGAGGGCACAGGGTGGCCGGCCACCCTCACGTGTGAGCCGTGAGCCTCCGCACAGTGTGAGTGGGAGCGTCTCCCTCGCCTGCTCCCCTGCCCCCCCACCCCGTGTCTGCCGCCCCCAGGTTGTGCTTCCGCTCGGTGGTCTTGCTTTGCGGGGGCCCAGCCGGCTCGTCCCCCGCACAGCGGCGGTGCGGGCCGAGCAGTGTGTGCGCGTGGGAGCTGCCTGTGTCCGTCCTCTCTCGAGTGTGTGTGTGTTCATCTGCCTCTCCTGCTGCCTCTTCTTCCTGTTCTCTCCCTCCTCCGAGTGTGCCCCCTCTGTGCACCCCCGCTCCGCAGGCCCCGCCACCCCCCCCTTTCTTTGGACTGGGGAGCAGCCGCTCAGAATCCATCCTCCCTCGGCGCCGCCGGAGTTGACTTTTCCTCCTCTCGGTCTTTTAACGCAGCGTTCGTTCCTTTCTCTCTCTCTCTATCTCAGTGGCATCCCCTAAGCTAATTTCCTTCCGAGGCCGGCGCTGACTCTTCACATAAGTGCCTTCCCCTGTCTCTCCCCAGTCCCCACCCGGGCTCGCCCTAGGCCAGCTCCGGTCTCCACCTTCCATGCCGCGCTCCTTTCCATCCGTTCTTCCTCTTCCGGGACACTCAGGGGCAGCTTGGGTGCGTTGGGGACAGTGACTCCAGGGTTCCAGTCAGGGCCATTCATCCTCAGGGTGGGAAAGCGTCAGGCCTTCGGGTCGCCCGGTCACCTCCATTCGCTTCCGGCCAGGGTGCTGGCACTTCTCGGGAAGCCAGCCTGGGATGGCTGTAGTGACCTGGCTCCCCTTCTTCTTCCGTAGAAGATTCTCAGTAAAACAGCACCCCTGGTGTTCTCTTCAAGTTCCCACCCCCCCACCCTGAACCCGCGGGTCACCCCTTCTTCACGACTTCATCTATGCTGGTATCTGGCTAGAGGACAGACCCCACAGAAAGGGCTGTGGAACCCTGACAAGTGACATCTCTGCCTTGGGGTCCCATCTTGAGCATGGCCAGTCAGGTGGGGGTGGGGGGACAGCCGGCGTGGGGTGGGGGTGGGAGCGGCAGCCGGGAAGAGCGTGGACTCTGGAGCCCAGATATGTTGGGGTTCGCAGGCCAGCTGCACCCTCCGGAGATAGACACACGTTCTGAGCCTCTGGTTCCCCGCCGGCCCCCTTGTGAGCACCGCGCCAGGGCCCGAGTACGAGGCGGTGCGTGGGGCACCCCGGGACACCTGTCACTGCGCTTCTTGCTCGGGAGAGCCTGGGGCCCGTTTCCAGGAGCGTCTGCGCCTCCCATCCCAGACACCGTCTAGGGGAGCTTCACGCCTGTGCCAGCCCTCTGCGCCGGAGGAGGATGCATGGAAGGGTCGAGCCGATGGGCAGAACGGGACCCCCGGGGGCACAGCGTTGTGCCAACGCCGCCCCAGGCACAGGCACGGGCCAGCAGCCCAGGCCCGAGGAGGTCGGGTCGGGTGTGAGCATGAAAACTAACACCTTCGTTTCTCTCCCACGCTTTCTCCTCCGGCCAGGAGCGGAAGGTACACGCCCTTTCTGCTGTCTTCGCTTCTTAGAGCTTCTGAGTTGTGTGTGTGTGTGTGTGGATTCCTCTGTCCTCCCCCGGGGGAAGTAGGTTTTCTGCGAGGGGCGGCCGGGGCTGTAGCCGGGAGAGTGGGCTTCGCGGGCTGGGGCGGAGCCTCCGGGCCTCACCCCGCCCTCCCTCCCTCTCTTGCAGGTTTTCATAGAGCTGAATCACATTAAAAAGTGCAATACAGTTCGAGGCGTCTTTGTCCTGGAGGAATTTGGTAATTACACTATTTTGCTCTTAGGTCTGGACTCACATGGCAGTAACTCAAACCTTGGAGCTCCAGAGAAGGGCCTAGACGCAGAGAGAAGCCGTGTCCCCTCCCCCCCTTGAAGGGCGGGCAGGCGGGCAGCGCCAGGGGATGGCGGAAGTGAGAGGAGCCAGAGATGGGCAGGACAGAGCCCGTGAGGCCTAGAGGCCCACGCGGCGCCTTGAGCCCAGCCCACCTGGCTCCAAGAGTTGGGGGGCTATACCGCTGGGCCAGCCCCACTCTCGGCCAGGTCCGAGTCCGGGTGCACAGTGGCCCCCGGATCCCTCGCCTCCGGGCCGCAGGGCGGGGTGGCGGTGCAGGCCGGCTCTCTCAGAGGACAGGCAGTCTAGGGGGCCGCAGAGGCAGGCGGGCAGCTGTAGGTGGGAGCCGGGAGGCAGCCGCCCCCCCACCCCCGGCCCAGCGCTAAGGAGGGACTAGCTGAGTCCCCCTGCTCCCCGGGGCTTTGAGTTCCTGCTGTGTCTGTGCTTCACTCCTCTGTGCCCTCATCGCCGCTGTGAAAACCTTCCTTCTCCAGCAGGTAAAGTGACCTCGGCTCTCTCGGCTCCCGCTGCTCCCGCCTGGCCCTGCCTGGGGGCCTGCAGGGGGGGCGGGGGCACCCCCCCAAGCAGCTGCTCCCCATGCCAGTCTGTCTCCTCCCCGCCCCCCGCGCCCCGCACTGCCTCTGGTTCTGTCTCCCCCGCGTGTGCTCCCTCCTCTCTTCTGCCCGATGGCGAGTATCGGGGCGTCTTCTGACTCAGGAGGAGGACCGGGCTGCTGGCCATGCCTTGGATGAGTCACTCCCGTTCGACCTGGGCTTCCCCCCACCCCCCGCCTCTCTCCCAGGGTCCAGGAAGGTGTGGCCAGCTCTACTCCTCCCTTTTCTGGGCACCACACCCCTCTGCTCCCCGTCTCCAGGGGGTCCCGAGGATGGCTGAGGCCCCGGGGGCCTGCCTCTGCGGTCCTGGCCAGGCAGATCCCCTGCATGGCTGGGCCGGGGACGACTCTGGGCCTTGCGTTCTGGCTGTGGGCCGGTGTGTGTTTGCCTGATGCTCCCTGTCCCTCCTGGGTGCTGTCCCCGCCTGTCCCTCTGCTCGCGTGCCTGCTCCCGAGCCCTCGGACGCTCTCCCTCACACAGGCAGGCTGGGGCCTCCCGGGTTTAGCGTTGGCCAACCCCCCCTCCAGCCTCAGGACCCACGCCAAAGGGGTTGGGAGAACAGAGGGTCACACGGGACAGGACCCTGAGCTCTTGGGCATCCGGGCGGGGTGGATGCGGGCACGGGCTGGGGCCAGCTGTCTTCTCCCCACCCCCAAATCTGGCGCTTCAACCCCTGCTGCCACTGCTCGGGGCCCAGATGGGGCAGTGACCGGGGCGCCGAGAAGCAAGGGGGCAGTTTCAGGCCACTGGGCACAGCGCGTCATGACCCTCAGAGGCCTGGCAGCGGGGCCCGAGCTGGATGGTATCCTCAGGGGGCCGGGGGCATCTGGCCATTGGAACCACCACAGCTGCAGATGCCGGGACAGGGCCCAGAGGGGAAGGGGGACACCAGTGCCAGGCGCTGCCGCCCGGGGGGCGCCGGGCGCTGTGGCTCTTAGTTTTGAACTTTCTGTTTTGTCTCTTGCCCGTCCGGTTTTAGTTCCTGAAATTAAAGAAGTGGTGAGCCACAAGTACAAGACGCCAATGGTGAGTGTGTTGGGACCAGACAGGCCGCTGGCTCAGGGGGCGGGCGCGGAGGGGGCAGCCCACAGACGCCGAGGCGAGTCTTCAGCCCTGGGCCAGTCGCACTCCTGACCCCCTCGGCCACCGCCCACCCAGCGGCCAGAGCCCACCTCGGGGCTGGCGTTCCCCTTCCGTGGAGGTCCCCGCGACGCCCACCCGTCCGCTCTCTCTCCCTTCTAGGCCCACGAGATCTGCTACTCCGTGCTGTGTCTCTTCTCGTACGTGGCTGCGGTTCGGAGCAGTGAGGAAGATCTCAGAACCCCACCCCGGCCCGTGTCGAGTTGATGGAGGGGGCTGGGGATGCCCCCGCGCCTGGGTGGCGAGTGCTCATGCTCGCACTCCCGGTGACGGTTCCAGCGTGTCTCCATGCGCCTGTCCCCCTCACCCCCAAGCCTGCTGTCGCCTCAGGGCTCCCGATTGTTCCTCTGTCTGGTCTGGTCTGGTCTGGTCTGTTTGTCCGTCTGTCTGGCCAGTGGCTTCTCAGGAAAGGTGTGCGCCACAGAGTGAGCCGCTGGCACTGTTCGTGATACACCTGTGTTGTGGTTCTTGTCTTGGTGTTGGGATCTCCGCGCAGCACTCCAGCCCTGACCCTGGGACTCGGGGGTGCTGGCAGAGTGAGCGGCCACCTCCCCGCTTCCTCCCGCACCCCCTGCACCCTCCCCCAGTCAGGGAGCCCCCAGGGGCTGGGCGGCACTGTGACCCTCCCTGCAGCTGGCCTTGCCTTCCTGTGCTTGGGGTCAGGAGTGTCCTGGGGGGGTCTCTGGCCGCCGTGACCCAGAGCCAGAGCAAGGTGGGGACAGGCCAGCTCAGCGCACACATCTGTGTCTGGTGGCTCTGGGCCTGGGAGCGGGGAGGCACAGCCTGGGAGGGGCCGAGAGATGGTTGTAAATACCCGCACTCCGCATTATTTATAGAAAGTGTACAGATGTGTGACTGTGAAATAAACGTCCTTCACCCCTTTGGGCTCTGGGCTGCCCTGCTTTAAATGGGGCCGCCCCTTGGCCCAACCTGAGGACAGTGTCCCGGGGAATCCACCTCAGTCAGGGCCTGAAGGATGGAGTGAGTGATCGCCCGGAGTCTTCTGTCCCCAAGGGGGCTCCATGCCCGGGGGCGTCGGCCACTGGAGGGGGCCCTGCTCCCCATGGAGGAGCTGACGGCAGCTGCTATGCTGGGAGTTGGCCACCAGAGGGCGCAGCCACACCGGACTTTGACCCCCGAGGCTGAGGCTGGGGTCCCAGCTCCGCAGGCCAGGCTTTGGGCTGGGGTATGTGAATCAGAAGAGAGTCTGGCTTGGGAGAGGCCCACGAAGCCACGCCAGGACCAGCCTGTATGGAATTGTTCTTTGCCTTGGAAAACCTTTCTGGCATCTCCAAACAGAAATAACCAAATCAGTATCTCCCACTCTGGGTGAGCCCACCCAGGAGGGCACCGGACCCACCCAGAGGAGCACTAGTAGCCTGAGGTGCAATTGGAAGGGGGGGACTTTTGTTTTGCTTACTCTATTGTATTTGGGCCACACCCACTGTGCTCTCGACTTACTCCCCACTCTGTGCTCAGGTATCTCTCCTGGTGGGCTCAGGAAACAGGGTGGGGTGCCGGGCATCAAACCCAGGTTGGCTGTGTGCAAGGCAAGCCCCCTACCTGCTGTACTATTGCTCCAACCCATCAATTTCTTTTAATACATTAATGTATTTTTTGTTATTTTGGGGCACCAGGGCCATATCCCACACTGCTTGTGGATTTACACCCGGCTCTGTGCTCAGGAGTCACTCTTGGGGCTCAGGGGACCATATGCAGTGCCAGGGCCAGCTGCATGCAAGGCCTATGCCTTAACTCTTGGCCCTCCCTGTCCCTGTTTGTTCCCTTCAAAGAAGGCAGATTTCCTGGGACACGGGGGGAACTTTTCTGACAGGTGGACTGTGAGGAACCGTGTAGAGCAGCAGACTACTTCCTCCCCAAGGGGGCCTGTTGGGGGGCTCAGGCTGGGGGCAGAGGGGGGAGGAGGTGCTCCCCCAGCAGATGGGGTTGTGTTGCGGCTGGGCTGTGGACCTGCTGCCCATTGGAATCCCAAAGCAGCCCCGTAACGCCCCACTCCAGGCATCTGTGACCAAACAGTGTTGAGGTGGGGGGCCAGGAAGGGCCATGGGGTACAGTCCCTGTTGCCCTCCATCCCAGCAGCTCTCCCCTCCTGTGAAGTGCCCCCTCCTGTGGGGTGGGGGTACACCGGTTCCTGCCAATATTAGCGTCTGGTGACGTCAGGGTCCCACGCTGACCTCTAGCGCATCCCCGAGGCAGAGCTCCGCCTCCAGCTGCTATAAAGGTCAAGTGCCAGACACTTTGGAAGCTCCGTGTGACTCAGGGTCTTTATTGCCCGCCGGTACACAGCCAGAAGGATCCCCCCACCCCCATGCTTCCCAGGCCCACCCACTTGTAGCCCCAAAGCTCTGAGAGCTGCCAGTGTGGTCTCCAACAGTGCAGCCTGCAGAGTCTTGGCCCGCCCCTCCCCTCCCCGAAAACAAGGAAACCCCGAGGCCACGCCCACCCAGCCCCGTGCCACGCCTCTTCCACCGGCAGGATCCGCCTCTGGGCTTCTGCACGCTTGAACGGGCGTCCTCTGGCACCTGCCACACAACCCTGTGACCATGCCGGACCAAAACCCTGCACCTGCACGGCACCACCTGCACACACACACACACCCCTCCCCCCAACACCTTCCCGTTGGCTGCCCCGGACCCAGGACTTCTGCGTGGGGGTCTGGGCTACACACCTGTCCTGCGGGGAGCCTGGTCACTGGGGCACTGCGGGAGAGAAGGGGCCGTGTCCTGCGGCTTGGACCTCACACACCACGTGTTGCCCCACCTTCCCGCACACCAGCCCAGCTCAGGGCGGCCCCAGCACAGCGGGGTCCCCACCTCCTCACCTCGCACCTCCAGGCGGCACTCGCACTGCGCCTCGCCCTGCAGGTTGGTGGCGCGGCAGACGTAGACGCCCCCGTCGTAGGGACAGGGCTTGCGGATCTCCAGGGTCAGCACCCCCTGCTTGCTGAACATGCGGAAGCGGGCATCCTCGCCCAGGTCCAGGCCGTTCTTCAGCCAGGAGATCTTGGGCTGTGCAACGTGGGGGCAGGAGGGGGCGGCTTGGCCTCAGTCCCGGCGTGCCATGTCCAGTACACCCACTGGTGATGAGGAAGCAGGGCCCCCCCCCCCCCCGCCCGTTTCCCTACCTTGGGGCACCCACGCACGGCACAGCAGAGGGTGGCGTTGTAACCCGCGATGACCGAGCGGTTCACCAGGGGGTGGGTGAAGCTGGGCGCCTCGGAGAAGTCCAGGTCCTTGTAGTTAGGTGGCTCGTAGGTGATGCCTGGGGGTGACAGGACTTTGTCCAGAGAGAGCCAGGCCATCCCAGAATCCCTTCCCTGCACCCCTGGGTTAGGGGGATGGGGTGGGGCTCAGCACCTGGCCTGGGGATAAAGACGGGCTCTTTGGTGGTGGCAGCTGTCTCACTAGGCCCCACCATGTTGTGGCTGATGACCCGGAAGTAGTAGCCGTTGCCGATGATGAGCTCGGACACCACGCAGTGGGTGCGGCGGTAATGCTCCAAGACGGTGAACCACTCCTGGGGGCACACGGAGGAAAGGGAGGGTCTGGGGAGGTGGACAGGCCCTACTTCCTGCCAGGGGCCTCTCAGGTATCCCTGGCATCAACACCCCAAGTGTAGAAGGCACCAGAGATGGCAGGGAGGGGAGAGGCCTGCCCACTCTCAGCTCAGAGCCGGGGTCCAGTGTGGCCCAGCCCGTGGGAAGGTATTGGGGTGCGGGGGTTGCAGCAGCCCAACTCACCATGGTCTTCTTGTCGGCTTTCTGGACCGTGTAGCCCAGAATCTCCGTGTTGCCATCGTCCTGGGGGGGCTTCCACTCTAGAGCCACGTTGAAGCCCCAGGTCTCAGTGACCCGGATATCCTGGGGGGGGCTCGGCTTGTCTGCGGGAGAGAGACCAGAGGGAAGCCCGCCTTGCCCCACGCTTCCCGCAGCAACCGGGCAGGTGAGGGGGGCCTAATCGGGGGACACCGGGCACACACCGACGACCTGCAGGAGCAGTGTGGCCTTGTCCTCCATGCTCTCGATGCGCAGTGACACCTGGTAGGCACCCGAGTGGGCGCGGCGGGCAGTACGGATGAACAGGATGGTGTCCGTGGGACTGTTGCGGATGCTCACGTCCTCCTCAGCCAGCGGCTGCCCTTCCTTGGTCCAGGTCACTTGGGGCCGGGGCTTGCCCTGCAGGGGGGACCGCTTGGCCAGAGCCCGGCTCCCCAGACCCCCAGCCTCCACACCTCGGGCTCTGCTCAGCCCAAGACCCACCTGCCCCTGCCCCCACTCCCAGGCATTGGCCCCTGTCCCACCTGGAAAGGAATGAGGATGTTGACGGTCTCCCCGACTTTCCTCTGGATGGTCTGGCGCAGGTGCCGGGGCAGCTGGAGCCGTGGTCGCTCTGTGGCAGGGAGAGGGTGGCTCGGCGAAGTCCCCACAGGCCCCTGTCCAGGGGCCTAGGCCTCAGGAGACCCCACCCTTCTTCGCCAAGTGGGGTCCAGAATGCTGCCCCCTTTGCTCATCTCCGGACAGTTTACCCAGCTCCTACTTCTTCCCAAGCATCCCCACAGTGCGCTCAGCGGCAGCATAAAGGACAAACAATTTGGTGGAGGTCACACCACTGGTCATCACAGGCCAAGATGTGAATCTTGACTTTGAGACCCCTTTGCCCCGTGCCATTTCCACATACCCCACACACTATGCATCCGCCTCTTCACACACTGAGAACCAAACCCTGTGCCTCGTCTTGGGAACAGAGGGGTGGGAAGTGGGTCCCCGGTAGGGGCCCCGACAGTCCTAAGTGCATGGACAAGAACTGCCTGTGTGAGTTGAGACTCAGAGGCCAGCTCCGGGTCTCGGGTGACACTGCTGCAGGACGGGGGGCTGCCTGGGTACCCCGGCAAGCATCCCGCAGTGTTTACAGGGGTCTGGGTGCAAAGAAAGGCTCCCTCCTTCCTTAAGACCCCCGACTGATGCCACTTGTCCTGGACACGAGGGCCACTCACGCAGTATCTCCTGCACCGTGACAGGCTCCTTGGTGGTGACGGGGGCCCCAGCCCCCGCCACATTGTGCGCCCGTACACGGAACAGCAGCCGGGCCCCCGTGGGCAGCTCCTTCACCAGCAGGGACGTGCGTTCCGTCAGGCCCTGCAGGGCCGACACCCACTCGGAGCCTAAGGGTGCAGCAGGCAACGTGACGGGCAGTGTCAGCATCGACACCCCACCCCACCCTCCTGCCCCCCACTGTCTGGCCTGGGGGGGGGGCCGAGCCACTCACCACCCTCCCGACAGTACTCCACGCTGTAGCCGTCCAACCCGCCTGCTCCCACACGCTCCGGGGGCCGCCACTTGAGCGAGACGGTGGTGTCTGAGACATCCTCCACTGCCAGATGGGTGGGCTCACTGGGGGGCCCTGGGTAGAGGGGAAGTCGGAAGGGGGGTCTGACAGAGCCTGTGATGCCAGGGGAAGTCCCTGCACTAGCCCGGTGGTCACACAGAGAGGCCACCCCTTGGCTGCTTTCAAGGGCGCTAGGAAATCTACCCTGACCCGGCATAGCTCTGTGTGACCACCCCTGCCTGGCAAGTCTGACACGCCAATATAAACCCAGCACCACCTGATATGCCAATATGAACCCCCCAACAGTGCTGCCCGGGGGCTCCAGCAAGTAGCCAAGAGTGGGGAGTGCCGGAGCTCTGGTCATCACAACCATCCAGTGGGGAAAACAAAGCTATGGAAGACGGAACTGGGAAATGGGAGGGCCGGGAGTTAGGACAGTGGCAAGGTGTTTGCCCTGCACATGGCCAACCCGGGTTCCATCCCAGACACCACAAGGTCCACACAGCATACCAGATATGAGCCCAAAACCGGACGAAGAAA